CTTTTCAAAAAAAAAATTGGATGCGCTAATTTTTTTTAAAAATAGGGAAAAAGATGTGGCTTATTTTATTGGTGCGAGTTTCTTGATATTGTATGCATATTTAATAATAATCTTTACATTTGGTATCCATCCTTTCATGTCTGGAGGATGCCTCGAAGAGCTTCACCCGATATTACTATGAAGTGTCGTGACTGTATTTTGCGAGCGAATGTGGCAGCTAATTATGCACAAAGCAGTACAGTTATTCTGGGGCAATACCTACATTCTCCTAAACCTTGCAACCTTTTTAAAGGTCCTCCATGTTTCAAATGTTGGTTATTTCTAGAGGCATGAAGACTTTGGGTTTTTTGTAGATTTATCCAGAGGCTAAAATGGGTCAATTTCCTGCAGTGTTTGGGGTGTTGCTGGGGCTCTTGTTTTGTGTAGAGGAAATCCACATCTGGTTATTGTAGTGAGTTACTTTTGTTTTACATTTGATGGCTTTGTGGTGTTTTCAAGTGAGTGAGCCCAAGAATAAGGGATACGGTATGGGAGCGATTACTAGACATTAAACGTGACGAAGGGGTTAAGATGCCCTTGTAAACCATGAGAACCAAGTGAGAGCGGTTTATCACTATCAACTGGAAATGGAAATGCGATTTCAACTTTAAACTCACTCCAATATACACGGGTGCGTACTCAGTGCTGAGAGCTCCGGGGGCAGTTCAGTGCAGTTTTAAATAGGTTGCTTTTTGACTGGCAGTGTTTTCAGTGCAGATACTGATATTGATAGCAAGCAAGCTGAATTTTAGTGTGCCTATTAGTGTGATGAGATTCAGGGTGAAATCAGTCGTGGTGTAACCACTGCAAGCTCACAGATAGAGAACCAGAAGCTGATCAGCGGGAAATAACATGCCCAGTGTGCATTATATCACAGCATACTGCACAGCGAATAATAGATGGCTAAACGTGTAATTTGAAAAGCAATTTAAACCGTGGGTGAGCAGTGAGCTGTTTCACAGTCACCTGAACTCCTAGCATTCCCAGCACTTAAAATAATTATCTCGTCCCCCATTCCACCCATTTATAAACTTTGCCTCTGGCACTGTATCACATTCACTGCCAGTGGCTGAGTTTAGGTGGCTGCTGTTACTTTGTGTCACTGATGATTACACAATTTAGGAATGATCTGTTCCACTTGCTGCTCAGTGAAGCAACCATGGCTGTATGCAATTGTGGTGACAGAATTGCGTTATGACAATACTGTAGTTTATGCTTGAATAAACTTTCACGTAGGAAGAATGTCTTAAAGCACTTCATTACATGGGGGGAAAAGCGAGGGGAATTTGCTTTGAGCGTTTTGATCAAAGGCATGGTCAAAGATGCTTTAACAATAATAAGCATTTGGTATAGTACTGCATCACTTTGTCAAGACATCAAAGCGCTTTATAGGATCTTACTGTAAATTGTAGTGACTAAATACTTGTAGGAGAATGCGTCAGCCAATTTGCACTCTGCAATGTTCAACAAACAGCTATGGAATGAGCGACCAATTTTATTAAAATAATAATCTTTGCATTTTATACAGCGCCTTATGTGGTTGAGATGTTTCAAAGTGCTTCACAGGATATTCTGTAGAGTGGTGTGACGTCTGTGCAATTTGCACCAGCCAATTTATGCACGACAACAGCCTATAAAGAGCCATGGAGTCAGTGACCAATTTTATTTTAAGAGTTAAGATAGGCGAGCTGAGATATATCAGAGTGGAGATGAGAGGGCCCTGGAGGGAGAGCAAAAACATTGGCTGGGTTTGAGGCAAAGAGTTGGCCTTGTTGCTGATCATCACTAATTCCTTCCAGAAATGTATAAAACGCAAGGATTTACTTGGAGGTATGTCTGACCAACCTCCCCTCCCCACCAAATCATTTTTCTTTATGTTGACACTAACAGCTTATTAAAAGCACCGAAGGATGCATTATAAGGAACAGTTCAAAGCTTTAGGTTAACTCTTTAAGGTTGGAGAGAGGTTGGCTTTTAATTGTGTAGATTGCACTTCACTTCAGTGGGAGGTTTTCCCTGCAGCCGAGGGAATAGGGTTAAATTAACAAGCCTCAGTAAACAGTGAGGCCCGCACGCTCTGCTTCTCTGTGACCTTGTCCAATGCTTATCTGGGCTAAATCGAGCGGGAGGGGTGTTTCTGCTGGGCCAGTAGTTACAGACTTTTTTTGTGTGTGTATGTGTTTCACTGCCTGGTAATGTCAGCCATTGTACCGGGGAAGTTTGTGGTAATCTTTCTGAAGTAGCTCAGTGGTTAGAGCACTCGCCTTGCAAGCGAGAGACCTGGGTTCAATTCCTGGCAAGGAGAAATGTTGGGCAAGCTTCCTTACTCCACACGCCTCTGTTTACCTTGCAGTAAGTAGGAACCCGGTTGTTAGTCGATCGGCAGATCGTTTTTCTGGGGGTAATAATTCCTTAAGAAAATGATAATGATAAATTGGCTACTTCAGTCAACGACTGTTTGTGGGACGCTGCTGCGTGCAATTGGCTGCTGAGTTTCGCCCACAAAATATATAGTCAATTCACTTTACAGTATATTCTGTGAAGTGCTTTGAGACGTCTCGAAGATGTGATAAAGCGCTATATCAAATGCAAGGATTATTATTATTAAGTATTGCTGGGCTAGCTGGCACAAAACTATTGTGTTGGTTGACTGCAGACAGATTTATTGCGGACAGATTTCTCCCATTTTTTACGGAAAAAAAAACCCCACAACAGGTCCCAATTTGTGAGCTTTTAGTTGAGGGTAGACGATTTTTCGTCTTTAATCTAAAAATGTAGTTCCCCACATTAACACGTCTGACTCTTGGTAGAATAGGAAAGTCGCGTGTAAAAGCAACTCAGCTGCCTTACAGCTAAGAAGCTTGGTCAGAAAGCAATAAGCTATTAAATGGGGGACAGGTTTCCATCAACTAAGTGCTTTTAGCCCTTTGTGCTTCCAATGAACCGCAGCAATTGAGTACATTATCCTTAGCTGATCGCCTTTTGTCATTCAGCATAACTTCGGTGGAGAGTTTATCCCGTGCTTTTTTTATTTATGATTTTGGCACTGTGACGTTTGATTGACGGTCTTTAATAATAATCCTCGCATTTGACACAGTGCCTTATCACATCGTTGAGACGTCGCAAAGCGCTTCACAGAATACACCGTAAAGTGGATTGACTGTATATTTAAAGCTATGACCCACGTTGAATTGGCTGACCTGTAGGGAGAACAGCCAGAGGTTACTATCAAGTGTTCTTTAAATAGAGGCTAAGTGTTGGCAGATGGCAGACATACTGCAAAAAACGCTGGCAAAGTAATGTCAAAATACTGGAGTTGAGAGGTGTGGGTGGGGGTGGGTGGATCACGTTCCCGGGGATGATGATGATAATAATAATTCTTGCATTTGATATTGCGCCTTATCACGACATTGAGACATCTCAAAGCGCTTCACACTGTAAAGTAGATTGACTGTGTATTCTGTGGGCCAAACGTGGCAGCCAATTATGCAGGAGTGTCCCATAAATAGTCGTGGATTGAGCGACCAAATTAANTTTTTTGGAGGGATTATTACTCCCGGAAACCGATCCGCCAATTGACTAACAGCCAGGTTCCTACTTACTGCTGTCAAGTAACTGGGGGGAGGGGGCATGATGTATATGGGGTCTCAGGAGGAGGCGGTTGATGTACTCGTGGGTCTAAATGGGGGGGGGGGGGGGGGTTGGGGTATTCAGAATCCGTGAGGGGTGGCTGACATACTTGGATTGGGGAGAGGGGTTGCCATACGCACTTTCTTTTTGACCAAGAGCGTAGAAAGTGGCCCAGATCTGTCTGTCACACGCAGTAGGTGCTGTGGGAACGGTGATATAATAGTGGCATTGCTGCTGTTTGAGAGCAGTTTTTAAAAAAAATAGTGTGTGTGAGGTGTTCTCTAGTTCTCCTTGCATTCTCCTTTGGAACTCCATCCCACGTTCCCTTCGCCTCGCTCCCTCCCTTGCCTCCTTCAAGGCACGTCTCAAGACCCTCCTCTTCGATCGCGCCTTCGGCCCACCCTCCTACCCTTCTGACCGCAACACCCCCTCCCGCCCCGCCCCAAATTCGGGTCCAAATTCCTGACTGTCCAGCGCCTTGGGATGTCCTCCCAACGTGAAAGGCGTTATACAAATGTCATTTTGTATTGTATCTAACTGCTGTGGAGGTTAGTGCATGTTCTCTGCATGATCAATAGCCACCCTATTGCTATTGAACATGCCTCCCCACAGTGTATTTACAGGGCAAAGCGCTGGGTCAGGATTGATGCATTTACTTCAATGTGTGCTTTGATAAATAATGCAGGTGTGTTCCACATTACAGAGAAACCCGACCCTCCCAAGAAAAGTTTATGCATTTTTATTACAAATGTCAGTGAAGCTGCTCACCACAATCCTCGATGAGTGTCTCGCTCTCATCCTCTAACCTCCGAAAGAGGTCTGGCCACCACTTTGTGCCTCCCCGCAGCATTGCTGCTGAGATCAGCACCTACGCATTGAAGGAGAATCCGAACTGCTTTCCTACCCTCCTCCAATTGTTGTGGTTTAACATTTTTTTTCTGCTAAAATGGTTAAGCAATCTCTAAAATGGTTAAAACAGTCTCCACCTACAGATGGATTTTAAAGTCATTCCAATTATTTTGTTTTAATGTGGGTATTATTTGCTGCATTCTTAGATATATTGTCTGATTTAATCTTCTGGAGACCAGTCAGGATATTCGGATAACTAGCATTGGACCATATCACAGCTTTATTTGGAGCTTGATAATTGGGTTATTGGCAAACTTGACTGGATATGTTACTGTCTTAATTAAGCATTGCCATTTGATTACGCAGTACTTGCATTCCTCCAACATTGAGAACCCAAACAGTGTCTAAAAGTAAAACCAAAACTTTCTCACTTTCAAATTTGAATACCAAAAGATCTAATTGTGGTTTGCCCGATAGCAATAACTGTTAGCATCTCAAACTCCTGAGCTGAGGTAAGAAGTCCATTGTGCTACTCTGTGTGCCTCCAACTTGTATTTTATTGTTGCCTCTGATTCGGATTTGAGGACTTGACGTCTTTTCCTCACTTGGTATGTGTGTGTGTGTGTGTGTGTGTGTGCGTGCGTGTGGGGTGGGTAGAGAGGAAAGTACACTGATGGTTCCGTGCATTCTACAGATTCTCAGAGATACAAGCGACGTCTCGTTGATAGATGCATTTGAAACAGGGCTGAACGCTAGCTAGTTGGGCCTTGTCAGTAACTGCTGTCTTTTTTCCTCGCAGACTCAGTGTTCGGAATCGAGAAGACCATGAAAAGAGGCCGGCTCCCCAGCAGCAGTGATGATTCTGATGACAACGACAGTAAGTGTTCTATGATATTGCTTTTTGGCTTCAGGACGTAGCAGCCTATAATGAGTGGAGGGAAAGAGGTTTGAGAAAATGCAATCTTTTGATCTGTTCAAAGTTGTTAAATTTTAATTAAGATCATTGTCTTGTGGAGACCACTGATACTGTTCTGAATGCAGTGAATTGGACAGTCCAGTCACGTAAGCCTCTCATATCACTATACAAGTCACTAAATGCTAACGTTATATGTTAGCTCCTTCTCATTGGATATTTTCATTTCCATGTTATAGTGCATTTGGCTAAATTCCCTAGTCAAACATTCCCCCAATTTATTGGGCTCTTCTGATCTACTTCCAGTCATCCCCTAAACTGAACAAATAACCAAACTGCATGGCATGATAATCAACAATAAGTTGCAGTTAGTTTTTGCTACCTTGCTCTTGTACTTCCTGATAGAAACGTTTGTCTATAAAGCACTCAGTCACTAACGATAGCACCTTTCATGTCAGAAGGACGACACCAAGTGCTTTACAGAATTTACTGCAAAGTATAGTGACTGTATTTTGTAGGCATACTACACTTCACAGTGAATGCTGTGAAGCACTTTGAGACATCCTCCTGATATAAATGACGCTATATCAAATGCAAGAATTACTATTAATACCATTAGGCTCCCTCCCAATCTTTTTCTGTGTCCCATTAAGTCAAAAGAGAGCTGAACAACATACAAATGTTAAGATTTTAACACTCATCCTTCAGAAATCACACTAAACAGATTGGGCAAGTTTCTTTACTCCACACGCCTAATAATAATCCCTCCAAAACAACACAATAATAAATTGGTCATTTTCAATCCACGACTGTTTGTGGGACACTGTTGCGCGCAATTGGCTGCCGCGTTTTGCCCACAAAATATACAGTCAATTCACTTAACAGTATACTCTGTGAAGCGCTTTGAGACGTCTAGAAGACGTGAAAAGCGCTATCTCACATGCAAGGATTATTATTATTATGATTTAAGTACAAGTTAAGTTCCAAGAACCTTAAGGGGGTGTAAATACTGAGAATTGTTTCTTAGTGTAAACTTTTTAAAAAATACTTTCTGAGGGAGCTATTCTGCCTAGAAATGTCATGGATGTCAGTTGCAGTCATTGATTGAAGAGTGTGTACAGGCTGGAGAATCTGTGACAATTCAATTTCATTTGAAATTAATTAAACATTTTAATATTTTTTTGAAAGAAAAGAGCTCTTAAAAGATGTTTAGACTCAAGCATGCAGTGCTACAGCTGGGTTGCCTTGCTGGCTACCAGTTAAATAAATGTAAATTGTAGTTAAATAAATGTAAATTGTACTGCATTGTCTCTTTTGCCAATGCAATGTCATCTGTTTCCTTTACCAGCGTGTAGTACAAGAACATCAGCTGTTTTTTTCTTCTTCTCATTGAAAAGTCTGGGTGAAAGGCCACGCACAGCCCAATGTGTGGTTCACCACCAAGTCTCAAAACAAATTCAAGTGATAAATGTGAAGTCGAGAAAAAAACAGTTGGATGCTAATCTTGGGTTTTAAACGCTTGTGGAGAGGACAATGTGCAAAATGCAACACAAGCTACTATCCGTCCTTGGGATAAGACGTTAAACTGTATGATGTCCCTTCTGCCTGTTCAGGTGGACATTAAAGATCCCATGGTACTAGTCGAAAAGACAAGGGAGTTTCTCCTGGTGTCACATTCCCTTGACAGTGTATTCTGTGAAGCGCATTGAGACGTCTCGAAGACGTGATGAGGCGCTATATCAAATGCAAGGATTATTATATTATTACAGATGTCGGTCTCTCTGTATGACTTGCATACTCTTAAACATGGCAATGGGTTTCCACACGTGTCAGACACTCGACTGACCAAAATAATAAATTGATAGGTGAATTTAGTTACGAGGAGAGGCTTTGGCAGTGAGCAAAATTCACACTGGAGAAGAGGAGCAAATCTTATTGAAGTATTCAAAATCTTAATAATAATAATAATAGTCCTTGCATTTGATATAGCGCCATATCACGTCTTTGAGACGTCTCAAAGCGCTTCACAGAATATACTGTAAAGTGAATTGACTGTATATTTTGTGAGCGAAAATATCTTGCAGGCTATTAATAAACTGAACCCTAATAATATAATTATCACAGACTCACCAACAAGGGATTGGACTTGAGGGGTGAGAAGGCAGTTGGTGGTGGTGGCAGATTGCGTAAGCAAATTTAAGAGAATAATAAAAATATTATTAAATTTAAGAGATAGACAGTTATTTGATAAATATATTGATAGAGGTTTGAGAAGTACAGTCATTTATGATTGTTTTATACTGTGGAACTGACCAGATGGACCATAGTGGTCATTTGTGGTCAGGTTTCTTGCTATGTTCCTTTCGAGCTGAGAGGAGAGAAGAATGCTTAGCACATAAGAGGAAATTGAGCTTCTTTATGGGCGCCTTTAGCAACGGAGAAGATGGGAGAATTTATTTTGAGATCAGAGGAGATAATGAGGCCCACAATATTGATGGATTAGAAAGAGGCATTCAAATGTAACATAGGAGCTATTAGTTGCATTTATTGGAAAAAGCTGCTTTTGAAGGATAGAAAGAATTGATTTTTTTTATTGCAAAGTGTGTAGAAAAGATCAAGATTTAGTGTTTCACCTATTAGGGTTTGAGAGCAGTAAAGATGTGTGCATTTGAGGGCATAGAGTCCTGTAGCTCAGTGGTTAGAGTACTGGCCTTGCAAGCAAGAGACCTGGGTTTGATTCCCGGCAGGGCAAAACCTTGGGCAAGTTTCCTTACTCTACACGCCTGATAATAATCCCTCAAGAAAAAAAACAATAAAATTGGTCACTTCAATCCATGATTGTTTGTGGGACACTGCTGTGCGCAATTGGCTGCTGCATTTCACCCACAAATATACAGTCAATCCATTTTATATTCTGTGAAGCGCTTTGAGACGTCTAGAAGACGTAAAATGCAAATCAATATCAAATGCAAGGATTATTATTATTATTATGTGATCTGAAGCAAGCTAGTAATTTGGAGGAGAATTCTCAGCACTAGAGCAGATCTCTATCAGTTCCATCCCTTAAACATCCCGATTGATTCTCCATCTAAGGTGTTCTGGAGCATTGTATTCCACGGTCTCACAAACCCTTGCGTGCATAAATCTCTTAACCAATTTCCTACTTTTAACTGGTTTCGCCATTATTTTAAAGAGCTCATTCAGATTGCTCCTTGACTCTTAAACTCAAGGGGTTATAACCCAAATTTATCCAGGGTCCTCATAATGTAGCCTCTCCATCCTAGGTAGAGTTAAGCCGCATTAAAAGGTAGTTGGGCGAAAAAATTCCAAACAGTGTTGTACCACTTGTGAGCAGATCTTCTCACATGCTTTCTGCGCTAAAAATGTCCAATTTCTGGGTCATTAGGTTTGCTGCCGACAAAATGCACAGAAAACGACGTCATTGTCCTGATAACCCAGAAGTTAGACACATTTTAGCAGACGGAGAGTGGCCTGGCCTGGCTTTCTGGCATGGCTTTTTTTTAGTAAACAAATGTCAAGGTCCAATCGCTCCATAAACAAATCTATATGAAAGCAAACTTGTACTATCCCGTAAGTGTGGTACTGTACATTTGTGGGAGGTGAGTAGTCTGCTTCCTATACATAGGGCACTGGTGTGGAAGTCCTCCCAACGTCTAGCAGTATCCCAAGGAAGCGTTGGAAATGCTTGCTTGCTGCACACTGCTGATGGAGAGAGACCATTTAGCGATCGACTTGTTATAATGAGGTTGACCTGTACTTACACTTTGCTACACTGAATGTTGTTAGATTCAGTTCCACTCACTTGCTGCTTTGTTTCTTTACAATATTCTGCTCTCTCCATTGATTACTTCTCCTCATGTGTCCCTTTTATCCCACTCTCTGCCTTCATTAATTTTCCATCCATGTGACAAACTTGCCTCAATTCTATTATTTTTGGAGAGACGTTCTCTTCTATACTCCTTATCCAAATGCCTTCTGAAAATCCCTATATCCATCTATAAACTATATCCCTCAATCTTCCTTTATGTAGTGGTCTTCAGGGTTTCTGTCTGAGAGCGTTATTAGGTTAGTCAGAAACTGATCTCTATTTCCCGAAATAATGCTGACTCTCTCTGATTTATATTCCACATGGCAATTGATGTGTGGGCCTATCTCACATGGAGACAAGAGAAATCCAATCAAGTATGAGACAATTTCATTCAAAATATTCTAATTACATGCAATGTAGTGTACACCTATCTCCCTCTGATGGCTCAGGGTAAATGCACTGCACCATAGAAACATAAACATTTTACAGCACAGAAGAAGGAAGCTTGATGGCTCTATGAAAGAGCAATCCATCCAGTCCCACTTGTCTGCCTATTATCTATACACCTGTAAACTATTCCTTTTTAGATATCTGTCCGGTTCTCTCTGGAAAGCTAATATGGATGCTACCTTGACCATCGCTCCTGGCAACTTATTCCATATCCTAATAACTGTTTGAAAGAAAATCTATTAAAGTCTCTCTTTGCTTCTTTGCCAATTATCTTACACTGATGGTCTCTGGTCACTGATTCACTGACCAATATGTTTTCCCTACTGACTCCTATTGAAACCTCTCATAATTTTGAAGATCTCTATCAGGTTTCCCTTCAAGCTTCTCTGTTCCAGTGAAACTTGGCCAAGTTTCTATTATACCCATAACCCATGGAGTCCTGTAGCTCAGTGGTTAGAGCACTCACTTTGCAAGCGAGAGACCCGAGTTCAATTCCAGGCAGAGGGCGAAACCTTGGGCAAGTTTCCTTACTCCACACAGAGCCTAATAATAATCCCTCCAAATCCAAAAACAATAACAAATTGGTCATTTTCAATCTACGACTGTTTGTGGGACATTGCTGTGCGCAATTGGCTGCCGCGTTCGCCCACACATAAAAATATACAGTCAATTCACTTTACAGTGTGTTCTGTGAAGCGCTTTGGGATGTCCTCCCGACGTGAAAAGCGCTATATCAAATGCAAGGATTATTATTAGATCTCTAGAACTTTTTGATAAAGTCTTACTGCATCAAAACTGTTTGAAAGTTCACAATTCTTTACAAATCTGTGGACAAACTACTTCAGTGAGAGAGAAGTAAACTTATGGAACAGGCTCCCTAGGGAGACAGTGGAAGCAGAACATTTGATAGATTTCTGCTGGAAAATAATATACCGGGCGAGATACAGTGTATAGTTTGGGACACAACATGTCAAGCGACTGCCAGGATAATAATAATAATAATAATCCTTGCATTTGATATGCTTCCAGAAGTCTTAAAGCGCTTCACAGACTATACTGTAAAGTCAATTGACTATATTTGTGGGCGAAACGTGGCAGCCAATTGCACACAGCAGTGTCCCACAAACAATCGTGGATTGAAGTGACCAATTTATTTTTTTCTTGAATGATTATCATTAGGCGTGTGGAGTAAGGAAACTCGCCCAAGGTTTCGCCCTGCCGGGAATCAAACCCATGTCTCTCACTTGCGAGGCGAGTGCTCTAACCACTGAGATACAGGACTCCACAATTCCACAATGGTGGAAGGCAAACTAGATGGACCTTGGTCTTCTTTCGCCAAGTAAATTCTTATGTTCTTATGTTCTTATTACTCACGAGCTTGGCTAATAGAAAAGTGTGGATGTTTTTGCAAAAAATTGAAGAGCTCTTTACGAATCTTATAGGAAATTGCGGAGGTCTCTGCTAGATTTTGTGGGGAAGTTGTGGGCTTTGATTGGTGCTACTGAGGTACATTTTACTACTACATTTTTTCACTTTATTCATTAAAAACTCAACATAAGGAAATAACACATATTAGATTGTTGTAAAAAAGTTCAAATTGCTCCTTTAACAAAAACTGTGGCCATTTTTTGGGGGAGGTGGGGATGGTGGGGAGGGATACCAGTGAGGCTACTGGAGCTCACCACCTCCGGGCTGACACCACACACAGATCCAGAGGCCCAGAGAGAGACACACATACTGAGACCCAGAACGAGACACACACACTCAGAGACCCAGAGAGAGAGACACACACGCACTCAGAGACCCAGAGAGAGAGACACAGAAAGAAAGAGAGACACACTCAGAGACACACAGAGAGAGAGAGACATACACACACACTCAAGAGAGACCCAGAGAGAGACACAATGTCTGTCACTCATCAATATCAAATAGTCCTCTCTTGATTCACGTCACTGAAATAAATGTAATGCTTTTGAGGTGGATCAGTGATTTTCAGCATGGTTACAGTCTTTTTAAGTGATTTGGGCTTCTTTTTAAAATTAATTGCCTTTTAAGTAACAGAGCCTGTAAGCTCCATGGTTCGAGAACTCTATCATCCCTATTTACCCTTTGTTCTCATGGGAACAAAGAATAGCCATTCATAGGAGTGTCATTTTCTTGGAAGACTGCCTCAGTGACACAAATGTCTGAAAGAAAGACATCAGTGGATTTTGCCATTGTGATTGCGGAACATTTTTAAAAAAAATCTATTGAGAAACATCTTTTGAATTCCTTCCTCTATGTTTGACTGTGTTTACCTTCCTTGGTCTTACCAAAAAGTTCTCAACTTCCCTCCTCTGCCTCATTTGGCTTTGATGTCTCACAACCCAAGGTTGAGTTCAAATCCCACATCAGGATTTTGAACTTGCATAGTCTGGTCTGACACTCCAATGCCGTGCTAGAGCTGTGTCGGAAGTGCTCTCCCGACCAACAAACACTACAGATATAATTGATCATTCACTTTGTGGCGGATTTCGTGCAAATTGGCTGCCGCATTCGCCTACTATTTACGACACTTCACTGTACTTTGAGACGTCACTTTGAGATGACCTCCCAATGTAAATACAACTACATCAAATGCAAGGATTGTTTGCAACGACTATGCAAACTCCCTGCTTGTCGGCCTCCCCACCTCCTCCCTCCATAGGCTGCAGATCATCCAGAACTCTGCAGCCCGTGTCCTCTCCCGCACCAGGCTCTGTGACCCTATCACCCTTATCCTCGCCCGACTCTACTAGCTTCCCATGGCACAGAGGATACAGTTCAAAAGATCCTGGTCCTCATCTTCAAAGTCTCCTATGGCCTTGCTCTGCGACTTCCTAACAACCTGCCCACCCACTCCACTCAGTGGGCTTCTGCTTCACGCCCCCCTCCTTGCTCGCCCCACCATTGGCGGGCAGGCCTTTAGCCACTCTGCCCCCACCCTCTGGACCTCCATCCCGCAATCCCTCTGCCTTGCCGCCTCCCTCGCCACCTTCAAGACCCGTCTCAAGACCTTCCTTCGACTGTGCCTTCGATCATCCTCCTTCCACACCCCCACCCCCCCCCCACCCACCCTCCACCCTCCCTGATCCCGACCCAACCCCCAACTCGGGTCCGAAACACTGATTGTCCAGCACCTTGGGACATCCTCTCGACTTGAAAGGTGCTGTACAAATGTCATTTTGTTGTTGTTGTTATTATTTCTTTTATATTTGGTATCTCCACTTGATCTCGTTTGAAACTGGGTTACACAGATCTCGATGACCCTGGGTTCAGTCTATGGGTTGTGTTCAATAAATTGATTGCGGCGAGGGTATCAGTAGGGCTATGATGGATACAAGTTACCCTGGAACTGGGGAGAGGCGGGGGAGGTGAAAGGAAGAGAACCAGCCAAGCACTCTTGATGACTATTCATTGATTTCTGGAAAATTCACACGTGTGTTTATAGAGCAGAGCGAGGAAGGGATCGGATTAAACTGTATCTTCCTTGGCCACCACCCCTCCCCGCCCACCTTAGCACCTCGCCACAATGCTCTGCTCAGGCTGAGGAATGACCGCTTGGGTGTGAGGAGGCGGCTGGTGTTCAAAAAGTTGTTTGTCTTTCACACGTTCTATGATGGAATCACTCTTGTAATCTATGAGCCTCCCCGGGACGGACAGTAACGATTTTTGATTGATAGCTGACACTGAACGCCACTTTTGTGCCCTTTCCTTAGGTCATTCAACCTCCTGGTCCCAACATTCCAAACTGCAGCACAGGAGAAGCTCCTGGTCAAGGCACGAAGACCGAAAACCATCCGAGGTAAGATCGAAATCTTGCACTGGCTCCCCGTGAAAATAAAACAAATCACAGATGTGATGTAACGCCACAGCAATGGTATTAGCATAATCCAACCCTTCAAACCAGTTTCCCGGCTAAAAGGCCAGGAGACATGCAGGCACTGGTTCCAAGGCAAATTCACTTTACAATATATTCTGTGAAGCACTTTGAGACGTCTCGAAGACGTGATTAGGCGCTATATCAAATGCAAGGATTATTATTATTATTAATGGCGCTATTGTGGAGTCCTGTAGCTCAGTGGTTAGAGCACTCGCTTTGCAAGCGAGAGACCTGAGTTCAATTCCAGGAAGGGCGAAACCTTGGGCAAGTTTCCTTACTCCACACGCCTAATAATAATTCCTCCAAAACCAAAAACAATAATAAATTGGTCATTTTCAATCTACGACTGTTTGTGGGACATTGCTGTGCGCAATTGGCTGCCGCGTTCGCCCACAAATATACAGTCAATTCACTTTATAGTGTGTTCTGTGAAGCGCTTTGAGACGTCCTCCCGACGTGAAAAGCGCTATATCAAATGCAAGGATTATTATTATTATTGTTGATCAACTTCAGTAACTGAGTGTAGGTAACACTACTCTTGATCTTAGCTGAAAAGCAGTGGCACTGACCATCAGCAGCAGCCTTGTGGACAGAGTTTAGCTCAGAGGTCTTCTCTGTAGTCTGCGGAACACTTTCCTCTGCCCTAAGGTCAGGTGAAGAATGTATGTCAGTGGCCATAAATCAAGAGATATTCAATCAAGAAAAGTTTATTTGGTTGGCCGACCAAAATGGTTTGCCACCTCTGGTGTATGCTGAACTACCTTGTGACCTTATTTCCAGTCACCACGTATATGCAGATGCTTTATTCCGATAAAGCCTGTGGTTTTTAAAAATGNAAAAAATAGGATTGCTCTTTAAAAGAGTCAGCACAGACACAATAGGCCAAATGCCTTCTTCTGTGCTGCACATTTCCACTTGATGCAGTCAAGTAGAAATGTGGCTTTGGCATTCTATATGATGCAATTTAACCTCAACAGCAATTGGTATTCATCAGTCTGCGTTCTGTGCGGTTCATGATGCTGCCACTTAATCTTTTGAAAGAATGCTTTGTGTCCTGTTGATGTCAGGTGGTGTATGTATACACCACTCGTGGGGGAGGAGTGAATACAGCGCCTTGGGATGTTCTCCTGACATGAAAGGCGCTATGCAATTGTAATTTTGTTGTTGTTGTTGTTATGACCATTCAGTTTATTCTAGTCCGTCCTCTAACAGGACCTAGCACCAACATCCTCATCAAGTGGATGGTGAAAGATCCCGTCACACCATTTGAAAAACGAAGGGAGTTTCTTCCAGTGTCCTGGCCAACAGTCCTCCTGATTAATTAGTTGTTCACTTGGTGGCTGTCTGTGAGAGTTTGTTGTCTACAAAACAGCTGCTGCCTGAGCCTACAGAACCAGTCATTACACTTGACGGTAGCTACCTGTGAAGCAAGGCATTCATTAACTTTTAGGCATTTTGACAGGATGAGATGCAAGAGAAATACATAATGGGATGGCCTCTCAATAGCTTAAGACAGTGGTCCAACTGGCAGCCCACAGGACGATTTCAAGTGACCTCCCACCACCACCCACTCCATTTCATCTGGCCCACCCGTTTCCTACATAACCCATCAATGTTACATTTTACTTCTGGAAGGGAAACAAACACAAAAATACTGCTTCTGCAGCCCACAGACATTTCACAAATAACACATTCGGCCCTCAGCAAACAAAAGGTTGGACCACACCTTGGCTGAAGATATAGAGCCTGGGACACATTTGTGCTCCCATCTATAGATCTCTGCGTCAGCAAATGTTGACATATTTATTTCAACGTTTTCTTAAAACAAATTCTCCCTCTGGTATAAGTCTTTGGAAATAACACAAAAAAGGGGTATCTGGGTCTTCTGTTAGTGGTGACTCGCATGTTGGCAGTAATTTAACGAAGTAGTACTTTTAAAGAGTTTGGAGAGGTTGAGTCAGGAAGATGGAAATATAAGATGGAACATTGGAATAGGAAGTGGCCATTCAGCCAGTCAGACCTGCTATGCCGTTTTATTAGATGATAGACAGATCTTTTAATCCCATCTTCTCACGTTTTCCCCAAATTCCCCTTCAAATCCTTTATCTCCCAAATACCTGCCCCCCTTTTACAACCAGATAATCTTTGCTTTTTTGGTAAAGTGGCTTTCACGTCAGATAGCATTCTGGGGTAGTGCATTCCACATTTTCACCATCTTCTTCATTGCAAAGAGAGCTCTATAGCAAGTCATTAAACTGGTTTGGGCTGGACTTCCCTCTAATTTCCAACTTTTGAGTCCTAACAAGTTAGATTTTCGAGACGTTAGGCAAAGTGTTCTGGAGAGAAATGGAGCCAACAAAGCCTCGAGATATGAAAGTGCCTATCTCCGCTGCTACAACATTGCAAGGTCTCACCGCTACACTTGTGCAAGCTTAATATTTAATGAAAGCAGTTACGAGTGCAATTTATTCCACACTTTGGTCAAAGCTCCACAGCTACTATGGCACAAATTCAATATTCACTGGCTTTCCCTCAAATAACTGCTGTATGGAATGCAGGAATATTACCTATTACCTACTAAATTGATATATTTTGAAAGGTAGTTTTGCATTGTTTGTATGATATTAATGTTATTGTGCCAGAATGAAAGATGAAATAGTGCAGTCAGAGAAGTAAATGGATTAAATCGGTCTCTTGTTTGAATTACGGGAGCCCTTGCACAATGCATCCAGTGGTGAGTGAGAGCCTGTGAATTGATTGACCATTCTGAGACACTACCCCCCGTGAAGGACACTGTATAAATGCAAGTTGTTGTTGATCTAACTGCTGTAACTGTTTGCGACTCATCTGGGATTAATACTGTTGCAGCACTGTTGTACCCTTTAACTCGTTCTTTGTGTTAATTAGCACAAGAAACTGTTACTGAATCCACGACTGTTTGTGGACACTACTGTGGTGGCTGCGTTTCGACCACAAAATACACAAGTCAATTCACTTTACAGTATATCCATGAAGCGCTTTGAGACTTCTCAATGACGTAATAAGCTGCTATATCAAATGCAAAGATTATTATTTTTACCTGTGAATTTGTTTCTTTAGTAGCTCTGCCGTAAGCAGTCTCTTGCACTTTCCTCAGTGCTAAGTGTGCCACTTCCTCCTGATCCATACAGTCGCTCCTCCAGACGAGCTGCTTATTTACACTCCTCGTATGGAGCTCTGCATTGAAGGATGATACATTAAATCAGGCCAAGGTGGACGTTAAAGATCCATTGGCACTATTCAAAAAAGAGGAGGGAGTTTCTCCAGGTGTCGGGGCCAACAATCCCCCAAGTAAATTCCATGGATATTTGTGGGACACTACTGTGTATAAATTGGCTGCTGCATTTCGCCCACAAAATACAGTCAATCCACTTAACAGGATATCCTGTGGAGCGTTTTGAGACGATTTGACGACGTGATAAGGCACTCTACCAAATGCAAGGATTATTATTATTATCATTATTATTATTATAATTATTAAATGCATCGTGATCACAAGTGTTGCCGTTTGGCACATGATAGATCTCCCTCTCAGTGCATAATATTTTCTTCTGCTTGACCATATTTTTTGAACCAGCAGCTCAAATCCCTGTCTCTGGTTAATAGGTGTACAGAACGGACCTCATAACTGCAATGAAGCTGCATGACGCGCATCAGCTGGACGAAGAGGATTATTATATTCTGGCTGATTCGTGGAGACAGGAATGGGAGAAGGGAGTTCAGGTGCCAGTCAGTCCGGAGTCTGTCCCACATGCATCAGTCAGGTCGGTTGTGGTTTTTTTTTAACTGCAGNTTTTTGAACTGCAGTTGGTTTAGCTTGTGTTATTTAAACCCAGTATTACCTTTCCATCAGTAACCTGCCAACGCATTACATAACTCCAAAGGACAGCGCTTACCAATGGTTTTACAGAGTGTCGCACCGTGACCTTGAACTCTGTTAACCTAAACTATTGGTGCTCGCTGGTGTATTTGCTTAAGGATCCACTGCTTTTCATTCTAACCGGGTGTTCAGTATTTGGCTAGCAATCCAACCCCTGCTCCTCTGTCTGTTACACTTCCTGTGTTCAGTTGCCAAGACTCTGTAGATCACTTTGGTTATTATCCCACTAATTATGCTGACCTTTTCTCTCACATCTGCATTAAAAATGCAAACGTTCAATGATGCACGTGCAGATTTTCTCAAAATAATAATTTAAATAATAAAAATTACAGGTTTTTTTAAGTCTTTAATTATTTCACCACCTCTTCTGAAGAAACTCGTTCATGTTGCTCATATCTCTAGGGGCCGCAGGAAGTCTCCATCACCCAAGTGACCAGTCTTTATGTAAAAACTGAGGCAGAGAATATTGGCAGGTGCTCTCAACAATGCCTAATCTTGTCTTTACCTTTTGTCAGCCTAGCACAGTGGTAGCACTCTTGCCTCTCAGTCAGAAGGTTGTGGGTTCAAGCCCCATGTCAGGACTGACTAAATCACATCATCAAAGATGACACTCCAATGCAGTGCTGCATTGTTGCAGGTGCCATCCTTTGGATGAGATGTTAAACCGAAGTCCCATCTGCCACTTCAGGTTGATGTTAAAGATCCCCTGGCGCTATTCAAAAAGAGAAAAGAGTTTCTCCTGGTGTCTTAGCCAAAAATCCCCCTAAATAAAATTGGTCACTCACTCCATGGCTATTTGTGGGACACTGCTGTACACAATTTGCTGCCGCGTTTTGCCCACAAAATATACATTCCATCCACTTTACAGTATATTCTGTGAAGTGTTTTGAGACATCTCAAAGACATGATAAGGTGTTATGTCAAATGCAAAGGTTATTATTGCCCGTGCGCACACACATTTTCCAACGGAAGTCAGTTAGAGAGCAATCAGAACTGGAAACCTCAGCATTTTGTTGGTTTTACTCTCCCCCCCACCCACTCGAGTGAGTTTGAGGCCATTGTTGTGTTAGATGAGATCAGCTAAATCAGCACAAACCAACATAGGCTGGGATCTTCCTGGTTTGGATTGCTGTATCAGAAGTTGGACAGTATCTTCATTAGCCATCAAGGGAGCAATTTCCAGACAATATTTAGTACAACTAGCAGGAGGAAAATTCCAGGTAAGGATGAGTTGAAACCTCCAAGCTGGAGGGTAGGATTTTTATGGCAGGTGTCATAATTTTATTAGGATTTTATAGGCAGGTCTCTAGTTTCTCAATCAGTGAACCTCCTGTAGTCACTCGGAGGTGCTATCAACAGTAGGGCTTACTGACTGCAAATGCTTGGAGCGGAGCACAAGGGATTTGATTGTCAATTTACAATCCCTCCCCTTTCACTGTCCCCATTCTTCCCCTGATATTGAGTTAATTAGTAAATATTGTGGACCCACCAACTATTCCCATGGGATGCTCTGGGTCCCATCTGCTCTCTTTGGAATTTCTACTATTAGTAATCACCCTCTCTTTCAAGCAACTTAATGATCTAGTTTACAGCTTCCTCCTCGGTCCAATTAACTTCCACTTTAGCTGCGAGTTTTTGTGCAGGACCTTACCAGATGCTGTCTGAAAGTGCAGATGTACGATATCGTATTCCCTGAATCCACTAACTCTGCTCCCTCTGCTGAGACACCCAATAAATCTGATTAGTACCACCTGACTTTCATAAAGCAGTGTTGGTTTGAATTCTTACCGATGCTGTCACTGTTGCTGGTACCTCTCTGGATTTACAGCCTATGCTGTCTTGAATTGCTTCCTTTATAATAGACTCCAAATTGTTCCCAGGATAAAGACTTTCTAAAACTTGCTTGACTTTCTAATCCTTCCTTTGGAGTCTGCTGCGTATTGGTTGGAGCACTCGACTCGCAAGTGAGAGGACCTGAGATTGATTCCCGGGCAAGGAAAATTGTAGGCAAGTTTCACCTGGGTTCAATTCCTATAGGGCAAAACTGTTTCCTTACTCCACAAGCCTCTGTTTATCTAGCAGTAAGTAGGAACCCGGTTGTTAGTCGATTGGCAGATTGCTTTTCCTGGAGTAATAATCCCTTTTTTAAAAAAAATATGGTCACTCAATCCACGACTGTTTATGGGACACTGCTGTATTCAATTGGCTGCCGTGTTTCGTCCACAAAGTATACAGTGAATTCACTTTACAGTATATTCTGTGAAGCACTTTGAGACATATTTATGACTTGGTGTAGATGCTCCTACATCAAATGCAAGTATTACTATTATAAACTTTTCCCCATCTTCACTTCTGCACATTATCATTCTTCTTACAGGAAACATTTTTAAAAAATGTTTTGTGTAAGAAAAAGCCATTAAAAAAATGTTTTGCTTTAACCTCCCAATTTCAGCGATTTTTTTTTTAAAATACTGGAATTCGACAACAACAAAATTACATTTGTGTAGTGGCCCAAAGGGCTGGATGAACAGTTAACAAAGAATTAACAATCTTAATTCATTGTTAATCTCCAGTTTCTGTTGCACTCGCCTTATTCGTGCCCTCTCCAGTGTCTTTCTGAAAGAATGCCATTTCTGTTTAAATGTACTCTCCCAGCATTTCCCTATGTATTGTCCTTTGTTCGCTTACTGCTTTCAAATCAGTTCTCTGGAGCTTTGACACATCTTAAAAAAAGATGCTTTTCAAGATAGTAACACAATATCAACCTACATGTGGTATTGTGATCTCTGGTAGTCAATTGTTCTCTCAAACCTTCAAATGTTTCATTGGCTTTGATTCCCCATTAAATATTCTTTTAATGTGCTCTTTCCTGGCTTTCTTTATTTTAAAATACTGTGTCAACATCACAGTCCTAATAATAGCTCTGTAAATATTCCTTGTTCTAAGATCCCTGCTGTTGTTATGTTCTTAAGTTGCCGTCTGCCTTTTTAGGTGGACATTAAAGATCCCATCATAAACAAGAGTTTTCTCCTGGTGTCCTGGACGTTAAATTGGTTATCCATTTAACAGTTGTCTGTGGGATGTCGCTGTGTGCAAAGTGGCTCCTGTGTTTGCTTGTGGAATGCACAGTCACTACACTTTGCAGCAGTTGTTTGTGAAGTGCTTCAAGATATTCTCACATGATAGGGGTGGTATGAAATGTGAGGATAATTATTATAGAATGTAATCCTTTTCATGATCAATAATGGAGTCCTGTGGTGTATTGGTTAGAGCACTCGCCTCATAAACGAGAGGACCTGAGTTCAATTCCCAGGCAGGGCGAAACCTTAGGCAAGTTTTGTTACTCCAGACGCCTCTATTTACCTAGCAGTAAGGAGGAACCCGGTTGTTAGTTGATTGGCGGATTGCTTTTCCGGGGGCAATAATCCCTTCAAATTGTTTTTAAAAAAAATTTGGGTCAGTCAGTCCAAGACCGTTGTTGAGTTCTACCCACAAAATATGGAGTCAATTCACTTTACAGGATTTCCTGTGAAGCCCTTTGAGACGTTTCAAAGACGTGATAAGGCGCTATATTAAATTCAAAGATTATCATTATTATTTGATTCAGTTTAATTATAGTAGCCCATAATTAGTACTGAAGAACCCTCTTATAGCACATTTTTGGGGATATCCCACCCAAATCCCAAACTGTAACAGAACGCATTCATACGTGGCAGGTAAAAATATTCTGGTGGTGGGGGGGAAGTAAAACTCAGTTACAGTGTCCCCTTGTGACCCAGAAGGACCTATGTCTAACTTGCTACTCCGGATAACTCGTCACTGAGCTCTTTTCGCTTGGAGTGAATTATCAGGAGTTTAATGTATATGCTCCCCTTGACGATATCATCCACAGACAATTCCAGCATTTTTATTGTTAAATTTTTAATATTTTTTTAAAAATCAAACCTCAGCGGAGTGGCTAATGGCCGGTGACGGGCAATCCAGACTTGCTTCTTTTAGGTAAGATGAAAAGATTGAACGATTGGCCAATCTCCAGAGCTGTGTGTTACGTATTCAAATTAATTGCGGTGCTGATTTGGTGAATTGGATCTTTGGTTCTAATCAAACTCACATCGTTTGCCGCTCAGTCTCAGAGGTGAATACAGGGAGGAAAGAGGGTGCAGAAGGATTGAGAGATCAACAGAGTCAAAGGTGACAGAGAGATTGAAGAGAACCAATCCAGAATCTCTGACACCCTCCCTCCATCCTTGCCCCACCCCTTCCTTCCCCATCACCTCCCCTCTCCCTTCGGCTCGGTGTCGTGCTCCACCAATGTCAAGCGCTCTGGGACGCTACTCTCCACGAGGGATGCTACATAAATGCAGATTGTTGTTGTTGTTAAGGAGGCAGAGGGAGTCCTGGATGCAAGGCTGAGATGATGTTGTTAGTGACTTTGATCAGGGCATCTCAGTGTGTGGGTGGGGAGGAAGCTGAAATGGAGTGAATCGGACAGTTTCAGGCACAAGCAGAAAATGTTTTTTTATAGATTCCCATTCCAATTTCTCACAGGATTTCTTTAATAATAACAATAATAATAATAATCCTGCATTTGATATAACGCTATTCACGTCTTCTATACGTCTCGAAGCGCTTCACAGAACAGACTGTAAAGTGAATTGACCGTATATTTGTGGGCGGCAGCCATTTGCGCACAGCGGTGTCCCACAAACAGTTGTGGATTGAAGTGACCAACTTTATTTTGGGGGATCTTTGGCCAGGACACCGGGAAAAACTCCTTTCTCTTTTTGAATAGTGCCATGGGATCTTTAACATTCACCTGAACAGGCAGGTGGGACCTCGGTTTAACATCTCATCCGAAGGACGGTACCTGCAACAGTGCAGCACAACCCCAGCACTGCATTGGAGTGTTAGCTTAGATGATGTGATTTAGTCAGTCCTGTCATGTGGTTTAAACCCACAACCTTCTAACTGAGAGGCATGGATTGAGTGACCAAATTATTATTGTTTTTTTCTAAGGATTATTATCCTCAGAAAAGCGATACACCAATCGACTAACAACTGGGTTCCTACTTACTGCTAGGTAAACCGAGGTGTGTGGAGTAAGGAAACTTGCTCAACATTTCGCCCTGCTGGGAATCAAACCCAGATCTCTCGCTTGTGAAGCGAGTGCACTAACCACTGAGCTACAGGACTCCACATGTCAATGTATCCATCTCTAACATTAACAACAAATTGCATTTATATAGCTCCTTTGGCATTGGGAAAACAACTTACGTTGTTGGATTTTCAAATGTTTTCACCCGAACTTACGGGTTGGATTCAGAGAAGTGCTGGGGGGGGAGATGACCGATGACATGGTCAAGAGAGGAAGGTCTTAGAACGGACATTGAAGGAGGCGAGGAAAGGGGTGAGGAGAAGGGACTCCGGGATGGACTTCCAGTGAGTAGGGGCAGATGGGCTTAAATCCCAATCGCCGATGGTGGAGCAGACAGGACTCACTTCACAGAGATTTCTGTAAGGTGTATGACTGTTTTTCTCGGGAGGACACTGCAGCCAATTTGTACACAGCAGTATCCCACAAACAGCCATGATCAGTATTTATTTTCTCGGGGTTGGGGGGGAAGGGGGAAGGCATACAATGCTAAATTCTAAAAGCCTTTTGGAGCCTGGATTATTATTACAGTATTAATAAATGCGATGACCCTGAATTTTTTAATAGCCGGAACTTGTCTCGTATTTTTTTGTAGGCACAGCAGGCTGTGTATTACTCTGTGTAAACTACTGATTTAAGCACCATCTCTTTTGAAAGCCAGAAAAAAGTAAAGGGCAAACATCACTCACCCACAGGGACACTTGTAGTTTATCATTATGAACACCAGAGTGGAAACTTCAAAAGCAACTTATCAGCCAGATGTTGGCTCCTGTTGTGTTTTTTTTTGGCCCGATTGCCTTTGGTGATGTTTCCAGAATTTAAAATAGCACCGTACATTTCAACATGTCACAGAAACAATGCTACAGGACTGGTGATGTGTTTGGGACTCATTTAACGTACTAAGAAAAGCAATTTGGGCATTTTTACGCTTTGCTTTCATTTGCCCTTTACAAACAAAAATACAGGAGAGAATAGTTTAGTGTTCGGACTATATTTATTGCAGTTTCAAGAGAGAATTGAAAAACATTGTTCAGGGTGTAGGAATTGATGAGGATTGCAGTCACTAGGGGCAGGGAATCCTTCCTCTCAACTCCTGTTAACCCTATAAGCCAAAGCCCTAATGGGTTGGGTGATCCTAGCTGGACAAGTGGTGGGAAAGCTTGCCAGACGGCAATATCAATGGCAAGCTATACGGTTTTAGCTGGTTAAACTCCAGCAGTATCCCAACGAACACTCTGGGGTCCCCAAGCCTTGGCTCTGGCCAACCTGAGCCTAATACTTTCCGGAAAATTAGGTAAGCAGAATGCGTCCCTCCAGGGAGAGAGTGCACATTCCATTCCAACAATCTTATCTGTGGAATTTCTATGCGTTGGTGGGATGCGTGGAAATCTGAGCTTGGTTTAGATACTCTTAAGCACGGTGATAGGTTTCCGCATGCGCCAGGCGCCTGGTTGACCAGAACAAAGTACAGGAGATAAAGAGAGTTGGTATATGAAAATGGTACCAGTCAATGCACTGCAATGATCCTTCCTCGTCCTGGGCATTCCTATATTGCTAAATGCAGGAGACTGTGATCATTACCTCGGCTGTGAATAGTACACACATTCACGCTCTCGGGTCTCTTTATCCTTGTAGATTTATGGATGAGACGGACAAAGGTGTAGTGTTTGTCAGACCCAGGAAGTATATCCACTCTTCGGGATCGGAACCTCCGGAGCTGGGATACGTAGACATCCGTACTCTGGCAGACAACGTGTGTCGTTATGACCTGGATGATATGGACGTAGCCTGGCTCGATCTGCTGAACGAAGAATTGAAGCTAATGGGTATGTTTGCACTGAAGGTGAATGAGAATTCTCACACCACTAGCTGGATTTTAGGAAAGTTCCTTCGCTTGAAGGCAGGAGAGAGTCTTGTCCCGTTGATTTAATTGAAATCCAGAGTAAGCAAGTGAGTGATGTGGCATTATCCTCGGTGGATGGATGAATGAATATCTTGAGTGCCTTTTTGAACGTGCCTTGCCGATGTGACGTTTTTATGGTTGGGAATTTGCTGTTTTAATTATTGCACCGCCACGTTGGCATAAAGTGCGGAGTGCACAGCAGCTGTGATTGAGAGACTTGGTGAGTAAGATTTCCCAATTAGTCGAGCATCAGGAGCAATTATGTGCTGCCAATGCATTTTTGGGACTGAGAGATTCAAAGTCATTTTGCTGATGGCAAAGAAGGGAAAGAAGACGGAAGCACAGCTCTTCAGCTCCTGTCAGCGGCATTGGGAAGGGCACCATTTAGAGAAAGTCAAGATTGTGTTCCTGCTCTTTCTCTCAGGAACAATATGTGATGGTTTAATATGTGAATATAATATGTGTTTAATATAATATGTGATGGAATAATACGTGAAGGCGAGTGGCTCATTATACAGTAAATCTCACATAAGTCGTATCAGTTGGGACCATGCATTTAATATGACTTGTGCAAAGTATGAGTTATGTCAAACTTGCATGGAATATAAACTCTTGAATGGGCTTGGGCAGATGTACAACTTAGGCAAATTTATACAGATCAGACTTGTGCAAATTTTACAACAACAACTTTGGTTTATATAGCGCCCTCCACACCGGATGGCGTCTCAGAGCGCTTGTGTGCACTTGTATAATATGCGCTATTTGTGAGACACTCCTGTGCACAAATTGACTGCAAAGATCGCCCGTAAAACACACATTAGCTTTACTCAAGAGTATATATGTGAAGCGCTTTGAGACATCCTCCTGATGTTGAGAAAAGGCACTGTATCAACTGCAAGGATTATTAGTATTATTCTATTGACCAGGGGGGTGATGCATTCTTTGGAAAGTGATTTCTGATGAATCCAGAAGGGTTGGTGTTACCCCGATCAATTTGGTAGCTGGAAGCTTTTTGGAGGGTAATAGTATTTCCTCAGTCGTTCTGCCACGGTGACTGTTGAGAAAGTGCATGGGGAAGGGTGGCTGTGTGTATAGCTGACCTGGGATCACTGAATGATATATTTGGATACCGGGGTGAAGAAGTGTTTCATCTTGAGAACTGACAGCCATCAGTCTTGATGAGCAAAATTATGCATCAGAAGTTAAAAAAAAATGACAAAAAGAAGCTTATTTACCTTGTTGTCAGTCGATTGGTGGTTCGCTTTCCAGGGGTAATAATTCCTAAATCTAGTCTTTTGTGGGCGAACCAAATATTGCACAGATTTTACAATGTATTGTGTGAAGCGCTTTGAGACGTCTGTATTATTATTATTAATTAATCAACATCTCTTTCAGTGCTTGAACTAAAATATAAGTTTTTCACGCTTAAGACTTTGAGACATGAACTACAGTTAACTCCTCATAACTCAACCCTGGATTAATTTGTCACTACCACTTAAGTCATCATATTGTCAATATCCCAGCTGCATTTATTTATGTGTTTATTTATATATAATATATGTGTGTGTATGTATATGTGTGTGTATGTGTGTGTGTGTATATATATACAAGTTATCAGGAGTATATATATATATATATCTAACTCGCCACTCCTGATAACTTGTCACTGAGCCCTTTTCCATTGAAGTGACGAGTTATCAGGAGTTCACTGTAGTTAAGTCAGAATGTCACTGCAGAATCGACCCTGGGCTAAGAGACTGACAATTAGTTAGACATCTCTGCTGTACATAATATTTTATTAATTGGATCTTGCACCTCACAATGTAAAATACTGACAATTAAACCCACATCTGGATCTGGTTCAATATGGTGCAACAAAATAGTGGTACTAGTGTTGTGTATAGTGTAAGAAATCTGTTCCACCTGTATAATCTTTCAGAGTAGAACTCAAAATAACACACGTCTCAAAGCAAGTTAGTATTATTAATATTAATCAAACTATTTTGAGCGTCAAAACCCATCTTTCACTTGTAAAGTGGTATCCAGCCAGCTTCAAGACTGAGTTTTCAGACCCTTTCAATTGTTAATTAAATGGAGGGAGATGTGGGAGGGGAGCATTATTCCGACACGATAGTATTTGACTCGGAGGAATCCTGCAGGCTGCAGGTTCAAAAACAGTGGAAGCCGCTCAAGCTGGACACATTGGGTTCTGCTGGCCGTTCTGTCCAGTTTAAGCGGCGTCTGAGGTTAACCGAAGTTCCCCTACCTCTTCCCGCCCAGCAGAGGAGTGACAGTGGTGCCTCCTCCCTCAGAGTGCGGCATTTTGTCCGGATTAACCGGCATATTTAAAATAGGTAAGAATAAAAATGAATCGGGGCTCGGCATGTTGTCTGATTTATCTGGCGTCCGGGGTTTACCAGCGTCCGGTTTAAGGTGATTCACTGCATTAACATATTACTAATGATGCTTCAAGCTTAGGAAATGTCAGTTCCAGGTTAGATTGTTAAAAAAATGACCCGGAAACACTGATCGCTCTTGATCATGTATGAGTCACTCCCATGTTGTGTGTTGTGGCAGTTCAGTGTCATCCTCTTGCTGAACATCGGCCCTCCCTGTTGAGGGAATGTGTGTAGTTGGCACTTTGCAACTGCATTAACGTCTCACCTTGAAGCAAACCTGCTCGCCATTTTGGTTGTCGTGAGCTCTTTGTAACTCATTTTCAGGCCCTCTACTAGCAGCCTTGGCTGAATCATGACCAGCTTCCTCAGATGCAAAGATGGGTATGGTTAGCAAGTGTCGAATTGCACGCGAGCGTGAATGAACGTAAGACGGGTCAACTATTGACAGAAGATTTTATTTATTAAAACCAACAGGGATAACAGAATTAGATGAGTTCACCATGGAGAGGGTCATGGAGGAGTTGGAGCGAAGATGTTACGACAACATGAATCATGCCATTGAGACCGAGGAAGGACTGGGGATTGAATATGATGAAGATGTGGTGTGCGACGTCTGCCAGTCTCCAGATGGCGAGGATGGCAATGAGATGGTTTTCTGTGACAAGTGCAACATATGTGTTCATCAGGTATATTCCTGAATTCATCCATTTTACTCAACGAGTTCATTTATTCAGGTGAAAGATGAGCACCTTGACATATCACTGTGAAGCACCATGCTCCTTTTTTGTTAAGCTAAGCATGAGAGGATTGCTTTACGTACCAAGGTAACATCTAGTTAACTGCCGGCTTGTGATATGATGTATTACAGTTTATACTTGCACTATGTTTCTTTTTAGAAAATGGGTTTTATCATCGCCCACCCCCCCTCCTCCTCCCCAGCTATGGTCATTCTCTGATTGACTGGGTGTGATTGATGGTGGTGGGTGGGGGGAGATGGATTTGAAGAGAGAGACTTCTCATTTGACTTCTGTCAAGTTATTAGAGCCATGTAAGTCCCAGATCTCACAATCCCTTCCAGTGGTATTCCACACATATGCGAAGCTTTGGAACTCTTTCTCCCCCCATTCCCTCTATCTTGCCCCCTCTTTCCCCTCTTTTAGATCACGACTGAAGACCTTCCTCTTCGACCATGCTTACGGTCACCTCCCCCTTGCTCCCCGGCTTGGCGTCAGGATCCGGCACCGTAAAGCGCTCCGAGAGGCTGCCGTGCTTGAATGGTGCTGTATAAGTGCAAGTTGAAATGAATGATCATTGAAAGTAAAGTTGTTCCAATTCACCTGATGTCTGAATAGCTCCGTTTCTAATTACCTCCCCGCCACCCATGTGCGAGGTTGTGGTTTGCATCCCTCAACTTGCCCAAAATTGGGATTGTGTAAGTGTGAAAATCACGGACATCTGTATTCGTGTTCCCCCCACAGCTCCACAATGTGCTGCTGCATTGGGCTGACACAATACGTTGCATTGGGAAAAAAAATCAAGTCAAGACTCGTTCTATAAAGATTTTTTTTCCCCGAAACTTTTATCTGAAACCGAGAACGAGAAGCGGGACTTGTTTTGCTTTGGTTTCACAGAGCTGCGTTGAAATCACGCCAAGCACATTGAAGTGACGTCATAAGGCGCTATATCAAATGCAAGGCTTCTAAGCATAAAAGTAAAAGGCTTTGCTGCTTTTGAAGTGGTTAAGAGCAGTAGATCTCAACAATAAACCAACGATATTCACACTAGAAAGAAGCAAATCTGCACTTCGGAATCATTTTGAGTGTGGGCGGCCAAGTAGTATTTGAAGGAATTGTTCTCTTATAAGCTTTTATTTACCACTGCTGTTGAAGTAGCTCTCTGACTACATTACCACTGTGAGGTTGCTGAAGGTGGAGAAGGTGGGGATATGCCTGTATCTTAAACAATACTTACTGCCTGTATGTCCAGCAGAGTTACAAGATTTTAGCTCTGATCAGAGCTTGGGCTGTTCCTTCACATTTTCCACACAGCAAGGATGCCGCCAGAGTGTGTTTAGACCCCACTGAGCTTTAATAGAGCATTGGATACCTCTGAAAGCTCAGATAGTTTATCCAGTAATAATTCAATGAAAATCCATGAAAATAAACAGTTCAGTAATTTAAATTAAATGTTTGACTTTTTAAAAATAAGTCAATGAAATACACATAAATACATGATACAGAAATGTTAATTTTAAATTTAATGCTGATTGTAGTGGGTATGTCTATGGTACATATTTTGATTTTTATTCCATCCAATTTCCAATCTCCTCTCCAATGGTATTTGATTCCTTCGTACCTTCTACTAGGTCCCTGTCCCAATGGCGACAGTCATTCTGCAAGTACGATTGGTTTAGTGTGACATGCTAACACACTGCTTAACCAGGGCCTCACAGCCAAGTGCAGTCCTGATCACTGTTCAAACCACATGTGTATCTTCCTTTGTGGGGCTCACTGGTTATCGATCAGGGGCCCTGGCTCGTTTCCCCCCAACTAACCCAGAGCTGCTGAAGCCAAATGTATTGTTGTATTGCCCCAACTGATACCAACTAATTCAACACCGACCAAGGTTAGAACCTGCAGCCTTCCACTTCCTGTACCATAGGGTGCTTTTGCTTTTACTAAATCAGGGAGCTTAAGTGTGGTACACGGTATACGAAAATAATATTTCATAATCTATTTTGATCACTTCAAAATGTCCATTCACGCTTGATGTGATACAAGTCTATACAAGTACTCTAATGTTTCATTGCTGCATCCTCAGTGTGTTGTTCTGTAATCTCACTGTAGATCAGGTTGGACCATCAGGGATTCAAAACACATCATTAGGATTGGAAACAACCCAAGGGCAGGGAAATATGCAGCGGCAGAAGCATAATCCATTGGTTTATTACTAGAATGTGATCATTTACCAGATCAGAGACAATGTGGTAACACCAGCTTCCCCGCCCTCCCTCCCTCTCTCTTTTGAGCATAGTGCTCAGAGGTACAGGATGAGAAAACGCAAACCGATCTCGTTTTATGCCTGTACCATCACAGAAAGAATTCGACAGTATTAACACAATGTGCAAGCAGGCATTAGAGACCTAGGAGATTAAAAGCAACAAAGTGAGGATGACCTGCAGGTTACACTGCTTGCTAATGTGGTAGCTGTTGCGAAAGATGGTGCAGACAAGCATGTAAGGCTTGCAAAGTCCTTAATTGGTTTGCACAATGTATTGGATTACTGCTTGGCAGGAATCCAACGCATTGTGCAGATTTCTATAACTGACTTAGATGCTGTACTGCAGGTTATGTAACTAACATGGAGGCTGGTGCTCAGTGGATTTAGTTGTCTCGCTGGTGAAGTATAAATTGCGCCATGTCTTGAGTTTTGGTGATATATTTACTCCTGAAGCCAACTGAGCTTTGACTCTTTAAATACTTCACTTTGCATAAGGTGAAAAAAAAACAGGTGAAGCTTAAGATTGAGCTTTTGACCATGATGGTGGTTTGTGATCCTTACATGGTCTTGATTTCAAGATCCTCATCCTCACCTACAAGGCCATCACGGCCTTGCTCCCTCCTACCTCTCCAACCTACTATCCCCCTACCTACCTGCCCGTACCCTCCGTTCCTCTGGCTCCGGTCTACTCCACGTCCCCCGCCCCAACCGCCCTACCATCGGTGATCGGGCCTTCAGCCTCTCAGCCCCCAGGCTCTGGAACTCTATCCCCCAGTGCCTTCGCCGCCTCCTCCCTTTCCTCCTTCAAGGCCGGTCTCAAAACCTTTCTCTTTGACGGTGCCTTCAGCTCCCCTCTGACTCTCTTCCCCCTCCTCGCTCCCTCCCTTCCTCCCCTCACCCTGACCATTTCCCCCCTCCTCGCTCCCTCCCCTCCCCTCACCCTGACCATTTCCCCCCTGCTCGGGTCATGACCCAACTGTGCAGCGCCTTGGGACGTCCTCCTGACGTGAAAGGCGCTTTATAAATGGAATCTTGTTGTTGTTGTCGTTGTTGGAGAAATCGTACTTGGAATATGAGGGCAAATCACTGGATTTCTCACGTCCTGGATCACAGGCTCCAGGGTTTGCAGTCTTTGCTGCTGTTTGGTGGCGGAGGTAATAGGGGGGGTTGCTGCCGCCAGCAGTCTTTATGTGTATGAATGGTGCCTTTTTGAGCATATTATGCGATTGTCAATTGCATGTGTGCTGGTGGTCACTGGGAGTGGGTTGTAGCCAGATTCACCTCAGGAGGGGGGCAGTCTGCCAGTTATGAAGCTAAAAAAAACTAGACATCATACGAACCTACAGGATCTCCAGAAAGACCTGTTAACCTCCCTGCCCCCCCCCCCCCCCCAGCCCCCACCTTTCAGTGCACTGACCAACAACTCAAGCATGTGGAAGAATGACGATAATTAAGAAGTAATTAATTGCATTCAGTAAAAGTGTTTAACTGTATTTAGATGGTGTGTGAGCACCATTATTTTCATGGCAGATATTGACCGTCGCTGGGTTTGGTGCGACATCTTCCATAAAATGATGCAATGACGAGACAAAATGCATCTCTGACAGCTTGTTTCAGCTCCCCTGTAGTCTCATATCACTGTTTTGTAAGAGGAGGTAAGAGGACTTTTTGGACACCCTGTGCATTCGAAATAACATAAGGCACAGGAATCAGGCACTCTCATGCCTATCACTCTCTGTTCACATCCTCCCAAAATAGGATCAGGTTCATCTTCACCATCCTTTTAACAAGAAAATAATCAGTAATGTACAAGGAATGTTGAAGGTTAGCAGCCGAGGACTCAATGAAAAGAAGAGATTCAACCCAACATGAACAACTTTGTGAAATAAACACATTCGCGTTAAACTGTTATGATGTACAATCTGAATTATTTTCTAATTGAGATTATTTACTGCCACGGTTTGCCTATTAACTGTTTGCCAATTTCCATTGTGATTTTGATTGGTGTCAGGTCATTGTGGCCCCATTTCAGATTTCAAGCTTGGAGCTTGTTAAAAGTCCCGCAGGATGTAGGGTGATGATGTTATCCCATGGGATGGAGGGTGTGGCTATTTCTGGAAGTAAAGATGAATATTTAAAAAATAACCTCGGGCATATAAAACACATCATTACTTTTAAAAACTGCTCATTGACAAGGAAATCTCTGTCGATGTGTGATTTAGGAAAATATAAGAGGACGATGCAGCTTTTAAACTGATTGTTGATGGATTTCACGTGCTAATTACTATGTATTGTAGTTTAAATAAAATCGTTGCTTTCGATGAAGCACCTTTCGTGTCAGGAGGATATCTCAAAAAGCATTTTGCAGGGTTTACTGTATTTTGCAGACAACGTTCAAACGGCTATGAAGTGAATATGTATTTTATCTACGGATTGTTGGCCAGAACACAGAAAAAATCACTTCTCTTTTCGAGTAGTGTTACGGGATCTTTGAAGTCCACCTTGCGTGAAGAGACTTTGGTTTAACGTTTCATCTTTAGGACGGAGCCTCCAGCAATGCATCTCATCCCCAGCATTGCATTGGAGTATCAGCATAGACTGTGAGCTCAAACTGGGGCTTGACCTCGCAGCTTTCTGACTCCGAGGGGAGAGTGCTACAAACTGTGCCAGGCTGACACCCGAGGCCATGAATATTAATTAACATGTACTGTGACTGGAAGGCCTTGCATAATTTTCTTTAATGACCTATCTGAATTCCAAAACTTTTTGGAATGTTTGTTGCATGTCCGGCTGTTTGTACCTCTGTTTGAAATAATGCCAGAGAAAGCGTTTTCCGATAGTGGGAGGAAAACGCTAGGGGTTACGCTTCACGTTTGGTGGCGAATTGCTTTTATTTTGGCGGCAATTTGCCTTCATTTGTTCAGTGTAACCAACTACACCTCAGCCAGTGTGAATCACATTGGACCCCGTGTCTGAGAGCAGATGGCGGAGGTGATTTCAAGAGCAGTTTAATCCTTTGCAATTGTAATGGCGACAGCAGGAACACTTAAACCTTGGAAAAGGTTGCAGCCTACTTCTAGGATTTTTCATTGATTTCAAAATAGATTGAATCTGGACGCTGATTGGCACCGAGGCTTAATCTGCTCGCAGTCTTCCATGTAGATCTAAGGAGTAAATAGAAATCCCATGGGAGGCAGACTTTAAGTGCCATACCATCAGTTGAATTTTGAGTGCATTAGGAGACAGGTATTGAGTTTTTTCGGGGGGACAAAAAAGACATGCCTTTCGCGTTGCAGTCATCATCTTAGTGTGAGAGGCGTTCCCCGCTGGGTAATATGTAGAAGAAGAACAACACACCTTAAACCTTTTAGCGTTTGTGGTAGTGCATCTGCTGAGCTTTCCTGGAGGCTGTGATTAGTAGAAAGGATTTTAAATAGGAGACATCTATCCCCTCCCTAGTCTGCCCTATTAGTGCAGGAAGTCATTGCACCTTTCTGTTTGTTACAGGCTTGTTATGGAATCCTGAAGGTCCCAGAAGGCAGCTGGTTATGTCGGACTTGTGCCCTTGGTGTCCAGCCTAAGTGTTTACTTTGCCCCAAGAAGGGTGGGGCTATGAAGCCAACACGAAGCGGAACAAAGTGGGTTCATGTCAGCTGTGCTTTATGGATCCCAGAGGTAAGAAACCCCCACCCCCCACCACCACCAACCCCGCATTCTTCTCTCACATCATTGTTTTCATTGAAATCTGAAGAATGCAGTTTGTTTGGCAATGCTTTGCCTGCAATGATCGCCTTTACTGTTAAGATTGATCTTCTGATACTAATACTACACGCAAGCAAGCATTTATTAGTTGTACAAAGAAAAGGCAAAGCCAGAGTCTTAAATCGAGGACTTGTGAAACCTGGCAGCAGCTGTGTTTCCATCTTGCCATCGACTTGTTATAAGAGTAACAATAATCCTTACATTTGGTATAGCGCCTTTTACGTCAGGAGGATGTCTCAAAACACTTCACAGGATATACTTTAAAATACTGCACAGTCACTGTGTGTTTTATGGGCGAACATATTTGAGCGTTTGGAAATGGTGGAATTTCTGATTCCATTCATTTCACAGAAAAGACTTGTACTATATATTTCTTCATCCTACCACATCCATCGCCTTGGGGGTTGTGATTGAAACCATAGGGCTTTTTATTAAACTTGTCCTAACTTTTATTTTTAATTTAGGTTAGCATCGGCTGCCCAGAGAAGATGGAACCCATAACAAAGGTCTCGCACATCCCTACCAGCAGATGGGCTCTGGTTTGCAGCCTGTGTACTGAGAAGACTGGGGCTTGCATACAGGTTTGGAACAAAATCCATTGCCTAATCTTAAGCATTTTTCAACCAAGTGGGTCACATCAAATAATGTGGCATGTGAATTACACATTGTGCAAATCAATCAACCTCCGTAAACTAGGGAGTTGCTATATTGCATTATGTTCCGAAGTAAGAAAAAAATAATTGAGTAGCGTGTGATAGCTATCTGGCTGAATTAATTTGGTTTCACACTAGAGGTAAAGGAACGTTTTCCTAAATATCCAGCATAACAGATATTCTATTGCAGGCCGTACCTGAGTTACATGCAGGTTGTCGCAAACTGATTTGAAATTGTTAAATGGAGATAAATAGCTGATGAAACTGAGGATATGCCCCCAGGTTTTTTTTCCTCTTCCACAATTTGAATCAATTCTATTTCTGAAGGTACAGCCCTTTTTTGGGGGTTGTGTGTACTAAGTGACCTCAACTAAGTGGCTATTTATATTTCCAGTGTGAGCCCAGTCAGGGAAGCTAATGATTCAAAAGAGGTGGACCTCACAATTTGCTAGGGTTAACTGGATCGTGATCTGGAGCAAGACTTTGGCTGATTTTTTTTATTTACTCTCCTGTGGATGAGGAAGCCGATTGTATAATAATGAATTGGTACAGCCTGTGCCAAGTTATTATTATCATTATTATTATTCAATTGGCACACCTCCTTTCCTCCCCCTCCTCTTCTCTCTTGCTCAGTATCTGGCTCCGTCCACATAAAGCGTTACAAGACATGTGTGAGGACTGAAGGATGCTTTAAAAACACAAGTTGCTGCTGTTGAGTGTAAAGTGAACAGCGGGAATAGCTGTTAACACTAAGCTTAAGATGGGGAATGAGGATGGGGGATAAATGTAAATAATAATAATCCTTGCATTCAGTATAGCACCTTTCATATCAAGAGGAGTCACAGGATATAATAATAATAATCCTTGCATTATATGTACTGTAAAGAGTACGGATCATGCATTTGGTAGGTGAATGCGGCAGCTAATTTGCCTACAGCAGTGTCCCACAAACAGCTGTGAATTGAATGACCAAATTTTATTTGAGAAAGGGAGGGAAAAGCCCACTGTTTGACATAAATTAGTGATGTGCTGACTAATTAAATTGCACAGTAATTGGCTAATACACAAGATAAGGTCAGTAGCCAGTGAGCATGGAAAGAGACTAGGTTTTCTCTAGGGAAAGCCAGTGGACTTTATCTGACGCTCGGATCACTGGGTGACTGCGAGCAAAGGAATAGGCACCTGCTTTTTGAATGCTTTTTCCAGGAGAATTCTAACCCCCTCCCACACACGCGCATTTCACGGAAAAATGGTACAATATTTGATTTCACCATTAAGATTCAGTCAAAACACTTTACAGTATATCCTGTGAAGCACTTTGAGACGTCCATCCAACGTGAAAGACTCTATACCAAACCCAATTATTGGGTTCTAAAAGTGTTGATTTCTTAGCAATAATAACTTTCAAAAGGGAATTGGATACTTACTTGAAAAGAAAAAAAATTGCAAAGCTACGGGGGAATAGCAGAGAACTGGGACTAGTTGGATAGCTCTTTCAAAAGAACTGGCACATGCACAATAGGCCGAATGGCCTCCTCCTGTGCCGCAGGATTGTATGAATCCCACGAGAATTCCTTCCGACCACGAGGAACTCCACTCCTGATGGAGGTAGCGTCAGAGCGGATGAGCACGATGGCACCTCTGGTCATAGGAATGAGTCTCCATTGGCGAGCTTTGGATAGATTCCTTGATGTTAAAAAAAAATTCCGTTAGGAATCTTGTGATCTGGACCCTGAATTGGTGGATCAGCAGCCTATCTCCCCGCACTAACTAACCTCTTCTCCTGTAACCTCCCTCCTGCAGTGCTCAGTGAAGAACTGCCGGACGGCCTTCCATGTCACCTGCGCCTTCGACAGGGGTCTGGAAATGAAGACCATCCTAGCAGACAACGACGAGGTCAAGTTCAAGTCGTACTGCCCGAAGCATGGGAGCAGGCAGCAGGCCGTGGAGGAGGGGGCGGAGAGGGGAGGAGACCGAGGCCCCGGATGCATGGCAGAGACTCGGGAGAAGGCGTTGCCGGCAGGGAAGTCCTTGGCCCTGGATCAGAGTCAGGAGGAGGAGGAGGAGGCACAGAGGATCGGGGCTCGCAAACAGAAACTACAGCAGCTGGAGGACGAGTTTTACAACTTTGTCAGCGTCTCCGAGGTTTCCCAGCAGCTAAAGTTCAGCGTGGATCTGGTGGATTTAATTTACCAGTACTGGAAGGTGAAGAGGAAGGACAACTTCAATAAGCCGCTCTTCACTCCCAAGAAGGACGAGGAGGACAATTTGGCCAAGCAGGAGCAGGACGTGTTGTACAGGAGGCTGCAGCTCTTCACACACCTCCGGCAGGACCTGGAGAGGGTGAGTGCTCACTCCTGCCATTTTATTCACCGAGCTCTCGGGAATTTCACTGTTCCCTTATAATTTTTTTTGAAAATGTTATAAATGCCTTTAATTTAGATGAGCCTGGCTTTTTAAAAAAAAATTAAGGATACAGGAGAAAAATAGTTGGGAGCTGGGATTATATATTTTGTCCGTTGGCAGTGGCAGGGACACGGTGGGCCGAAGGGCCTCCTCCTGTGATGAGAAATGACGTTCCTGTATGTTTTTGTTCTGGTTGAATCGAAAATCCTCTCATTTTGCACTTTTTTTTAAAAAAAATGATAAATATAGTCAATGCACTTCCCAGTTTAATCCTGTGAAACGAGCGCTTTGAGATGTCTCGACGACGTGATAAATCGCTATATTAAACACAAGGATCATCAACAATAGATACAGATTTCCCACTGACTGGGTGGGACTACGGACTTCTCTGTAATCGCCATCTTTTACAGTCATCCAGTGGGAAGGATATCTATCATTTATATTTCTCCTCTCACCTAATCAGATGTACCTCGTCGCTAAGGGTTAATAGGTGCCCCAAGTTTGTGCCCACAACTTGGTGGATGAATCAAATCACAAAGCAGGCTTTGAGCTCGGCCCTTTAGCTCACAGTTAGCGGATGCCAAGTCCCTAGAGGAGCAAGCAGCCCCCAACTGTCTTAATTGGACTAGTCACTGTGTCAATAAGAGGTTCACCCATGCCTTGGATTGAATTATATTGTTATGTATATTTCATTACAGGCCTGATGCTATAGTGCACCTCTATACCCTGTCACAAATTAACACGCGGGTCCAAGAGAAGAAGTTCAAAGTTCATCTGTACTCCCCTTCCACAAAAACAAAAAGCCACATTACCTCGTGGTTTACGGCTTTGATTCTTGATTCAGATGAAGATCTGCCTCCCACCTGATGCTAGATTTACTCTCCATGTGGGATGAAGAGTTGCTTTCAGTTAGGGTACATTGAGGCTTCATTCGCAGGGCTGATTGACTGATGTTGAAATTCCAGTCGCTGTCCTGAGAATGTTTTTCTTTCACTCTGCTCTTGAGTGGAGCGCTGTGCTGGGACAATCTCGCAATGTGAGCTTGCAGCCTATCATCATCCGTGGCCAAATGGTGCCCCATTGTGAAATGATGGAAATTCCTAAAATGTGTGAGCGAGACAAGGTTGAGGGACTCACTCAGTAATGCACCTCACGTGACTTCCTATCAGCTGGGCTGGAAGTTCCCTTGTTGATGACGTGATAAGAGGATGTGCGGAGAAAGAGAGAGAGAGAGAGACGTAGATTAGCAAGGGAAGAAAAACTGTACCTTGAGAGCTCTCGTTTACAAGCTGTGGCAGATTTGAAAACATAATGAAGACAGTCTGGTTCTCAAGATGTTAAACCCACAGCTCGTCCAATTCACAAGTGTAAAACGATTCCAGAAAGTAATTCCTACGTGGAAATGGGATGTGTTATGTCACTGTAAACGCCATTCTCACTATTGGCAAGACTGAGCCCCTATGTTTTTGACCTGGTGGCTCCCCTCAATTGTATAAGCTCTGTATGTATCTGCTCTCTGCCCTTTCTCCCAACTTAACCTTATGTCATCTTGATTCCAAGATTGCATTTCCAAATCTTAAGTTCTCTTTCTTACGTTTACCTATAGTCGTGCCCCACTCATTGAATGAGTTAGCAATTAATCCACCACATTTTTCTCCTCCACTTTAATATAGCACATTATATTTGCTGTTTGCTGCTGGTTCAGTCTGAAATCTGTTTAAAGCAGGATAGATCTTTTACAATGCAGTCAATTTCACATAAGGGGATTACAGAGTATCACTCAGTGAATTTTTTTTGGGTAAGCTGCCAGGATTTGAAAATTGTAATTATTTTCTATCTGCCCTCATGACATTTATTTCCCGTTTCTGGATTAGGTTTACCACGTAAATTCCTGCTCATATTTTATTTTGGCTCGAGTTAGAGCCTCGATGCCCTAGATCCCTTGAAGAATCTGCTGCATGGTGTCTAAACAGTGTCCTAAACTGCGGCAAAAAAATAATGGACGGTAGAAAGTTTACGTTCATGAAAATCATCTGATTTACTACTAAGTGCACAGCGAAGCTGTGTAGAGGGAAATCCTGGGTAAAGTTTTGCTGTGAAGCCCTGATCAGGGAATGTTGTTTGAGGCACTAGCATTAACTGTACGGGTTTGAGGGGTGAATATTGATTGACAAGAGGCATTGACCCTTGCTATTCCTTGCTGGGCTGGGCCTGAAATGAGCAAGGTGCCAGAAGAGTTTTCGTTTTAACTTTTTGTTCATACTGTGGCTTTTCCTTCTCTGTGCAATACTGGACGTATACAGTGTGGCAATACTGTAATAAAATCCAATAAACACAGCTGCAGGCTTTGTACAGTACACACTGCGTGGCTATCTCTTATTTTCCAATTTCCTCTCCCTTCTGTAGAAGGTTTCTTAGCGTCTGTGCTGATGCAGCCTTTACTTTCCTCGGCAGCCGCTTACAGGTCTTCATTCTATCCCTGCAGTTGACCATGAGTGGGGTGATAGCTTTCTGAACTCAGATAGGACACACTCCCTCCCTGTGTTATTTGTTTCAGTGCTGAAGCTGTGATTCTGTTGGGGAAGTGGGTTGCGGGTGAGAGCAAAAGAGCAGCTACCTGGCATTAATCTCTGCAGAATTTGGACTATCTTTGATTTTGTTGTAAAATCACTTGACACATCATTTTCGCTTGTATTAACTCTTGATATAAACTCCCAAGATAAAATGAAGATCCTCTTTTAAACAGCATGTGGTAGAAAATACTATTTATATTGTATACACCGGTATATATAAAAATTGCCTCGCAGCATCTCGCATAATCAATTGGAATTTGAATCAGATTGAGGTGTTCAAAACAATGAGGTTAACTGACCGCTAGATAATGGCTGACTCTTCCCTCTAGTAAAGTGATCCAAAATAACAGGACGTGATCTTACAATTGGAACTAGTGTGGATAGAGGTGAGATTGGAAAAAAAAGATCTTCGTGCAAAGGGTTGTAGGAACGCATGCGTCCCCAAAGGGCCATAGATGCAGACTTGATTGGGTGTTTGAAAAGGCGTTAGATACAACATGGTACATGGAGAAAAAGGCAGGTCATGGGATTAAAGGATCTATTGCGGTTGAACAATCTGTCTGGACAGGCTCAATGGACCGAATGGCCTGTTCCTATGCTCCTGTTTTGTTCGAGAGAGGTGAAGAGTTCTTATGTTGCCGGTTGTCTGCCAGTTGCATTTAAAAGCTTAAACACTTGACAAATTCTTCCCTCCTTTCTTCCTGAGAGAGTGAGAGGTGACCATCAATAGCAATGTGTGTGATATTGTGGCAACGAGAAGTAGAGTAAAACCCTAATGTAGGACGCTTTCTCATAAACGTAGGTTCGCTTATAAGGTGGACATCCTGTGACCCCAGCATCCCACACGCCAAACAATGTTTAATCTCCATGTAATAACAAGGTTCTAGTTGAGTTAGATGTTCATATACACTGTGGGTGACTTGTTCCCATAAGCAGGCGATGTGGGGTAAGTGGCAGCCTCTGAACTGACCATTTTCTCCTGCCAATGATTTTGGTGAGTGTAGGTATCACTCCTGTGTATTTTTTTTAAAGTAATGTGGAGGCCACTGGTATTGAACTGTTCCTGAAGCCTGTCTAATAGGTTGTGATGTTTCCTCACTAGGTTAGGAATCTCACTTACATGGTGACCCGAAGGGAGAAGATTAAGAGAACAATCTGTAGAGTCCAAGAGCAAATATTCCAGCACCAGATGAAACTTGTCGAGGAGGAGCGCATTTCTGGTGAGTGGAGCAAGAGCACGGCTAGACGTCTGCTTGGTCTGATGTCTCCCTTTTCTCTCCCCTTCTTCACAATAGAGCTGAAATGCTGGTCAGTGGTCAGCCAGAAGTCGCCGTTCGTGGTCACAAGTGCTGCGGTGTAATTCTCGGCAATAATTTTAACCCATTTAATCCAAAATCCGTAGTTGTTCTCGCAGAGAAAGATTGAAGCTTCTTGCACAGGCAATCAGTGACTTGCTAATAAAGTCACTGTTGAAAGTCGAAAGGAGTTGTTGTAGTTCTGGTTCAGATGCCTAGGCCTAGTGTGTGCTGAGATAGCAAATAACATAAGAATTGCTAGACGTAAGAAGTCCAAGGTCCATCCAGTTCGCTTTCCACCATCCTGGCAGTCGCATGTACATGTCATGCCCAAACTATACACTCTATCCCAAGATATTGTTTCCTAAAAGAAATCTAATAGCAGTCATGGTGAGAGGAAGTGTGCTACAATTAGCCTCAGAGTGCCTGTGTTGGGAAGTGGTGATGTTGTATTTGCCACAGTTTTCATTCCAAGATTGCTAGCAAGTCACTGGAAAATACACACCTCGGGTTAATGGAACAAATTTGGCTATAAATCTGCACGGTCATAGTCATAGATGTTGCCGACCTGCTCTGCCTCAACTTGTACATTTATTTTGGGTCAGCCAAGTGACGTAGTCCTAAACCATCAGCATCTTTAAACATGGTTAAGTGCTATTTCAAGGCACTGCTAAGGACAGACCATCCAGCACTGGCATATTAGCAGGACTTAGAGGGACTGCCCAGTCATTCAACATGGATTATTCCCACTCGGCTCCTGTTAACCCTGCAAGCTAAAGCCCTAACAGTTAGTGTGGTCCAAGCTGGACAAACAGCAGGAAAGCTTCCCAGTCAACTTTTGCGATGGTAAGCTGTACAATATTAGCAAGTTAAACTCCAACAGTAACCCCCAAACTATGTTCTATGGGACCCCAAACCTTCGTTCTTGCCAACTGGCATAACCTACACCTAAACCTTCCAGGGTTAGATAAGCAGTGTGCAGAATCGAGCCACAAAGGACCCCCTTGCTGCATGACAATGTTATTCTCTGTTTAGTTCTCAGATCTCAAAGCAATATAAAAGTAAACTGTTGGAGTCCTGTGGATACCCAGCCAAGGAAACAGATTACTGTGACTGCCAGAGGGTCAACTCAATGCCAATACTCCATTACTGTATATGTGCGCTGGAGCCAAATCATTCCCAATCCCAGTCTCAGACCCCACTTACCTCTCCTCTCCCCCCACCCCCCCCCCTCAAAGGATAATCATATTAGAACAACCAACAGCGAAGTTGGTCACACAGAATTCTGAGTCCTGCTCCTCCTCAACCAATGTGAAGGATGTGATAGTTTCAATATGTGCAGGTCTAATACGAATTTGTTTGACATCCAGCAGTTTTTGTAACTGCAATACTTTTCTTTGGTTAAATGCCCACTGCACATCTGAAGACAGCGCTTTACATTAATAACTGCAGGGATTGTGAATTTACGAGCACAGCTGTTGGAAACCACTGCACAGAATCCACTGTCAGATCTCGAGGTCTGAGCACTTGAACAGAGAATAACGTTGGCATGCAGTAAGGAGGTCCTTTGTGACTTGAGTGTTGATTTGATTTTCCATTACACCAGTTAAGTACAGCTGTTGTGACCAGTGGATTAGATTCTCCATAACCCTCATAGAATAGAACTAGTCATTAGCAGCTCAGTGGTCTAGTCTTAATCCCTTTTGAGAATGACTAGTAGTGTCACGGAAGCACACCAAAACACTAGCTCGCATGAAGGGTGCTATGTAAATGCAAGGTGTTGTTGTTGTTGACTTTGATTTTCGGGTGGTGATATAGGTCGATGTAGCTGATCACTAGTGAACCTCCCCACTCACCTTCTTTACAAGATGGGGACAATCTTAACCTGTTTTGTTTTTGTGCCTGTGGAGTACAGGAAAAACAAACATAAACACAATGAGCTTACAAACAACAACAGCTACTTGCATTTATATAGCGCCCTTCACGTAGATTAACATCGTCTTGCAGTCACTTTATCTTTACAGTGACCTGACTTCCCCGGTTCCTGACCCTGCAGCATGTCACAGCCACACTGAGATCCCATTGTTTGATATGCGTTTTTTTTGCTCTATACAGCAATTTTGCTTCTGTTATCAATTTGCCACAATTTATCTCCACACATTCCTGACTGCGCTCTTCTTTTCGTTATTTGTGCTGTCAGGTTTTCAAGTGAATATTGAGCCCTGAAGGCTTCTTTGCAGTGAGGATTGCTTAATGTGGGAAGAGCTTGATTATAGCAAGCATTTGGTAGAGAAGGCTGCAGAGTCATTAAAATGCACCTTTACTTTGGACTGCTATGGTTGGTATGATGCAGAGAGAACTTGCCTTCAGAGGCTAATTTGATGTCGTCAGTCTGTCCATTGAAGCCCCATTGAGTGGGCAAGTCAGTGGTAACGCTTGACAGCTCTAGGCTATCTTCAGCTGGGCTGGCTGGTTTCAAAGGCTGAACACAGTCAGCAGGTTCTGCTTTCCACGAAACAAAGACTGTTGTTTCTAGAGCTGACAACATGGAGTGGGGGGAAGGGGTTAGTAATTTCTGAACAGGAAGGATTGACATAGACTGCAAACACGTTTGAAATTCTGGAAGCTTTGCTTATTCTTACAGCTGATGTGCATCAAAAAAAAACATTTTCAAATCGGCTTGTGTTTCCCACTGAAACATTACTCGAATTTCTAAGAACTTGCAGGAGATTTTTTTCCCCCTCCTCTTTGCCAGGAGAGAAAGTGTTCCCTGCGTCCTCAGGAATGCACCACCCCCCCTACCCCCTCCCATTCGTGTTTCTTTCGGTTCCTGAGACAGCATTGTGGGTTCTGAGGCTTTTCCTTCCCCTGCTCCCTGTGCTGCCTTCATCTGTTCGGGCAGATCGTCGCCAGTTACCGACAGTCACTTGTAAAGAAGCTTCAGTGGCAGCTGCTATCTCGAGATGTTTGGTCGCTGACAATTCAATTCAAAATCAAATGCTTTCGCCCGCAAAATATACAGTCAATTCACTTTACAGTATATTCTGTGAAGCGCTGTGAGACCTCTCAAAGTTGTGATAAGGCGTTTACATCCTGAAATAATAAGGATTATTATTATATTATTATTACTTTTGTAACTTTCTGGTAATAATTTGGTCACTCAATCTGTGACTGTTTGTGGAACACTGCTGTGCGCAATTGGCTGCTGCGTTTCGCCTACAAAATATACAGTCACCACACTGGGGTATATTCTGTGTGCCCTTTGAGATGTCTCAACGACATGATAAGTCGCTATATTAAATGCAATGATTGGAGTGGAGTCCTGTAGCTCAGTGGTTAGAGCACTCGCTTTGCAAGCGAGAGACCTGAGTTCAATTCCAGGCACAGGGCGAAACCTTGGGCAAGTTTCCTTACTCCACACGACTAATAATAATCCCTCCAAAACCAAAAACAATAATAAATTGGTCATTTTCAATCTACGACTGTTTGTGAGACATTGCTGTGCGCAATTGGCTGCCGCGTTCGCCCACACAAAAAAATATACAGTCAATTCACTTTACAGTGTGTTCTGTGAAGCGCTTTGGGACGTCCTCCCGACGTGAAAAGCGCTATATCAAATGCAAGGATTATTATTATTATTATGCACAATCCACAACTTTAAATCTGCCCTTCTGATCAGCACAGTAAACCTTAAACCATGTTTGAATTTGAATGGATCTAGTCCTTTAGGGGAGAGATCCAGATCTTACTGGAACCTCTGCTATTCAGGGTTGCTCAGAGGTATAGTGATTAGTGAAGGAATTGAACCAATCCTCCTAACATGGTGAACTCAAACAACAACAATAGCAAAGTAGCGCCCTTCACACGAGATAGCGTCCCGGAGTGCTTGACAGTGGCGGGAGTCTGATGTCGAGCCAGGGGTAGAAAGAGAGGGGAGGTGACCATAAGCACGATCAAAAAGGAAGGTCTTAAGCCGGGATTTGAAGGTGGGGAGGGAGAGGGAAAGGCAGAGTGATTGAAGGAGAGAGTTCCAGAATTTCAGGGCGCAGAGAATGAAGGCTCGGCTACCGATGGTGGAGCGGAGGGGATGAGGGACAAACTCTGCTTCTCAGGATGTTTTCTGTACTCTTAAAGCTTGTGTTTCAAACCTTTGGAATACAGTACATTGAAATGAGAGGACTGGAGGCATCCCAATTGCTAGTATTTAAATGATTTAATTGTTGAGGAATGGAGTGAGGGAGGTGTTGTACTGTGTCCTTTCTTGCACTTCTCAGATCTCCTCGTGGGTTGACTAAGAGCCATTGATGCCATTCAGCAATGGTCTTATAGAGTCAAGTACCATAAATGATTGTGGCTAATTTTGAAATGGTACTAACGCTTATACTAAGTGCTCTCACTTGTGCTCTCGGTGTTGACTGAAAAGAATATTCAATAAAAAATGGAGGGGTACCTCTGAATTTTTATTTCAAAAGTTTCTTAAATCCCAGGATAAATACACCTGTTATTCTCCCCTGAATCCTCATTCCTCTTTTCACCAAACACTGGCCTGCTTCATGTCCTCCATGTGGTTTGTTCCACAATCGTTGGGCAATCCTTAAACCACTCTGCCTCCACTGTGCCTTGCTCCTCCATTTCCACCTTCAAAACCTGCCTTAGTATCCTCGGCCGTGCTTTCAGCCACTGTTCTCCTCCCTTCTTCAGCTCCCCACTCCGCCCCACACACAAGCATCCAGAACCTAGTGTGCTCATTTTGAAATTTTCAATGTGAAATATATTATTGTCTTCACCAGGAGTCACAAACTTGTTTTATGTGAGGGGGCTTCCAGGCTTGGCGTGGAATTGATGGTGCTGAACTTTCGTGGAGTAAATCTGAGTGTAAATTACAGGCTCCACTGACATTTGGTGTTGGGTTTATCTTTCGGGGAAAGTTTATCATTTTGGGGCTATGGAGGGTTTCAAAGGCAGACAGGACAAAGTGCTCCTAAAGCGGTTCTGTTCTGCACGAGTTCTGACTTAGTGAATGAGGGATTGCTATCTATGGAGTAACTGGTTCTTTGAACATCGGAGGACTGAAATTCCATGTGTAAGACCATTTTTATGTCTTAAAATTTGATATTGTGCAGAATTGAAGCAAATTTGTAAATTCAGTCCATTTAGAAGCTGGTGTCTCTTAAACAACTATGGAAAAATAGCTTCCGCATTAAGACTGAATTTCAAGAAATTTCCACAATTCTTAAATGTTAACCGAAAATGGTCTTATAGGGTCAGAGTAGGTGGAATTTTGGGACTTGGGTGCCTAAATATTACTCATGTAGTTAAATATTGCATCATCTCAAAGCGCATCTCATATTGAGATGACTCCCGCCTGCTTCACGTTCCCTCACCTCGCTCGCCCCACTATTGGCGGGCGGGCTTTCTGCCACTCTGCCCCCACCCTCTGGAACTCCATCCCGCAGTCCCTCCACCTCGCCCTCTCCCTTGCCTTCTTCAAGACCCATCTCAAGACCCTCCTCTTCGACCGTGCTTTCGATGTCCCTGCTTCCCTCCCCCTGTCCTCCACCCTCACCGACCCCGACCCCCAGCTCGGGTCCGATACTCTGTCCAATACCTTGGGTCTTCCTCCCGACGTGAAAGACGCTATACAAATGTAATTTTGTTGCTGCTGCTGTTGTATTGGGGCCTACCTCCGCGGTTTCAATACCTTTTTTAAAAAAAACATGAAAAGGGCATTTTCCAAATTCAGAAAATGTCACACAGGGCCACCTGGGAGAAACGTTCAAATAATGACGTAATAGTTTCAGTGGTTGGTACCATCAGGAGTGCCCAGTAAGCCCTTTGAGATGTTCATCACACGGGAAAGCCAGTACAGGACAGCCCTTTTGAAATGGGCCTTTCTCTGCGGGTTTGATTATGATGCGGTCGTCCTTTGGACCCGCGCGTGCAGTTGTCGGGGTTCCTGTGGTTGGAAGTGATGTCAGCGGAGGCTGTATTTTTTTCAAGGAAGTGATGTCAGCTTGCGTGCGCACAAGAAGTGACATTGCAGGGGCCACTTTGTTGTGTTGCCCAATCATAGTGTGATGCTTGGGGTATCCGGACCTGAAACAGTGCGTTATAACGGGGTTCTCCTGCATATAAATGCAGTTACAAATGTCAATTGCGTGTTGGTCCCTTTGAGCGTTTATTAAGGGAATACTGAAACCCGCACCCTAAATGCTAATTGATGTTCAGGCCTGTAGCAATACGACGCTGTAAGTTGTACCCTTTTGTTTTGTAGGTGTGCCTTCAGCATTCCCGTCGGATGAGGCTCTATTCCTTGGTTGGTTGGCGCAACCTGATCAATCGGATGATTTCCAATGGCGATCGAGCAACCGGGAGCTGGGAATGCCTGGCCAGCACTCGGCCCGAGTGTGGCGTGCAAGCAGCTCCCACGTGGGCGACAGAATGCGAAGCCACACAGTCGCTGCCCACAAGAGTTTGTTGAAACAATCGAACCGGGTCAGTGAGGTCAAAAGCAAAGCTGACCCGCACAGCACGAGGGAGGATTACAGTAGCCCGCGCGCTCTCCCGTCGTACGAGAAAGTGCGGCCGGGATCGCAAGGGAGCACCCGGGAGAGGAGTAATGGATTGGCCGGATCTGACTTGAGGAGGAAAACCGAGGGCAACATGGGATGTAAAACGGAATCGAGGGACAGAGCTTCTTCGAGGCGAGAGAAGTCTCTTGCGGCCATGGAATCCACCCTGAAGCAGTCGGAAAACAAGCGGGTTTTGTACGCTCCGACCTGCAGGCTGCCCGCCATCGGCAGTCGGAGGTTATCCGGGGATGGCAGCCTGGCACACACAAAATGCAATGGTACTTTGAGCCGGTTGGCTTGCAACCAAACGACCCTTCCTATTGCTCGTCCTGCAGTCAAAGTGCCTACCACCCCTACGAGCCCAGTGAAAAACTGGGGTGGGTTTAAAATCCCGAAGAAGGGAGAAAGGAAGCAGCACAGGGAGACACAGGAGGCCTGCGGGCAGAACTCAGAGGCCACCAAATACCAGCATTTGGGCTTACAGAGAGCATCTTCCAAAGAGAGGCCGAAGGTAAGGCTGTTGCCGGACAGTGAAAACGATGGCTACAGCCCGATGCTGAAATGAGCGACTCTGAGAGTGAGACGACAGACAACTGCAAGCCACAGAGGCTAAGTTCAAACAGTGCTATAGTCAACAGGCGGTACGGAGCAGACATTATTCGAAGAAGCATTCTGGCCTCTTGAGCTAGCTGAGAGTGACAGCAGCAGCAAGTACAGTCACTGCCTGGTGTCCTAGCCCAGACCTATCTAAACTGTAATGAAATGCCTTGTTGTAATTTCATGTTTTTACACTTGAGTACTTGGTACCTCGGGGCATTACTCATCGGGAGATGAGTTGGTCAGTAAATAGCTTGTGTTTGAACTTGAAGGCTGCAGTGCTGCAGTTACATTAATCTGCCCCATGTACAGTTCCAGCACTTCAGGAAAGCCTTTCAAATGATCCAGTTTTATAACAGTAAAACATAAAAACACTATAGAAAAAAGGGTTCGATAATGATTACATTCATTTTACATCTCAATAGTTCAGTAATCTGCTGCGTGTTTTCTTTTCCAAAATGGCTTTACAAAGCATGCAATATTGTTTTTAAACAAAATCTGCAGATTGTGTGCTACTTCTGACAGAATGGATGTGTAGCAAGATTTGGGCTGGACAATCAAATGCCTCAAATAACAACTGTAGATTCAAAATGTTGCTCGACTCTTGCAAACCACTCTTTGTGTTTTAAAATGCCAGCGTTCAGTTGTAGTAAACTTTCGGATGTTGCTGTTTCAGCGTTTTTAACNAAAAATACTCAGCCAGTCGCTAAATACATGAGTGCTTAGTATCAGAAGAGCAATCATTTGGGTGGTGTACAACTAGAGAAAGGTTATTTTGTACAATCGCTGCAGAAAGCAAGGGCATCCCTTGAGGTCTGTAAATTCTGGAATTTGTACAGTAACCTGACTTGTATGACTGGCTAACAATTACTTGTACAAGAGTAAGGAATAACAGCTGGAAGCACAAGCGTTTTAGCTGCGTTCTTCCTGCTTTGCTCCTGCAGGAGTGAAAGGTTTGTTAAGTGTTCAAACTGTCCTGTGACACTTAAGAAGAACATTCTTAATTTCTTAATTTGACGATTGGTCTGTTTGTAATGTGTTGATCTCCTGTTCATTAACATTTAATATATTTTTTTAAAAAGCCGCATGTTTCAATGACATTTTTCAATCCTTATTTTGGATAATCTTGTTTTGCCATCAGAAGAAATAATTGTGCTAAAATACTGAATGAGGGATTTGTAGCACTATGCTTGGCTATACTGGTATCAAAGATGTTCTGAACTCTAGTGTAGAAATTACACCAGATCCTCTAAATGGCTGTTTAGGGAAACTCCACAGAAAGAACATTGCCGAGAGGGATTTATTGGCTGGCTTCCCTATTCGCGAGAGAGCTGTAAGCAATAAATCAATTCTATTGAAGGTTGAGATACACTAGTGCTATTGAACCTGGGATACTTTTCCAAGTACAGTGCCACAGAACTAAACAGCTGACGTCCAATAGTTTGTGCCATTACACTATTTTGTAGCTCTTTTAAGTGACCAGCAAAGGGATAGAACTAGTCATAAAAGGGTAGTCATTTCAGTAAATGTAATATTTTTCATGTGCTCTTATCATTTGATCTCAGGATCTAAAATGTATTTATGTAACCTGGACATTCCTGATCATTTTTTGTGTGTTAATTTCTAGGGGGTTTAACTGGTGTTCTATTCTCAGCAAACACTGAAATGAACCAATTTTTGGAGGGAGGCTGGAGGGGGCACATTAAAAAGAATAGGTTTGACTTCACAATTGTTGAGAAAATACCACATCAAATAAAATCTATTGTGAGCTTATTCAGAACATTTAAAATGTTTGAATACATCAGGTTTCAATGTGTTATGAACTTGTTACAATTGATCTTAAGTTTTCAAAGTTTGCAAAACTCTTACTGTCTAAAGTATCGCACATACTGCACTAGATTTATTTCCTGCTCATGTGTTGTCGTTTAGTTGAAATTCATTTTGTTAATGAGTGGCCTTTCCTAATCTTTTGCCAGTGCAATAGTTATGTACTAATTTCCTATGTGACAAGAATCCCCCAATGAATTCTGGAAGGAAAATGTTTTGCTCCGTGTTTGATATGGAGTATTTATGCATCCCAGATGTTCAGTTTGAAATATATGAAGCATCTTAACATTTGCTGTTAACATGTGTTTTATCAATGACACACCATCTCACACACTGTCTGAAGAAAACAGTCACTAATTTTATGCCTTGCTTAGTTTTTTTTTAATATACATACCTGCACTAAATAATTTTTTGGATAGAAGTAGGCAGTAAGTTAATAACATGAGGATGATGGTCTACATAACGGCAACTCAGACAGTTCTTTTATACTTAAGGCTTTATAATTTTTTCCATTTGCTTAATGGTCAAATTGATCTTAAATTATGATTTTAGTATATATGTATATATAAATATTGTAGTTTGACATTAGGCTAGTTGAGCTACTGTGTAGTTGCTTCTGGCATGCGTAGTTTTACGAAAAAGTGATGTAATAATAATATTAATAAGCATCGCCGCATTTGATATCGCGCCTTATCACGTCGTCGAGACATGTTAAAGCACTTCACAGGATATACTGTAAAGTGTACTGACTGTATTTTGTGGGCGAAACTCGGCAGCCAATTGTGCCCAGCAGTGTCCCTTAAACAGTCAATATTTTTGTGAGGGACAGAAGCTCCCCTCCTCCACTAGCCAGCGGTGACTGAGAATAACATCTCTGTGTTTGGCTCTGATACAGATATGTGTGGAGGGGACTCATAAAGGGATAAATTCCACATAGTCTATTTCTTGTTGTTTTGTACATACCTGCTGAACAAACTTTGCAGTGTGGTGTTGTACAGAGGAAATAAATCACCATGTGCCTAGCGAAGTTTAACTGTTGTCCATTTAATTCTGACGAGCAACATGATGCATGGAAATAAATGCAGAAATAAAGTTTATACAGAGACGACTATTTTAAATTACCTGGTTCTTTGTTGTATTTATTTTTGTTGGTAAAAAAAATATTTATAAAAATGTAGTTTGGAAAGGAAGATACCTGTTCTGTGAATGTTGGAACATGTAGATGAATTGTGCCTTTTATAAGTGTAAGATATTGTAGAATTTGCAATAGTGGTCTGATAAGCTATCAGCAACCTGTATCAGTTTCTCTGAATTAGATCTTATATAGAACCAACGGAGACACTGGCCTTTTTTGTGGGCCTGTATAGGCCGGAATAATTTTTTTTTACAAGAAAGAACAAGGATCTACAGCACTGTCTTCCTTTATGAATCTGGGAATTTTCACAAGATTTGAGGTTTTAAACTTTAATTAAAGGTTAATCGAGATGGCAATAAGATCACGGTTTCTTACTTTTTTTTACACAAGCCAGTGTTACACAACACGTGATGTTGAGTACAAGCAATTACTTGCGGTTTTCAGATGGTTTCTCCTAATCCAGCCTATGCAAGGTGATAAAAATGGATTTTGTCTCTCACCCAAATCGCATAATCCAAATGATTTTTTTTTGTTCTATGACTTGCCTCCACTTCCACATTCACATCTGTCCACTGGTTGCAGCTCTCGCATCAAGTGTCTGCTGTCTCGGAATCCTATTATGCTGGTTTCCATTTCTTATTCATTGAAGCCTTTTCATCAGAGGCCTTCGGGGCACTTAAAATCACCACACTTTACCCGAATGTATGTACCATTCTTCACCATACATGTAAATGCTTGTTTTCCCAGTAAAACTGAACTGTTATGAAAAATCTTTGGATCTGAGTGATTTATGCTGTTGTTATGATTCTCCCTCATTCATCTTCGTGGAATTTTGATCAGTTAATGATGCACAAGTATTGTGTTAGGCTGTTAAATTGGTAAGATGTGAAGGTATTTTTGATTTAAAAAGAAAGTGATCTGATTTTGGGTCACACATGGGGTGATTGTAAAGCTTCTATAGAAGCATAGAAATTTATAGCATAGAAGGCCATCGTTTCTGTGCCTTTTTTTTTAAACAATAATCCAGTCAGTCCCATGAATCTGCCTTTTGCCCATACTCTTGCAGTTTACACTTATTTAAATATCTATCTCATTTCCTTTTTAAAGCTAGTATGGATTTTGGCTGCTCTAATTTAGATCCTAATTCATTTTAAGCTCAATGGCATGTAATTTTTTTTAGTCTGCTGATGAAGACCGACAAATGTGGAAACCCATCTCCATGTTTAACCAAACTTCTGAGAGCTGCACATGTGTATGGTTTACATTTGTCTGGTATGGTGTACCCACTCTCTCCCCGGTGAGAAATTCCACGAACAATCCTGGAGAGTTCAGGGGGACAGTTTAGCAAAAGCCAACGCTTGGGACCCAAAAGCTCTGAGATACCACAATAGCGTTTTGAGTTACTACTGGGATGTAACCAGCTACAACTGCACACTTGGTTGTGAAACGGGCAATCTTACCACTACACGGTTCACCTCGGACCACCCTGGTTTTTAAGTCTTTGCAGGGTTAAGATACTGAGTGGGATAATTCCAACCCCCAAGCATGTCACCTTGGTGCATATAATAATAATAATCCTTGCATATTGAAGAAAGAATGATAGTGAAATTATGTTGTGAAGAAGCTCTACGTGTTTTCCCACAATTGTTCATTCTATACTAATTTATTGCCATGCCATTAAAGGTGGTATGGGCGGAAAGTTGCATGTGGATGGTATCAAAAGCAGTTTGCTAATTCCATAATGGGTTTATTATATATACATCATTAACACAGAATTATGCAACTCTTACATTTGTGGGCAAAAAAAAATCGATTTTGGTAAGTATATATTTAACTTATTACACTTAATGATTGGAGAATGGAAAACTCAAACTAAATATTCAAAATATAAGCCAGCAGTTTAACAGTTGACCTAAATTGGGGAAATTGTTCAAGTGTTTGATGAGATGCTTTGAATATTCATCAAAACAGCACAGAAGCAGCAAGGTTTGCAATGGATTTAGAAGAAAAAGCCAGCTTACAGCTCTGCAGGATTTCTTTGAAGAGGTAATTAATTTGGGGGCGTAAGCTTTCCAGTGCATATAATTGCTTGAATTATCAGAGGCCTTTTGATAAAGTACCAAGTTTGAGGCCTTTAAAGAAGATAAATGAAGTTAATGGCTCTCTCAGAAAGCAGGACATTGCTCTAAGTAGGAAAAGCAGTCAATGTGGTAGTGACTAATGGAACTAGTTATTGGTATTGTGACTTCTCCAGGGGAAGGGGAGATAACCAGATTCTCCATACTCGCTCATGCAGCTTCAGTCGTCTATTTGTTTTCCTTTTCTGATGTTTTATCACACATTCAAGAGGGAATTGGGGGTTTATTTTCATGGGTCCACAAAATGCCACTTTCTCCTCTTTAGAAGATGCATCTGTGTTCAGTTTTACTTTCCATATCTTACACTGGGAAGAAAATGCACCGAGTTTGGAACTGAGGCTCCAAAGCCGCATTCAATCTCTTCAAAGTACCACTGAGAAGACATTGTTGAAGCAATCTGACTGAAGAGATTGCAACACTTCCTTTGTTGAGATATTACAAATATTGAGATATTTGTTGTGGAGTCCTGTAGCTCAGTGGTTAGAGCACTCGCTTTGCAAGCGAGAGACCGGAGTTCAATTCCAGGCAGAGGGCGAAACCTTGGGCAAGTTTCCTTACTCCACACAGAGCCTAATAATAATCCCTCCAAAACCAAAAACAATAATAAATTGGTCATTTTCAATCTACGACTGTTTGTGGGACATTGCTGTGCGCAATTGGCTGCCGCGTTTTGCCCACAAATATACAGTCAATTCACTTTACAGTGTGTTCTGTGAAGCGCTTTGGGACGTCCTCCCGACGTGAAAAGCGCTATATCAAATGCAAGGATTATTATTATTATTATTATTACCTGGTGGGATGCGAAAAAGACCTCACCCTCTCATCAGCTGCCTGGGATACTGCACGTGATCAGTTATTGTGGAGGTAGTGACAACCAAATGCCCGTCACGTGCAGCAGTAGTCTGTTAATAGCAATTCAAGAGGAAATATGGGATAATACAATCTAAATTAGGCAATTATCTATAAATATGGTTTATTTAATCAGTATAACGCCTTTGGTCAGAGGTTTTTAATTAAAAATATTGTGATACGTTTGTTTAGAGAACTTGTTGCCGTTTCAATTGTACTCATAAACATGGTAGGACTACAACTGTAAAGACATAAAAGCACAATATGGTAAAGAAAAATCTTTGGAATTTGGATTTATTTTATATGAGAAAAATGAATGCAGTAAAACTTGCACAAGTCTTATATCTTTATAAATGCCTAAGTCGTACATGTACCCGCGTCCCATTCAGTTTCCTATCAAAACCATTTCGATTTCCTTACTGAGGAAAATAATGTCGCTGCATGCTCACGTACCGGCCGGCTTCATCAAATTGTGGGAAATGTAGCCTTAGTCCATTGACGCATGCTGTGATGCCAAATGACTGCATGTGCACTGACCAGCTGTACTAAATTATGCGTGAGCAGTGTAGATTATTGAGTAAATTGGATTTTATTGACTTCTACAGTTTGCGACTTGGACTTTGCGTAAGTCATATTAAATGTGATGGTCCCGACTGATACGACTTATGTAAGTTTTACTGGGAGACCTCGCCCCAACCAAACATCACACTCAGAACACACTCAAATGTATAGTGACGGAGAATATCTGGGGCCAGGTTTCAATGTTTTGCAATAAATGTTTATGACAGCAGGAAGCAACATTAGGGAAGGTTTTGACAGTTTCTTACATTTCATGATCCTAATTCAAACTGTTTCCTCCATTTATTTTGAAGGGAACATCTCTAGAGTATTCTGATCGCCAAGTGTTTCAAGTCTCTGAGGCGACAACCTTTTGCAGGATCACCTGTCAAGCCTGAATTGGTTTCAAGTAACCAAGGTGACAATTTAGCAAAGAGACAAGTTGACGGCAAAACACAGACAGCACAACAACGGGCTCATGATAACATTTTGCTGAAATTGAAATAAGTTCTGAAGTTAAATGAAAAATCTGAATTTTAAAAGTGAAAAAAATTTAAATTACAATTAATTTACAATTGGTAGACAAATTGTACGCAAAGTAACAATGTAGAATCTCCCACAGGTAAGCAAAACATGTTCACTTGGCACCTTGTGGTTTGATACAGTGTACTTTCCTGGAGGATCACATTTCACAAGTTTGTGGTCTAATTGCATTGTGAGGCAAGATACCAAGGATAGAATAGTGGTTTCACGTACACATTGCTCTTTGACAAACATCCGCCTGTGAAGTGTCCTTTCTTCTCTGTGTTGTAATTCTACTGAGCTGTAAAATAAATTAAAATTTTCTAATTACAATTTGGCGAAAGTCATTTTTGTTGGCTTGCGTTCTCTCCAATGTAATAATATGTTAGTATAGACGTTTGAAGCACAGCGAATGGGGATTTTTCCTGTAACCAAAGTATGACGCAGTTGTGGGAACTCTGCTCTGAAAGCATTCTCCTCTCATAATTTATTAATTATGGAATCCCCTTTTGAAATCTCAGCGTTTCAGACCTTTCAACCTTCCAGGTACCAGGATATTGAGGACCTAACTGCAAAGCAAACCAACCTGTGAGTATAATTGAATTTAAGTTTATATTGAGAACATAAGAATCTAAGAAATAGGAGCAGGAACAGGCCATTCGGCCCCTCGAGCCTGCCCCGCCATTTAATAAGATTCACCCTCTGAATGAAGAAATGTTTTCTCAACTCAGTTCTAAAAGGCTGACCTTTAATCCTGAGACTATGACCCCTAATTTTAGATTCTCCAACCAGGGGAAACAGTCTCACACTATCTACCCTGTCAAGACCCTTAAGAATCTTATAGGTTTCTATAAGATCACCTCTAATTCTTCTATATTCTAGAGAATATAGGCCTAGTCTTCTCAATCTCTCCTCGGAGAGGAGGTCAACCCCCTCATCCCAGGAACCAACCTAGTGAACCTACGTTGCACCCCCGCTAAGGCGAGTATATCCATTCTTAGATAAGGAGACCAAAACTGCACACAATATTCCAGGTGCGGTCTCACTAAGGCCCTATACAATTGCAGTAAGACTTTCCTACGCTTGTACTCTAACCCCTTTGCAATAAATGCTAACATGCTATTAGCCTTCCTAATTGCTTGGACCTTCTAACTTGAAGAAATTGTGTTAATGGAATAATGTAATCTCACAAGTTATTCCAGAGTTCCAAACCATAAAATAAATCCCTAATGAGTAAACTGTTTATACACAAATGAAGTCTCTGCTGGGATTTCTAATATATTCCCAGCGAAGTAAAATTAAAAACTGATCACATGTTACTATATCCTTTCATGTCAACCACTCGCAGAGGTAAGTGTAATCATTGCATATAATAAAATTTTACGTAATGAACATCTCACCTCATTAAAGTGTACTTGCTCTAGAGCAGCGTGAAATAATTGAGTGATGCAATGAAACCTGAGAGATTGGAATGAAAAAGGCCCTTTCGATCCATTTGATCTCACTCTCCCAGAACACCCACCACCCATCCTCCCATTCCAGTGTGAAGCTGTTCTTTTTAAAAAAGAACTTAAGTGTCCTGACCTCAGCTGTCAAATGACTCTCGGTGTAAATAGTCCACCAGTTACACAAAATCTATTTGAATTATGAAACATCAAGAGACAGCTACAAAGCTTTTATGATCGACAAATCACTTGCAGGTATCCTTTTTTTAAAAGACAATATGAATTGTGGAGTTAATTGAAGCGCTATGTATCACTATTCAAAATTTTACCAAAACGCTGTTGAATATGCTTTAAAAGTCACAACACTATGCAATTCGACCAGACATTTACCTTCTGAGAGGCTGTGGCTGCTCTGTGTTCCGAATTAGTCAGGCGTCTTTGAAGTCTGTTCGTCTTTTCTTGATTTTCCATCAGCCGTTTTTCATACTACGCAAAATAAAAATGGAAATGTCAGAGCAGATTCTAGCAAACGAAAAAAAATCAGCTCGAAGCGTATCAAGGGCTCTCTGGACCCTTAGGATTTTACATGTTCTTGCACTAAGATAAAAGTCCTCTCTGTCAAAAAAAATGGTGACAGGAGAACACGTGTATTGAAAAAGTTTGCAAAATTGGAGGTGCTTAAATCCGTCAACTGTTTCTGTCTGCACTTTGCACAGCAATTTTAATGTTTTGGAATTATAAAAGATTATATGAACTGATGCAAGTCTATAAACTGTATCCAGAACATAATAGGCAGACCAGACATTGGTTTAATGCATGAAATGTTAAATTGTGGTCCTGCCTCCTGTTCAGGTGGACATTAAAGATCTCGTGCAATATTCAAAAAGGGGAGGAAGTTTGTCCCAAGTGTCTTGGCTAAGAATCTCTAAATAAAATTGATCACTCACTCCATGGTTGTTAGTGGGACAAACTGACTCCCATGACATACACAGTCACTCTACTTTGCAGTAACTCCTGAAAAATGCTGTGTGATGACTTCCCTTAGTGAAAGGTGTAAGGATTATTCTCTAATTTACAAATACAATGCACTTGTGAGTTGGTGCAAGAAGTGTCAGCAGTGACTTGACAACCCAGAAATCAACCATTTTTTTTTAGCTCTAGCATCTGTGTGCATCTCCCTTCCAGTTAGCACAGGTCTACAGTGGAGCTCTAAGAGCAGCACAGCATGTTGTGGAGGGGATATAATGGGGTTTACTGAAGAACTTTGGAAATTGCAGCTGTGAAGTGAAACTAATGTAGGTAGCTGGAAATCTGCACAATTGGGATCAGCCCCATTGTGGATAAGGAAACAGTGTGAATAATTGATTGTCACACAAAATAGACATAGAATCATAGAATTGTACAGTACAGAAGGAGGCCATTCGGCCCATCGTGTCTATGCTGGCTCTTTGAAAAGAGCTATCCAATTCAATCCCACTCCCCCGCTCTGTCCCCGTAGCCTTGCAAACTTGTCCTCCCCAAGTAATTATCTAGGCTACAGATAATTACATTGGCTACAGTACTAAAAACTTCTTCCATCAGGAATTACACTATCACAATGCATGATCACACTGTAACAGCCTCTCTATCAATGCCTTTATCTATTGTCTATCTTTTTCACTCTAGCTGATTCTGTCTTTCTAGCTGTGTTGATCTTTTCCTTCTCTGTGTTTCTCACTCCCTCTGACTTTCCTTTACACTTTACTTTACTAAAATAGATATCTAAATAAACACTAATAAGCCTTGCATTGATCTGGTTTCTAAATACTTTTCTATCTTCATTTTTTTCCTTCATTCAACATGAGTTGCCAAACATAGTGTATAAATATCTTTTTCCAAAAAAACAAAACTTTAAATAGAGAAGCAGCTAATGCTCCTAAGATCCCCCTATTCACTCAACCGCAGTAAAAGTAGATCATTGAAATCATTCAAAGGGCAGTCGGAATGATTTGAAAAACACCACGAATACTGAAAAAAAACACAATCCTTTTATTTTAAAGGTTAGATTACCTTCTGTACATTGCACAGCTAAATTATGAATCCTGTAACCACATGCATATAACCAGACGTATTTTTTTTGCTAGGGTGGAGTCCCGAATTCATTGATTGGACACAAATGTATGTGGCATGCTACCTTATTTCAATCTGCTATAGATCTAAATTAAAAATGAACTTGAGCAATTATCTTACCTCTATTATTTGCTCATGCGCATTCTCCAGTTGGGAAACCATCTCCTGTAAGTGATGCTTCTGTCGATTCATCTCAGTTCTGTCAGCAAACAGAGGAATGATGGAAAAAATGCTTCATTTGGGAAGTTAGGAAGTATGATTCTTTTCAGCACGATTAAATGTTCATTTGGATGCAATTATAATGTACCTTGTTTACCTATTCTTCCATAAAGTAAAGCCCAACAATAACCTTTTGTGCAACATGCATTCAATTCTAATTTGTTCTATAAATTTAAGGAATGTTTTATATAGTTGAGATTTANTTTTTTGAGTGGCTCAGAATCTTCTGACTGATGGACTATATCTCAATCTTGAATGTCGCTGAAATCTGCATTAAGAGCGAATTTAGTCAAGTTTCTAATCACTTGCTAATTAAATGGCGAGTTCTTATATGTTAAGGGCAAGTGAGTGCTACAGAACAATAGACAAGTTATATTCCACTCAGCAAGAACTATTTTTGTAGCACTGAATACTATGATATAAATAACATGTAAATTATAAACTGCATATAAAATGAAATTTAAATGTTTGATGCAAATTAGACTATTGCCTCCAACAGAAATGCAAACTAGCAATTCTGTATCCAGTTTTCCCTACATTTAATTACATTGTGGTTGGGTGACATTTTGACTTCTTTTGCATGCATTATTAATATAATTTGAATTTCATTTATTTGAATTTGATATAATTATAATTTGAAGAGCACTAATCAAATGTGATATCATTATGATTTGATATAATATAATTAGAATTACATTACATTTACTTTTAAAACCTTTGTTTCCAGATCACAGGAATAAAGCTTTCTCAAGTCAGTGCCATGATGAGGTGATTAGACCTTATATCAAATGCAAGTATTTTTATTATTATTTCACTGTGATTTGAAGTTCATGATTATGCACATGGACAGGGTTAGCAGACCACAGCTCTGCATCCCAATCCACCTGCAGCTTGAGCCTTTCAGACAATACTTGTAATGTAGTCAAATATTTATAGCCATTATTCCAGCTGAGTTGCAGTCAGAGAAGGCACTAGATGTACAGTAAAACTCGCATAAGTCTGATCTGCATAAATCGTATAATCGCCTAAGTCATACATCTGCCCAAGTCTTGTCAAGACTTTATATTCTATGCAAATTTGACATTATTCATACTTTGCATAAGTCATATTAAATGTATTGTCTCAACTGATACAACTTGTGTGAGGTTTACTGTATACATTAGTAGAGTTTAACAGTTAAATATTTGAAAACATGCAGATCAAATCTATTTAAATGCACGCTTTTGAAAGTCAACAAAATAGTTTGCATTATTTTGAATAATGATCCCAATCCCCATTGATGTAAATTGAATTGTCTTTTAAAATTGATGTCAACTTTAAGACTCGAGGCACTTACTTCATATTGTTTATTTTTGCCTCAAAGGCGTTGGTTAGTTTCCTGGCCTCATCTCTCCACCGACTGGCTGCTTTCTGCTGCGCTATTAACAAACGTTTGAGCTCATTGCTTGAATTCCGACTGGTTTCCTCCAGTTCGCTCAACTGAGTTTGAAATCCATGTCCCTTCAGAGAACACTCATGTTCCATAGTTGCTATCTGATGGAACAAAACACAGGTACAAACAATAAGCCTTGCATTGATTTGGTTCCAAATACTTTCAAATATTAAATTTTTTCCTACATTTCACATGATGTAACAATGCATTATATTGCACATAGTGCAATTAAAAAAAAATTCTCAAAAGACAAAACTTTCAATAGATACACAACTACGTTCATAAAATCATCCTATTCACCCAACTGCTGCAAATGCAGATTGTTGAAATCATTCAAAAGGCAGTCGGATTGATTTGAGAAACACCACGAGTACGGAAAAAGAAACCATAGCAATTGCAAGTTTAGCATTGCAAGTTTATTTTAGAGTTTAGATTATCTGCTATAAACATGATTTGTCTCGTTTTATGAATGCTGTTCATCCTCTCCACACAAACGAATAGGACGTTATCCAAATTAGGAAAACCTACTTAAGGTCGTGCAAGAAACATATTGGTCACATAAGTCTTCCCCTCCCAGTTCTTTAGAGGACTTCATTCTAGAAGTTTATTTATCTTGAAAGTCAGCAACAACAGGAAGACTGAGATAACAGAAAGGAATTTGGAGCTTCAAGTCTATTAGCTCAAAGAGGAACCAAGGACAAATTGAGAGGGAGCTTTACATACAGCATTTAAATCCATCCAAAGACTGTCAAAGCCCATGCATACAGGATATAATTAGATGTTAAATTATTTTTCTCATCTCAACATACAGAAAAATATAACTAAATAGCCCCAACCAGCATTGATGTCTCTATAGCTATTGAATCAGGTTTGAGGGCTAAATGCTGCCTTTGAGTTGCTAGAACAAGTGAATACTTGTGCATAAATCGTGTAAATTATTCTTTCTAGCTTGTTTGCAGATAGCATTGAGAACCTGAGTTCAATTCCAGGCAGAGGGCGAAACCTTGGGCAAGTTTCCTTACTCCACACAGAGCCTAATAATAATCCCTCCAAAACCAAAAACAATAATAAATTGGTCATTTTCAATCTACGACTGTTTGTGGGACATTGCTGTGCGCAATTGGCTGCCGCGTTCGCCCACAAATATACAGTCAATTCACTTTACAGTGTGTTCTGTGAAGCGCTTTGGGACGTCCTCCCGACGTGAAAAGCGCTATATCAAATGCAAGGATTATTATTATTATAAAAGCTTTGTCTGTGGGTCAAGGTGGAGAGGGCTCATACCTGGTGGTACCAGATTCCAGGCATAACACATGCATTAATGTCACACAGGTGCTTTGTCCACATGATTTTAAGTGGAGAGAGTGGTGGTTGTTGGGCCACACTGGATGGTATCTAGGTGGAGCCTGTTATGTGGTTGCTAATTGTCATGGCATTCAGCACCGTGCAAGATGTTGAGCAGAAGCAATGTCAATTTTCAATATTGTCTGTCCAGAGCTCAGTGACTTGCTGTACATAGCAACATATTGAATCCTGCAGGCAGGGTGAAACCTTTAGGCAGGTCCTGAAGAGTGGAGTGGCATAAAGGCTGCCCCAAATTGGTTGATACCAGGCACATAAGAAGGGCAGATACAGGCAGAGTTTGATTTCTGACTAGTTTGATATTGATGAGAAACTCCAGTCTCCTAAGTCGATTCAAGTTATCCTGTACAGGCATTTATACAGCATTGACGGACAGCTCAGATGTAGAATGTGAACCTGCAGCAGTCAAAGCAAGGCAAGCATTTTGTGCTGTAAGAGGCAAAATCAGAGTTCTTTGTACTAGTAATTTACTCCTCCAGTGCTGAATCCTTCAATCTATGGAATTCTCATACCTAGTGGTGAAAGCATACATCATTGAGACTGATGTCACAACTGTGACATGTTTAGCAAAAATCCCAAATCTAAATGCCAAAAATAGTAATGAAGATTTTTGTTTCATACTAGTAAAAAACTGTCTACCAAGCCCTGCCTTTAGTGCTTGAGTTTCCAATGGCATTCACAGTACATGATTCTTTATTAGCCTACTTTGATTTCGTACAAACTTCTTCTCCCCAAGAAAATAAACTGAAAATATTTTGTTAACTAAGTCAACACGAATATGATCAAAGATAAGTGCCATGCAGCACTTTCATGTACCTGCTGTTTTGCTTTCCTTTGTGTTTCCATACTGGCTTTCTTCAGCTCCTCCATCTCTTTACGAAGTTGCTCATTTTCATGCTGTAAACTTAATCTCTCCTCACTGACATGGTCACAGTCACTACGAACAGAGTCCAGCATGCTCTGTAATTTCTGCACCATTTCTTGGCAACGGGATGACTCTTCCTCTGAACTAAAAAGCAAATACTAGTCTATAAATTAGTCATAACCCTTTTGTCTACAAATGAGTGAGTAACGTCTAGCCTCTCCTACAAAACACACAGTTAGTCCCCCTTAAAGGTTATCATGGGAAGCACTTTGAGGTATTCTCCCTATGTGAAAGATGCTATATCCAATGTAAGGATTATTGACCGTATGATAAGGCACTCTAAATGTAAAGATTTATGTATTATGCTTTATATTCATAAATTGCTGGAAATAAAGTATATGTATTATATATAATACAGATATTCAGATTTAGTAAAAATAAATCTCATCAGACATTATCCAATAAATTCTTGAAAATGTACATACTTGGAAATATATTTTTAAAGATCTTAACACTTCACAAACTATGTTGTTCTATCTTAAAGTAGGTTAATACTATTGTTTCACTCTTCTGCTGAAAAGGTATAATCAATGTCAGAGCTAAGTCAGTCAGAAGAATCACTGTCTTGTTTCAAATGCAGATGAAAACTACTCCCAAAAACTGCAGCATGAAGTTTAAATACTATAGTTTTCTTTGATAAAGGAAGCATCACATTAACGTGCAAACGTACAAAGGCATGTGGCTTTATAATTTTTTTTACCATCACAGTAAATTCCTAAAACATGCATTTTTGGGATGTGATTATTGAGTATTCACTGTAAGTTTCCAACCAACATGAGGCTAATCAACAATAACAACTTGCATTGTTGCAATCAAGTACTAGGTTGTATCTAGCGAACATCTGACTCCAAACCAAAGAATTCTAATCATGTATAGATCAAGAGTGAGATCACATTTGGAATACTGTTTGCATTTTTCGGGCACCTTACTGTCAATTGAATATTGACAAGTTGCAGAGGAGTCAAAGAAGATTGATTTTGACAGAGTAGCTGCAAGTTATGAGGGACGACTAGCTGAACCGGAGACTAAAATAACCTTGAACAGTAGTGGATATGTGGAATAGACTCCTAGCAAAAAAAATCAAGTTGAGAATTTTTGTTTTAGGGACTCATATGACCTCGACTAAGATGATCAGGACTATAGCAACATTAGTTATGGTTTTGTTGCTTCTGGGGTGGGTGAGAATTCATTTTGTTAGTCTGGGAGAGTGGGCCAGGACTGTATAGTGGAGATGAGCTGTGGAAAGAACAAATATAAGATGTCTTTTTCTCTTACGTTGTTATGATCAAGACATAAACAGCTGAAATGACTTTGGAAGTAAAAGACTGGTTAAAGTGATGGAGCAGCAATTTACCTCGGTAATAATTTTAGGAAAGCATCAAGGTCTGTTACTTACAATAATAATAATCCTTGCATTTGATATAACGCCTTATCATGTCTTCTAGACGTCTCAAAGCACTTCACAAAATATACTGTAAAGCGAATTGACTGTACACTTTGTGGGCAAAATGCAGCAGCCAATTGCGCACAGCAGTGTCCCACAGTCATGGATTGAGTGACCAAATTATTTTTATTTATTTTGAAAGAATTATTCAGGTCCTGTCATTTGCGAGGCGAGTGCTCTAACCACTAAGCTACAGGACTATGGCTGTGTAGTGCATTGGACATCAAAACGTGACATGTTGGAACGTTGGAATCCATTGATGCAAATATTCTTACTTTATCTCAAATTTTCGGATTTTGCTTTGTGCTCCCTGTAGACTCATGTGGAGGTCATCTTTTGCACGCTCTGCATTCAAACACCGTTGGTGAAGCTCATCGATTTTTTTGTGATCTTCAGTGCATCTGCCTTCTCGATAAAGCTGGTGGAGGTGAGAATGGAATACTGCTGATTAATGTGATAAGGAAGTTTGCAGACTTCCATTTTACCAACAGTTTTAGGAGCTGACTGGGTTAGAACAAGTGGAGTAACCTACCTCCTGGAGGTTCTCTAGTATTGCTTGAATTTTGCATTATTTGTAGTACAACTAAGGTAACACATTTTATACTTTAAATTTAACATGTGAAAATTCTCAGGCAGATTGGAATTATATGATGCACCTAAACTGCAAAGTACCATTGGGGACCCATTGTTTACAATCTACCCAATGAATCCTAAGGGGACAGAAGAAAGAAGTATCCACACGTCACATAGAATCCACATCATAGAATCAATTGGAGCCTGAATTTTAAATTATTATTCCTTACCTTTTCAAGTTCTTCTTCCACTGCTCGCTTCTCTCTTATGGCTCTCGCAATCCGACCTTCTTTGTCTGCATTGTCCTATCAAGTGATACAACACAGTGTCCAATTGGCAAGAAAGTACAATATGTCCTGACATGGAGAACTGTCAGTGCTCATGGTAAGCATCAAGTGGGAGAAGGATGATGGCAATGCTACCTAGTGAGGGCTCAAACCTACGCTTGTCAGATGCCTAAATTACCAACTATTGATTATCCTTTTGGGACGGACACATATGCCTGCGTCTCCTTGGGTTGAGCTGGCTCCATTGCGACATGCCTGGCAATGGAAGGTTAAAATTGAGTCAACCCTCTGTGACAGTCTCAATGGTCTGGTTCCTGAGCAACATGTGTCCGCACTAGTCCAGAGCACTGATGACAAGCCAGAAAGCCTGGCTTGTTCGCAGAATTTGGAGGGGCAAACCAGTCACTGGGGGCAGGGACAGACTATCCGATTTTAGCCGGTTAAGCTCCAGCAGCACCCAACACACACCCTGAGTGTTGACTCTTGCCTGTCTGTACTTTATACTTTCAGGAATAAGATAAGTAGGGTGTGTCCTTCTGGGAAGAGAGTGCACACTCCATTTCAGACACAGGCATATTCCCATGTGTAGATGGCATGCCTTTGTGGAAGTCTGATGTTTGGATATTGTTAAGTAAAGGCAATGAATTTCTGCATGTGCCAGATAGCTGCCTGGCAAAATAAAATATACCATTACAGTGATACACCAAGATGCATCTCAAAAAAATAAATAAAACAGGCTTTTTAAAAATAAACAAACAGGCTGTCAATAAGGTGCAATGCTCCAGCAATCTGAACACTCATCTTGCCTGCCATTCACACCTGCCTGGTTTATCCATAAATAGCTTCCTTCCCACTTCACTTAAGCAAGCCTTTTGAATGGTTGACCAAGTAGTAGCACTGTGTAAATTTAAAAGGTTTTACAAACTGTTGAAGATAATTCCTCCATTTGATGTAGGGCCTTATCACGTCGTCGAGACGTCTCAAAGTGATTTACAGAATATATTGTAAAGTGGATTGACTGTGTATTTTGTGGGTGAAACGTGAAATATTGATGAAAATAAACATGGATAATCATGTTAGAGAACTTTTTCTCAGGCGCAAATAACAAGAGATCTCCTGTACATGAATCACTACTGATGGGCTTTGTTTTTGTAACAAACAATGATTTGATTGATGAGATATTTGCGAGTGAATCTGAATGAATGGGCTTCAGCTAAAGGACACTCAAGTTTGACACAAATGGACAATTGTATGACTATTGGAGCAAATACAGCAGTTTTTGTCTCAGTCTATTGTTTTTGAAGAGCAGACTGTCACACATACCATTTGTAAAATTGATAGATCCTCAGCTAGATGAGAAATTTGCACATTGCATTGTTTCCTCACATTTTCAACCTGAAAGATACAGATGAAGACATTTCGTGTAAATCACATTTGTCTGTATACTTAGTTCAGCAATCATCAAAACGCTGACAGATATGCCATATCAGCACGTTTCTACTAGAATTCTAAAGTTAAGTATTATCTGAAGGAGAATGAGAAGTGTTCTTTCAGCGCTCAGTTGGTAAAGGCATTGCGTAGTGTGAAACTGAACCATACAGATAAGTAAAGTCTCAGTTTTGATCCCTTGTCTATGATGAATTAGTTTATTTCATTTATGGCAATTGTTAGATACTAAGTTGGCTTCAGCACTCGGCTTAGAAAGGTAAAAGAGAAACACAATTGGCAGTTTGCTTACAATCACCCTTGTTGGAAAATGAGTGGATGTAAGCTCTTGGGATGAGGACTCAGTCACTTTACCAAAACCCACATGTAAAATAGCCACTTGGGTACTGCAGGGTGTTTTAGAGGACTGCATGTAAGCACGAGCCTTTGAGAGAGGAAAAGCAGCAAACTGCAGAACACTTCACTAATATCGGAAACAAAAACCAGAACAAGTAATGTTTTTGTATCAAGCCTTGAAGGGCAATATGCTGTGTAAAGCACCTCAACCTGCCATTACACTCCAAGGTGTTGGAACTGGTCGCCACATAATACCTTTGCTCCTTCTTCTCTCAACACCACTTGTATGAGTTGCTCAATATGGATTTTATTCCTCCCACAGCACCAAGACAGCCATGGTCAAAGTTACAAGCAATATCCTCTGTCTCTACAACCAGGACTACCTTTGCCTCCTTTTCTTCCTTGATCTCTGTTGCTTTGCACACTGTCGACCGCCCCATCATTCTCCACCATTTCTCCTCCTTAGTATCCCCCATGGCTCTGCATTTTTCTGAGTTTTACTGTCTCCTATAATGGCTTCTCTTCCTGCTCATGCCCAGCCACATGTAGTGTTTCTCAGGGCTCTTCCTTGGTCCTCTCCTCTTCTTCATCTACGTGTTTTTCCTTTGCTGATATCATCCAGAGGCAGGGGGAGGTCACTTCCATATTTACATGGATAACATACAGATAAAGATTATGCATTCTTACCTCTTTCCTTGTTCGAGCAGCGGCTTCTTGAATTAATTGAAACACAGCTTCCTTCATTTTTTCTATTTCTTCATCCTTCTGTTTCTCACGAAGCAGGGCCTAATGAAACCATTAAAAAGAGATATGTATCAAAATAAGTGACGATGGGGAAATTCATCTTTATATTCCAAATGTTCGAGATACAACCATTTGGGCCCTGTATTAAAAATTGAGTTTGATGTAATAGATTAATCCTGAGGAACAACTCACAGATTTACCCTAAAATGAAACCCAGAAAGGGTTAATACATGTTCTGAATTGTGGGGTAAATATTATGAAAATTGCTCTTTAATTGTTAGCCATTGCAATGTTAAATCATTCTTGTGCTACTTTCCCAAACCAAGGGGACCATTTATTGTTCAGCAAATTAACAGCTTAACATCCATTTATGTTTTTTGATAAAAAGTACTGAATTGAAAAATTGAGCAATAGAGAATGACATTAAAGTGTCTAAGATGTAGTGGTTAAGTGTTAAACAAGTACTTTGGGATAAGTGTTAAACAAATACTTTGGGATATTTGTCGTTTCATGAATTCAATTAAATTGTTTCATGAATTGTGCATTAAATCAGAAGTCTAATGTTCCGATTTAACATTTCCATTTTTATACTATTTAGCACTGCAGCTACAATAATACCATTTTAGGAAAATCATCTGTTGCCAGTCAATTCAGTTCACGATAAAGCACTAATGATTTACGGTCACAATTCTGCATTTAAATTATCCATCAGTTTTATTGATTTTTTTTAAAAAAGGAGCTAGTTTGTTTATTGTATACCATGGTTCACATGTAGATTAAATAGTGCGAGACTAATGGAAAGTCTTACTTGCTGCAAAAATATAGAGATGGCAATTGAAGCATATGTGCTTGTTGACATTCAGTTTTTCTTGTATAGATAAAATATTTTGTTCTTCCTGCACGCTTGTGTCTGCTGGCACTATAATAATGGGGAACTTACTCTCAAGATCCTGCCAATTCCACTGGGGAGCCAGCATCTATCAGATATATAACTGAGGATGACTCTCGCTCTGGGGATAATCACACCACAATAGTTAGGGGAAGCAAGAGGGATCTGATATAGATTTTTGCAGGGTGGGGGGGTGGCATCCACAAACAAACAAATATTGCTTTATGGAGGCAGGGTGTTTAGTCCATCATTAACCTGAGAAATTTATGTGTTGAAGAATGAGGAATCCATTGGAAATAAATTTCAACTCTTACATCAGCTACAGTATGGATTTCCTTAGAAAGATGAGCTTTAGTAGAATAAATAGCCTGTTTATTATTGGTTTAATAATGGGTAAAGCTTCTTTGACACTGTCTGTCAATGGGTGTCAACACCCCTCCTGAGAAGGGCATCCTCTGCTCCACAATCCCCCTACCAGCTGTCCAAGTGGTCTCTCTAAATGAGTGGTTAGGCAATGTTGTGACCTGATCTCACCGCCAAAGATGTGAGTTGAAATTGCCTCCAGGGATCTTTAGAGCAGGCAGAGAGAAAATATTGATTTATTATTTTGGACTGCACTTAATCCAGATTCCAAATGGTGAAAGAACAGCGTTCTGACCCTACAAGCCACCTAATTTCCTTAATTCCTTGCCCCCAAACAATGCTATATTTCACAATAAAAATGCATAATTGGAACTAATTCATTTCTATTATAGCTTTTAAAAGGTGAACCTTTATGCCTCCCTCTCCCATCCCATCGAGATCAGTGAAAAAGTGCAGCTTCTGCTTTATTCCATTGAAAACTCATATTCTGTTCCACAGAAAGATGAGAGTGAATGTATACAATAGATCCATATTATGTAGAATAGATTTAAGGGGAGGTAAGCAGGTCTCTTTGGAGCTCAACTGGCTCCAAGCTGATATGCTTAGCTACAGAATGCTGGAATGTAGTGGCCTCAGGAGCCCAGTTCTTGAGCCGGACAGGTCAGTGGTATTCCAGGCCACTGCTGATGTCAGACCAATCAATCCGGCTCATCAGCAGGACTTGAGAGGCAGACACTGGGGCAAAGGATTCTTTCCACTCAGCTCTTGTTAACTCTGCAAGTCAAAGCCCTTAAACAGGTAGGCTTGTCTAGCTGGACAAGCAGCAGGAAGCTTACCAGACGGTCTTTCGATGGCAAACTATGCAGTTTTAATTGGTTAAACACCAGCAGCATTTACTCTCAATGTACACTCTAATGTCCCCAATTGTTGGTTCTTGCCAACCTGCACTCTCCGAAATTAGGTAAGCAGGGAATAGGGTGCATAATCTATTCCAGACACTGGAATTTATAATATAATAATCCTTACATTTGCACCTTATCACGTCTTTGAGACATCTCAAAGGGCTTCACAGAATATACTGCAAAGTGAATTTCCATGTGTAGGTAGCATACATGAAACTTTCAGTCTGCTTTGGATACTCTTAAGCATGGTGAGTTTATAGCACATAAAAGAAAATTTATTGCACCAAGTGATCTTACCTGATCTTTCTGCAAATTTGCTTCTTCGAGGAGTTGAATGCTGTCTCGAACCTTCACTACTGAGTCATATTTCTCTTCCTCCATCTCAGCACATTTTGCCTGTAGGGCGCCAATTTGTCTCTCAAAACAAAATCTTTCTTTCCGTAATTGTTCTGCATCCTCTACAGCTACTCGTAGCCTATTAAAAAATGCAATAATATTCAAATCCAAAAGAGGATTTGGATTAATAGGATAATAGCAATAATGATTACCAAATGATGCAGATTACAGTATTTCATGCAAAATTCACCAGTGAAATATATCCTGTTATTAAATACATTGACTATGAAAGGTGATCAGAAAGATTTTTGGAATTGTAAATAAAGTTAACATTTAAAAAAATCTGATTAATACAGTTTAAATGTAAAATAATTCTTTACTTTCCATATATACCCAACAATTATTCCATTCAGAAAAAGATGCCTCAACTAGCAAAACAGAAACCTTATAACATTTTTCAAGTACACAACATGCAGAACATAACAGACAAAAATAGGCCAATGTGGTGTTTTGGAAGATCTTTCATTTGCAATCCCCAAGGAACGGTGGGGAGGGGAAAACTAATTTTGAAGTTCAGTTGAGGTTGAGTAAATTCACAATTTATTCTGCCTGGGTTTTATTTTGCTAATAATTTAATACAAGTAATAGGCCTATTAACCACTAATACATTAAAGATCCCATGGCGTTATTCGAAAAGAGAAGGGAATTTCTCCCTAACAATTCCTCAAATAAATTTGGCAATTAACTTTATCGCTATTTGTGGGACATTAATTGGCTGCTGCGTTTACCTACAAAATACACAGTCACTACTCTTATGTGAAGTGCTTTGAAACTTTACTGTAAAGTGTTGTGACTGTGTAACTTGTGGGCAACAAAATGCCATGCAAACTAAGTGCTGTTGATGTAGATTGATATGCTGGAATGTGTGTTTTATGAACATAGTTTTGACTGAGCTTTTGGTTAGCATCTTTAGCTTTGGGACATGCTGCCGACATGATGTCCTCCTGATGTGAAAAGTGCTATATAAATGCAATTTGTTGTTGTTAGCTCTTTTTCCTCCCGGCTCAGTGCTCCCCGAGATTAATTTCTGAAGTTGTAAACATAAATGGAAATTGACTATTTTGAAAAAAAACTTAACTACAATCTTTTGAATTCCATGGAAAATGTACTTAAGGAATACTATAATAACAATAACAAATTGCATTTTTATAGTGCCTTTCACATGGAGAGGATGTCCCAAGGTGCTGGACAGTGAAAGGTTTGCACCCAAAAGGTGTGGAGGGCAAGAGGGTGGATTTGGACGATAACGGAAGGTGCGAGCGATCAAAGAGGAAGGTCTTGAGAACTGAATTCTGAATTTGCTTACAATATTTTCTCTTTAATAACTACCATGCATGAAACATCAGATAAAAAATTCTTCTGCGATATTCTCTGCACGACGTTCAATGCTATTATAGCTCCAAAGGGCAACAATTTAGTTAACTCTTTCGAGGATATCTCTTGCCTTTGAAATTCTGAAATATACTGTCTTAGTCAAAATGCCCTGTATGGCAAAAATAATTTATTAAGATTTACATAAAGCAATCACAATATTTAAGATAGTACAAAACTACATATTATTCCTTCAATTATATTCAATTAATAAACTGTGTAACCTGGTTCCTTTGAAGTTTGGTACATGAATGATGCTGGGATTCTCAATGGAATAATTGGCACTTTCTAACAAACAACAACAACAAGATTTCATTTATAGAGTGCCTTTCACGTCGGGAGGACGTCCCAAGCGTTGGACAGTTGGGTTGGGACCTGAGCAGGGGGAAATGGTCAGGGTGAGGGGAGGGAAGGGAGGGAGCAAGGAGGGGGTAGAGCGTCAAGAGGGGAGCTGAAGGCACGGTCAAAGAGAAAGGTCTTGAGATCGGCCTTGAAGGAGGAAAGGGAGGAGGCGGCGAAGGCACTGGGGGATAGAGTTCCAGAGCCTAGGGGCTGAGAGGCTGAAGGCCCGGCCACCGATGGTAGGGCGGTTGGGGCGGGGGATGTGGAGCCAGAGGAACGGAGGGTACGGGCAGGTAGGTAGGGGGATAGTAGGTTGGAGAGGTAGGAGGGAGCAGGGCCGTGAATGGCCTTGTAGGTGAGGATGAGGATCTTGAATTCGATCCTCTGGGGGATGGGGAGCCAGTGGAGGCGAGCGAGGGTGGGAGTGATGTGGTCGCGAAGCCTGGTGCGGGACAGTACAAAGCTGGTTAGTTAACCGTTGGCATGTTTTAACTATTCATTCAAAGCTGGTGAATAGCTTAGATTGACTAACTGATTGCTTCCAACTTGGTCAGATAATAGCGATCAAGTAGAGAACCTAATACGGGCTTGTAATGTAAAATGATTCAAGCATTCAAGAATGTGAGTCAAAGGATTTGTACTCTTAAACACCTATAATTGCTTGCCACCTTAAGGTTGTCTAATTTTAAAGAAATGTTGAATTTGTTTGTTGACCCTGTTACAGCTACCAAGGTTACTACATTCTGTAACACTTCAGTAAGGCATTTGTCCTTGGTAATCTGGTGAGGAACAAACATTAAAAACAACTCTAGAATTACCAGCTATAAAGTCTGCATCACATAGCAGAGACTTGGGAATGCAATCATGTTTCATTATCGCTGAGATACTAATGGCACAGCAAGCTTGTGGATCTCACTTGTCTTTCTCATAAAGATGTACTGCCATTCTCTGGAAAGTTAAATTTGGGGAAATTTAATTGCTCCGAAAAGAAGGGAGAAGAGAGTAAATGAGTAATCTTATCTTCCTCTTACACGCCATCAAGTCTTTGGTAACTAAGCAGCAGCTGGACAGATAACCTACATGCATTTAATAATAATCATAATAATAATCCTTGCATTTGATATAGAGCCTTAATATGTCATTGAGATGTCTCAAAGTGCATCACAGGATATACTGTAAAGGGTATTTGATGGGCGAAACACGGCAGCCAGTTGCACATAGCAACGTCCCACAAACAGCCATGGAGTGAGTGACTCATGTTATTTGGGGGATTGTTTGCAAGATCACCAGGAGAGACTCCCTCCTCTTTTCGAATAGTACCATGGGANTTTTTACATTCACCTGAACAGACCTCGGCCTAACGTCTCACCAGAAGGATGGCACCTCCGACAATACAACACACCTCCAACACTGCATTGGAGCGTCAGCTTAGACTATGTGATTCCAAGTCCCAATGTGGAGTTTGAACTCACAACCTTCTGACTCAGAGGTGAGAGTGCTATCACTGAGCCAGACTGACACACTTCCTGAATGTATGTTCAGAAAGAGTAATCAAAAGATAGGAAGGCAGAAAAATAAATGTAGTTTCAAACGCATGATAACTTGCTAATAAAGCATCTATAATATCCTCGGATAAATGTTTAAGAATTGTTTTAACAAAGCCTAAGCAAGCCTTTGCTATTGCACTGCTTTCCCAGGACAGGTACCTGGCTTCTAACTTGGTTATAGCAGATTGTAATTTCTGCAATCGTTTGTCTGATGCTTCTTCTCTTCCGAGGGCAGTTGCAACATCTTCATCCTACAGATAATGAAAAAGGAACACTCCATATATGAACATTTTTTAATAATAAAATCTACATTAGCCCAGTTACTAATTAAAATCCAAATGTAATAAACACAGCGTTCAATAAAACACTCAGGAATAGTATGAACCCCCTATCGACCTTCCAACCAGTTTGCCTAACTAAGTGCAATCTGAATTCAATATTTTATTCTTTTTAGTTGGCACTGGGACTTGGAGGAAATCAGCCATCATATTCATATCAAGAACCTAGAACATAATTCAGATGCAGCAATCCAGCCTGTGGAGGCAGTTTCTGGCTCTGTCCCACTGAAACCAGAGTAATGAAACACTAAGTACTTGTGTTGCTTTAATACTGTCTGCCCACACATGCATATTATATATACATCCGCAGTCATGTTGCTCGAGTATACCTCTGCTTTTTAAAAAAATGCAATGAAAATTCAAATATGCAAGTGAAACCTGAAGGAGTGAAATAGGGTGCAAGCACCGGGAGAATTAATGGAGCCAATGGGGGGGGGGGGGGGGAGGGAATGAGATCTGGCTTCCTTGGATCTGTCTGTGTTGGCTACAGGATGACATGTTTGGCAACAGAATGTTGGAATCGAGTCAGCCCTTTGTTGGGGTCTCAGGAGTCTGGTCCCTGAGCCAAATGAATCCTTAGTACTCCAATGCACTGCTGTTGATAGACTAGCCAGCCTGGAACAGGTTTGAAGAATAATGAGCAGGTTTGGAGAATATTGGGGGCAAGGATTTTTCCCACTCAGCTCCTGTTACCCTGGTCTTAGTTGCACAAGCAGCAGGAAGATTGCCACACAATGGCAAGCTTTGGGGTTTTGGATAGTTAGACTCCAGCAGTATCTTAACACAAACTCTCGAGTCCCCAAAGCTTGGCTCTAGGACTAGGTAAGCAAGGTGTGTGCTTCTGGGGAAAGAGTGCAAACTCCATTCCAGACACAAAAATCTCCTTAAAAGCAAACAATCTATATCTACCATGCATTCTCTTTTTTATATATCTGTTTATTTTAAATTTGTTTACTTCATTGGCAGGTCCCATTTGACAAATACCAACTATCCTTCTTGGGAGAAGTAGGTTTTTATCCTTGGAGCTTGATAACATGCTTGGCAATGGAATGGCAGAATTGAGTCAATCCTCTAAGGCAGTCTCAGTAATCTGCTTCCTGAGCCAAGAAAGAAAGAGTGCGCTTTCCATTCCAGACAGGGAAATTTCCATGTGTAGGTGGCATACATGCGTCTAATTCTCCTGAGTTTCCATATATGTCAGACACCCAAAGATCAAACAAAATCACAAGATTGACCTCTCAGATTAGCATTTGTTTGTGGTAATTCAGAATTTACAATGAGTATGATGGAAAAACACATATACACATGAATCAAACCTTGATTTGCCTCCAGAAATGGGATACCAAGGTGCAGAGCACCAACACATGTAAATCCAAAGAGTGCTGCCGATGATTAACAGACATCAGGACTCTGCACTGATACAATTGTAAAATTTTGTGCAAGAAACATCTGTAAATTTTACATTATTCTTTTTCTCTTTCTTCACCCTTTCTTCAGCCATTTTGGGATGCTGTAATTTATTTCCAGATTGTCATCCCACTCTTTAATGTGTTATTAATTTTAGCTTCTGTCTGCCAAGTTATTCAGGTAGATATGAAGGACTGCTCTGCTGTTTCCATCTCTAATTTATATCAATATTCACTTCATTTCTATTACATTTAAATTTTGTAACGCGTTTTGAAACATTTTGTTTCCATAAAAGGTGCTTTATAAATGCAATCAATATAAATTCAGCAATATGGAAAACAAATTTCTGGAAACAAGTTTGGTGTTATTTGGAACTTTTTAGTGTAACGTCAGCAAGGAAGTTATTCACTAATGTCGTGAACTCTGACATGTTCTATCTATAAATCTGTTGTCTGATCGAGGAAGTAGCAACCTATAACCTTGCTATAGCATATCAAAGAACACCTTAGCAAGCATTTGAAAGCCCAGCAGGTGTTTTCCTCTTTGTTGTGTGATAGTACATTTGTGCAGACAGGTGCATGTTCTACCAACTGGAGGTCAGAAATAGAACAGGCAACTGCTGAAATCCATTCTAGCATTTATGAGGCAAATCATAGCCATTGCCATAATCATTGCATTTGATTTAAGCCTCAACATGTGTTGAGACGTCTAGAAGTACTTCATAGTATATACTGCAAAGCGGCGTGACTGTATTTTGTGGGCAAATAATAATAATAATCCTTGCATTTGATATCGCGCTTTTCACGTCTTCTAGGCGTCTTGAAGCGCTTCACAGAATATGCTGTAAAGTGAATTGACCGTATATTTGTGGGCGAAACGCGGCAGCCAATTGCGCACAGCAGTGTCCCATAGTCGTGGATTGAAAATGACCAATTTATTATTTTTTTTTGGAGGGATTATTATTAGGCGTGCGGAGAAGGAAAAATGCCCAAGGTTTTGCCCTGCCTGGAATTGAACCCAGGTGTCTTGCTTGCAAGGCGAGTGCTCTAACCACTGAGCTACAGAACTCCACTGTCACAGCACAGCAATGTTCCACGAGAGCTTTGCAGTGAATGATTTATTTGGGGGATTGTTATATGGTATATGGGAGCTGGTACAGCTAATGATTTTGCTGTCACCTGACATCTTAGAACTTTATTTTTAAATTGTTTTATTAAAAATGATCTAAAATAACAGCAAAGGGTAATCATTAATTTGGAGGCCTGTAATGTAGTGGTTAGAGCACTCGCCTCACAGGTGAGAGAACTCGGGTTCAATTCCCGGGCAAGTCAAAACCTTGGGCAAGTTTCCTTACTCCACACACCTCTGTTTACCTAGCAGTAAGTAGGAACCTGGTTGTTATTTAATTGGCGGATTGCTTTTCTGGGGGATTAATAATCCCCTCAAAAAAAAAATTTGGTCACTCAATCCACGACTGTTTGTGGGACACTGCTGTGCGCAATTGGCTGCTGCTTTTCGCCCACAAAATATACAGTCAATTCACTTTACAGTATATTCTGTAAAGCTCTTTGAGACGTCTCAAAGACGTGATGAGGCGCTATATCAAATGCAAGGATTATTATTATTATTATTTGTTCTGAATGTTTGAAATTCATTCTGAAATGATGGTCAGATTCACAAATAATCATCATCTACAGGTTCACAGTATTGCAATTAGTAGAATGCACAGCGCCTTGGGACGTCCTCCCGACGTGAAAGGCGCTCTATAAATGGAATCTTGTTGTTGTTGTTGAATGATTTGATATTTAATCGTCTAAAATGGGATAACTGCATGGAATCTAACATCATACACTTAAATGCCTAATTCTGATAAAAGCTTTATGAGATGTCAGCTTGGCTCAATTGGTAACCCTCTTGTTTCTAGGGCAGAAGTTGTGAGTTGATGCCTCACAATCTAGCCTGAACTGTCAGTGCAGTGCTGGGGGAGCGTTGCATCAGCAGATGTGCTGTCCTTCAGATGAGATATCTACCTGGTCAGTTGGCATGACGGATCTCATGACACTTTCTAAAAAGAGTTTCTCCAGGTATCTTAGACAACAATCTTCCAGAGAATTTATTATTATTATTATTTCATTTTTAGAAATTGGTCATTTGCTTAATGGTTGTGTGCGAGACATTGCTCTGCACAAATTGACTGCTACATTTGATTACAAATACATAATGACTACACTTTACAACAATTACCTGTGGATCCCTATGAGACATTATAGGCCCTATATCAAATGCAAGGACTGTTATATATAGACACTAGCCTGAAACCAATTCTATGGTGGGTGTGGGAGGGGTCTAGGTCTTGTATCTGGAGGAATGGAGAATTTTATAAGAAATTTCACACAAATTTCAAACATGATAAGTTTTAAAACATTCAAGTTCAGTTTCTCCATTCAAGACTGCACATATTTAGAGGAACCTTTGACAATACTTTATGCCTAATAATAATCCCTTCAAAACCCAAAACAATAAAAAATTGGTCATTTTCAATCTACGACTGTTTGTGGGACATTGCTGTGCGCAATTGGCTGCCGCGTTCGCCCACAAATATACAGTCAATTCACTTTACAGTGTGTTCTGTGAAGTGCTTTGGGACGTCCTCCCGATGTGAAAAGCACTATATCAAATGCAAGGATTATTATTATTATTATTATTATAATACTTGCTGTACAAGAAGTAGAAAAGTTACATACTTTCCTCTGTATTTCTTCCTGTAAATTTTGCATAATTTGGTTCATTTCCACCACTTTTAATGTTGCTGTTCGCATGTCCAGCTTTGCTCGCCTGCACATACACAAACAAACTGTTAACATGACAAGAGCGACATCGGTCTGGTGCAATAGATCATATATGTGCTTTGCTCGTGTGTAAGATTATTACATCCTAATTAGCTTTGTTGAATCTACTGCTGGAGCCTGAGAAAATGGAACATAAATTTCCAATACAGTAGTTAAAAAAAAAGTTACTCTTTGGTTGACATGAGGAAAATTAGGAGATGGCTAAGGATAATGGAAGAGAAGGAAGCAAGAATCCTGAGAGATAGGAGTCCAGATCTATTCCTTTCTCTCTCAGAGGTAACATGGTCCATTTAACACCTAATAACTAAACACTGTTTGTCTACAAATCACGCAGAAACAACATTTTACAAACATCTTCCTCCGTGAAAGGCGCAATATAAGGATTATTATTATAAGGATTATTATTATTTGTTAATATAAGTTAACCACATATGTGTAACAAAGTTACTTCATGTCTGCACCCTTGTTTTGGGTGGGATGGGGAAGAGGGGAAAGAATCATGTGGGGTAGGATGAAGAAAGCAGTAAGGCGGTGGACAGAGATTTTCTTCCAATTTCACCTTTCCTTTCCCATCAATATCAAATGCAAGGATTATTATTATTATTATCTTTATGCAGAAGCAGAAGAGAGAAGTAGGGGACATCAATTGTAAGTTAAAAAAACTACAACCTAAATGTAATTTATAAAATTTCACTGCCATCTAAAATCATGAACAGACTCAACCAAAACAATCAACTGGAAATGGACAGATTTGTAGTTTAATAGGAGCAATGATATAGGCTTAGCGTCACACAGCTCCTGAATAAAGGATGTAAACTGCACGGAATCAATTTTCTTTTCCTACTTATCTTTTGTTGAATTCTGCCCAATACACTCTACATTTAGTGGTTAGGTTTGCCTGCAGCATACACACCAGCTGATAATTATCTTGGGCAGCATATGGATCCGATGATAGTAATTAGAAAACAACACCATGTATGCTGGCCCTTCAATACACTGTGTCATAGAGGAAAAGAACATGTAGACTTTACAATATATGGTAAAGCTACCCAAAGGGGTCAAATTATTTTGCAACACTTCCAAATTATTGAGTAGCAACTGATATGTTATACCCATGACGAGGTATAAGACATGGTGAAAAGAACTATGAAAGTCGATTATGTTGCAACAAGAACAACAATATTACATTTGTATAGCACCTTTCACATCGGGAGGAAGTCCCAAGGTGCCGGACAGACAGTTACAGACTCGAGTTGAGGGTCGGAGTGAGGGAGGGCAGTGGGGGAAGCAGGGAGATTGCAAGCACGGTCAAAGAAGAGGATCTTGAGGTGGGTCTTGTAGGTGGCGAGGAAGGGGGTGAGACAGAGGGACTGTGGGATGGAGTTCCAGAGGGTGGGTGCAGAGTGGCGTTAGTGGGGCGAGCAAGGCAGGGGATGTGAAGCAGGCCAGAGCCCACTGAGTGGAGGTAGCGAATAGGGTGGTAGGGGGTTAGAAGGTCAGAGAGGTAGGGGGGAGCAAGACCATGGAGGGCTTTAATGGTGAGGACCAGGATCTTGAACTATATCCTCTATGTGATGGGAAGCCAGTGGAGTTGGGCAAGGATGGGGGTGATAGGGTCGCAGAGCCAGTGCGGGAGAGGACACGGGCTGCAGAGTTCTGGATGATCTGCAGTCTGTGGAGGGAGGAGTTGGGGAAGCCGACAAGCAGTAAGTTTTGCATAGTCGAGCCTCGATGTAATGAAGGCATGTATGAGGGTTTTGGTGGCCTGTGGTGTGAGACGGTGTCGGAGCCGGGCAATGTTGGGGAGGTGGGGGAAGGCAGAGCGGGTCATGGCACAGTTATGGGTAGAAAGGATAGTTGAGGGTCAAACAAGACCCCAAGGTCCCGGACTGGCTTAGTAAGGTGGAGTGTGCAACCATGGATGGTGATGCTGTCAGCACCTGAGGTGTTGAGGCACTGACGGGAGCCAATCAGGAGAGCCTCGGTCTTGTTGACGTGCAACTGAAGAAAGTTAGTACTCAGGACTTGATGTCTGACAGACATTCTGTCAGGACAGCAGTGGTCCTGGAGTCAAGGATGGAGGCAGAGAGGTACAGTTGGGTGTCATCCGCATACATGTGGAAGTTGACCCCATGTCTGTGAATGATGTCACCAAGAGGGAATATATAGATGTTGAAGAGGAGGGGACCAAGGACAGAGCCCTGAGGAAAGCCGCACGAGACGGTCCCGGGGCTAGAGGAAAAGCCGTTTGAGGAGATGAAGTGCAGGTGGTGTGAGAGTTATGATCCGAACCAATCAAGGACAACATCATGGAGGTTGAGATGAGAGGAGAGGCGGTGGATGAGGATAGTGGTTGACGGTGTCAAAAGCAGCAGAGAGGAGACATAGGGAGCCCTGGTGGCAGATGGACAGAATGTCATTTGTCACTTTGACCACTTAGAGGTCTCTGGAGGGGGTTGGCAGCAGGGGTGTGTGGCATAGTTCCAGTTGTTAGCAGGAATCCCCATTTTTATTTTGAGCTCCTTAAGAAATCCCCATTTAAAATCACCATGTTTTAGACCCTAATGTAGGATCACAAATGTTTTGTGTTTCTAAAACATCACAGAAACTAAAGGTTCACTTGCATGCTATAAGTGTTTAATTTCTATTCAATAAGTTTAGGTCAGAGGTTTGCTTTTATAGACAACACACGTTGATCACAAATAACATAATCGTGTAGAAATTATCGCCGCCCCCAAAAAAAGTCTAACAAATGAGAGAATAATATTGTGAAATGTGTTTTTAGAATACCAACAGCAGAAAAATTCCCATTAAGATTAGTCACATTTATTAAAAGAGCAGCAGGCACCTAGGAGGTTACACCTACCTGAGCTCTTTGTGGTTCACTTCCAGTTCCACGTTCTGTTCAGTCACAGTTTTCACAAACTGCTGATTAGTCTGTTCAAAACATAATGGAGGAAAAGCTCTGTGAAGCTGTGTATACAGAAGACTGCCTTATAAAAAAATGATAGGGAAATCTTACGTTTCCAAGTATAGCACACATGACTCCAGGGTAACAGAAACCTAACACTGTAGGCCAGTTTCCTAAATACAAAAATACAATGTACTTTACACTTAGCTTAGGAATCATGTTCTGGTCATTATATTGTTTAATAGATAACATTATTTATCTCCTTCAAATATATGAAGACTGATACTGAATAGTTCATCTACACCTCAAATTTAATAATGCAAGGATTATTATTATTGTAAGTTTGTTTCCACAAAGGGACTTCATTGAAAGAAGTTAAAAACTTAATAACTGATGATGACTTTTCTCCTACATAGTTTTCAATATTAGTAAGACTAAATATTCCAGCTTCCCCCCCCCCCCCCCCCCAGCAATCGGGTGTATATAAACTGCAGCTGGGTTGGATTGACATTTTCCAAATGTTTTTTCTTACTGTGGTCATATTTTCATTGGCCAACTGAAGCTGCTGAGTAAGCTGTTGGAACCGTGTCAGCTGTTCCTGAAACAAAAATACCAGAGAGCTATGTGGTTGCTGGTGCTGCTCACAAGAGAATGACATTTATGAAGCTTTCTTTATTAATTAGCGACTCTATTCATCACTGTTGTTTTGCATACTGTTGAATTTTTTTTTAATAGACAAACATATCAATACACTGGAACAATATTTCATTATTTTTGTTTAATTCTATGCAATGGCAGAATATGCAGTGATGTTGAGCGCTTTGAGATGTCCTCCTGACATGAGAGGCACTGTAAAATGTAAACTGTATTATATTGTATGAAGGACACACTTTCTGACGTCGTTGATCGAATGTTTGGCGCTCACTCTCTGACACATGTTCTTGGTACATCTGCTGCAGTCGATCTAACTCCTGTGAAACTGTCTGCCACAATTCCAAAGCTTGGTTCTTTTCCTAAAATGTAAGACAGCTCTATTAGGAAAATAACTTGCCACTAGCAAGGGAAAGCATTACCATATTCGGGAGGCAATTTGCGACTTTTCCTTATACAAACAGACAAATTTCATAGGTACCAATAGATTTTCACATATACTCACATCCAACAACCTACAATAAGTGACTGTTAATTCACTTATTTTACTTCAGGCCATCATTAAAATAAGTTTATAATTTAAGTGTTGAAAAGAATCTCCCACCATACCTTTAAAATTAAGCTGTTTAACTTGAAGCCTTAAATTACTGCAGTATCTAACCACAGAATAACTATACAGAGAATCCCGTCTAACTTCTCTTCTAGTCACTAACTAGAAAAGAAGAGTTGACGATCACCAGCAGCTGAGCTACTTGATCTCCAATGTATACACAGCATTATCCCAACCCATTCGGAAAAGTACGAGAACATTCAGGTTATCTTAGATGAGAACCGCAGCTGAATAAACATAATTTTGCTTACAGAACACAGCAAGTCTGAAATCCTAGTTAGATGATTTTACCCCCACGCGTGATAAGTCTATCATTATCAAGTAAAAGCGCTACAGCAAATTCATTTTACTTCTAAGAGTTCTAATCCATCTCTGCTGTGCATTCACCAGGGAGTGAACCTCATAGAAGGAAAAGCAGCTGAAACACCTCCCAACCTCTCCGACCTGCTTACCCGCCAACCCACAACCCGCTGTCTCCCCTCGACTGCCTAACGTCTTCTGCATGTCCCTCGTGCCCTCCGTTCCACCATTGGCAGCCGCACTTTCAGCCATTATGCCCCAAAACTCTGGAACACTCATCCTCTATCCCTCCACCTTGCCCCTTCCTTCCCCATCTTCAGGTCGCACCTGAAGACCTTCCTATTCGACCGTGCCTACAGTCACCTCCCCCCGGCTCGGAGTCGTGCTCCACCACTGTCAAGCTCTCTGAGCCGCTGCCCTGCATGAGGGAGCGCTATATAAATGTAAGTTGTTGTTGAAAAAGAGCTAACAACACTCGCTTGTTTATCTACTTGCATCTTGTTCTAACAACACCCGTGTTAACGTTCCAATGAAACATTATTTCTGTCCCCCTCATTATCTCATTAATACTGCAGCTTTAATCCCCTTTCCCCAGGACAAGGTGTTTGTTATTCACTACATATTCTGTTTAGTGCTCGAAACTGAAGGCACCAATCGATACCTATTTATGACATTTGTACACTGGTTAAACTCCAGCAGTACCCTCAATGTACACTTTGGGGGCCCCAATCCTTGGTTCTTGCCAACCTGTGCCTAATACTCTCCAGAATCAGGTAAGCAAAATGAGTCCCTCCAGGGACATAGTACTTATTCATTTCATTGCAGACATCGGAATTTCCATGTGTAGGTGGTGTTCGTGGAACTCCCAGTCTGGTTTGGTTACTCTTAATCACAGTGATGGGATTCTTCACGAGTCAGACACTTGGCTGACCCAAAAAAAAATCTGAGAGGCAATTCTTAGAGACAACAACAACTGCCAACAATTAACGTCTGCTTTATGAAAAAGAAATGAATCACATGGCTGAGAGTGTGGCTAGGAACCCGAGGCAAGTTTAGACTCATAGGATGAGCTAAAATACTGCAGCTGAGGTGTAAAAATCCATTAAAGTAACAGTCTTCACTCACTGTTCCAAAAATAGATTACAACTGGTCTATGCTGGAGTTTGTGCTCCCCATGAGCCTCCTCCTACCCTTCCTCAACTAAGCCTTCAAGCACAACCTTCTATTCCTTTCTCCCTCATGTACCTATCTAGCTTCCCCTTAAACACATCTATGCTAATCACATATATTTGCCTCAACAACTCCTTGTGGTAGCATGTTCCACATTCCCACTACTCTGTGTGAAGAAATTTCTTCTAACTTCCCTATTTGATCCATTTGTGACTATTTTATATTGATGGCCCCTGGTTTTGGTTCCCCCCACAAGTGGAAACATCTTCCCTATGTCTACCCTATCAAAACCTTTCATCATTTTAAAGACCTCTATCAGGTCACCCCTTATCCTCCTCTTTTCAAGAGGAAAGAGTCCAAGTATGTTCAGCCTTTTCTGATAGGTATAACCTCTCAGTTCTGGGATCATCCTTGTGAATCTCCTTTGCACCATCTCCAGTGCCTCTACATTCCTTCTATAATGTGGGGACCAGAACTGCACACAGTATTCTAAGTGTGGTCTAACCATGGTTCTATAGACGTTTACCATAAATTCCCTGCTTTCATTTCTGTCTCTCTAGAAATGAACCCCAATGCCTGGTTTGCTTTTTTTTAATGGCCTTATTAACCTGCGTTGCTACTTTTAATGAATTGTGTATGTGTACCCCTAGGTCCCTTTGCTCCTCTATCCCATTTAGGTTTTTATTTTCCAGGATGTACGATACCACAACAAAATATTTGTTATAATGATGCTAATTCTATCAAGATTATAACAAATATTTCAGTAAACTAAATCATGAAATTATGTTTTGACCATCGTTGTTTGTAGTGCTTTTGGCTTTGTGTTTTTGTCACCTACCCTATTGGCCAACCGCAATTGTTCCTGTAGGCTGCTCACCATTGTGTCTTCTACAAGCGGATCATCATCAATACCTGCACCACCAGGCAGGGTTTGAAGATGTTTTTCAATGTTTTCTCGTAACTCTGTGTGCAACCTGCACCATTTGGAAACAAACACTCATTATCTCAATTTACAATGAAAATAAATTCATTTTAGAAAAGTCCAAAATACCCACATTTTGCAACTGTCAACTTATCTCAAAATAACTTGCACCGAGTTATCAACGATAGGATTAAAAATCAGAATTTTAAACCCATCAGCTTTAAAGAAAGGATGAATTCATTCAGAAATGGTCATGAAGAATCAATGTAGGTCACCTAGGAAGTGCCACTTTAAAAAAGATTAAAGAAGCAGAAAGCAAAAAGGTTTTACAAACACCACTTCCTTTGGGAATGTTTACAAGATTTCTGTCAAGACCCTGATTTGAATTCAGATCTCATAAACTGAAACAAAAGTATTCAGCCCTTCAGAAAATCCTTGTTAATAATTATTATTGACAACTTAACCCCGATTCTTTCATTGTTAATTTGTGTACTATCAAAGAAACACCATCCTTAAAGATAATAGGCTTATAAAAACTTTAATACTGAATATATAAAACCTTACCTCTCATTTTCTCTTATGACACTTTCAAGGTTTAACTTCATCTCATTCATCTTAGTCTATTTTTAAATAAGACATGTTGTTATTATTCGAGGCAAGGAAATGTTATTAGCTTCTAAACCAAAATCAGACTCACATACTCTTACCTGGTAGTAACATATCTGTTCATTCAATTCTTCCATGTTCTTGTCATATTCTATTATAAGAGGTGCCATTAGGCTGCCAGAGAAAAACAAATATAGAATACACCAGTTGCCAAATATTATACTGTACAGAGCTACCATCAAACAATCAATTAAGAATTTATATTGAATATTGATACTTTTGTTACAAAAATAAATAAGGTTTAATCAATAGTAAGTAAATATTAAATCTGCAGGCTATAACACTAGACAACACGGTTATAAAGCGCCTCACTAGAATGTGAGTTTGCTTATGTAGTGGGTATCCTGTGAACCAGCAAGAACATATCGTCACTTGAAGACAACTGTTTCATTTGTCAAATAAAACTGAACCAACAACATTAACAACAACAAAATTACATTTGTATAGCGCCTTTCACGTCGGGAGGACATCCCAGGGCGCTGGACAGACAGAGTTACGGACCCGAGCTGAGGTTCGAGGTGGGGGAGAGGGGAGGGTAGGGAGGAAAGCACGGTCGAAGAGGAGGGTGTTGAAGCAGGTCTTGAAGGTGACGAGGAGGGGGTGAGACGGAGGGACTACGTGATGGAGTTCTAGAAGGTGGGTGCAGAGTGGCGGAAGGCCTGCCCGCCGATCGTGTACAGCTCAGATTGCGTACAGCTCAGACTGCTAATGCCAATGATGAAGACCACAATGAATCAGTAACAAAGTCATTCAATGAAAATTGAGGATAATTCAAAACAGCTCAATTGCTGTCAGGTCCTCAATAATTGCCCAAATCAAGAGACGTCTTTCTTGATTAAGGATTTCATGTAGGTTGAGATGTCACTGTTGCTCAATAATTTCCCATTCTGACTCGGTATGGTCTTTAAGCTTGGTCAACCATGTGGTGCAACCCGAGAGATGCATATGTTGACAACTTAAAATGCTTTTGCAACTGATTAATCTCTTGGGGCAGAACTAATCAACCATTAATGACCCATTTGAAACCATCTTTGTCGATTCTGCAACCAGAGTCCTGAGGTCAGAAGTTCCTATTTGACAAACCCCCTAAAATGAACTGCCCCACAACCAATTAAAATGTTCCGCTATGTGTCGACAACAACTTGCACTTATATAGCGCCCTCCACGCAGGGTAGCGTCTCAGAGCTTCATCTTTGTTTAGCAGTGGCGCAGCCTGACTCCGAGCCAGGGGGAGGGGGGAAGTGGCCATAAGCATGGTCGAACAAGAAAGTTTTCAGGTGGGACTTGAAAGAGGGGAGAGAGGGAGCAAGGAGGAAGGATTCAGGGAGAGTGTTCCAGAGTTTTGGGGAGTAGTGGCTGAAAGCTCGACCTCTGATGGTGGGGCGGAGGGTGCGAGGGACGAGCAGGAGGCCAGTGCCAGTCGAGCGGAAGCGCTGGGTGGTGGATTGGGGAGTGAGGAGGTCAGAGAGGTAGGGAAGTGCCAGGGAGAGCGTGGATTTGAACACTAGTATGAGGTTCTTGAAGTCGATCAGTTCGGTGATGAGGAGTCAGTGAAACCTGGATAGAACTGATGAGATGTGGATATGGAGTTTGGTCTGGGTCAGTATATGGGCAGCAGAGTTTTGAATGAGCTGGATCTTGTGAATGATGGAGCTGGGGAGACCGGTGAGGAGTGCATTGGAGTAATCCAAGTTGGAAGTGACAAACACATGCACAAGGGTTTCGGCTGCATTTGGGGTAAGTTACGGCCAGTGGTGGGCAATGTGGCGGAGGTGGAAGAAGGCGGTCCTGGTCAGGGACTGGATGTGGTGGAGGAAGGACAGCTGGGTGTCGAACCGGACGCCTAGGTTGCGCACTGATTCGGTGAGTCTGAGGGAGAGCCCAGGGAGGTTGAGGAGTTTAGATCCACAGGAGTGAAGACGTTGATGTATGGCTTCCATCTTGTCCATATTCAGCTGCAGAGACTCATCCAGGCCCAGATGCCTGCCAGACAAGCTGACAGAACATTGGTGGACCTGGAGTTGGTACCGGAAGAGGCAAAGTAGATTTGTGTGTCATCCACATCCATGTGGAAGTTTACTCTTTGTCTGCAGATGACATTGCTCAGAAGGAGCATATAGATAAGGAAAAGAAGAGGGTCAAGGATGGAGCCCTGAGGTACCCTGCAGGTGACTGGTCGGGGCCGGGAGGAGAAACCATTTGCTGAGATGAAATGGAGGCGGTTGGTTAAGTAGGACTCGAACCATGTTGAGTGCAGTCCCACTAAGGTAGATGAGGGAGAAGAGCTGATGGAGGAGGATGGTGTGGTTGACTGTGTCGAACATGTCAAGAGAGTTCCAGGAGGACGAAGAGGCAGAGGGAGTCTTGGTCACAGATAGAGGGAACGTCGTTTGTGACTTTGACAAGCCTGACTCTGTGCTGTGGGCAGGGTGAAAAACAGACTGCAGGGGGTTGAGGAGGGAGTGGTGGGAGAGGTGTGACTAGAAATTGACCTGCAACAATGCGTTCCAGGATTTGACAAGGAAGGATAGATTGGAAATGGGATGGTACTGTGAGAGATTAGAGGGACCGAGAGTGGGTTTTTGGGGGAGGGGTGTGATAACAGCGGTTTTCAAGAGGAGTGGAACAGAGTCTGAGGAGAGAGATTGGTTGACGGTGTCAGCCAGCAGGGGGGAGAAAAGGAGGAGTTGGATGACCAGCAACTGGTTGGGGAGGAGGTCGAGGTAACAGGTGGTGAACTTCATCCAGGTGATTGTGGTTGAGTGGGAGGGAGAAATGGGGGCAAAGGAGTGTAAGGAGTCGGGGAGTGGCAGGAGCCGTGGTGGAGGGAGAAGACGGTGTGGATGGTCTAGGTGGAGTGGAAGGGAACATGGGTGGGGGAGGACGATGCAGCCAAGTCGATGTTTTTAATTTTTGAGGCGAAGAAGTCTAGGACCTCTTTGAACTTGTTATAACATTGTAGTTGGTTGTGGGGCATTTCCACTCTATGGTTGTTTGTGGGACTTCGTTGTGCGCAAACTGGCTGCCGAACTGGTTTGGTCCACAAACATACAGTCACTCTACTTTACAGAATATCTTAGAACTGCTTTGAGACGGCGCAACGACGTAATAAGGCAGTATATCAAATGCAAGGATTATTATTATAAATCGGTGTGACACAGAGATATTTTTAAAAATCTGTACATGGCACACATATGTGGCACTTTCAGTTTGGTTTGGATACTCTTAAGTATGGTGAAGGATTTCACCTTTTGCACACGTCAGACACCCTCCCACCATCTGACAAAAAAATACATGGAAATTCCCTTGTATCCAGAATGGAATTCACACTCTCTACCGTAAGGATGCTCTCTGCTTACCTAATTCGGGAAGGCATTAAGCACGGGTTGGCAATAGCCAAGGCTTGGGGATCCAAAGTTGGGCTTGGGGATCCAAAGCTCAAACCACATAGCTTGTCATTGAGAGTACTGTCTGGCAAACTTCCTGCTGTTTGTCCAACTAGGACCACCCTACCCATTAGAACTTTGGCTTGCAGGGTTTTGAACGACAAGAGTAAAATTTATGAGCAACAAAGATATGCACTCTACCTACATAAATACTTCACCAAAATATTTACCATTAGAGAGACAACATGGCACTTACCTCTTATCTGTCAGCCAGGGGACAGGAGAATGACATTCTTCCAGGTGTCCTGTCTAAATCAAAACAGAACAGATTTGTGTTTTTCTCAACCACTGCAAACAACCAAAACTGATTCTCTACAATGTAGAACGCTCCACAATTTAATTTTCTGATTGGCTGTCGGATTGATATGCTAAATTGGCCTTGCCTAATTTAGCCACTGCATCTGGACTTTGAGGATCCAAAAGCCTCTTAAAGTTTGTTAGTCATCTCATCTCTTGGCTTAACCTTTCAGATGTGAACACTGAAAACAACTTTGCAATGTGATGCAAAAGAGACATTAAAGTTGAGAAAGGTGGTACTCAAGGGATGAATTATGCCCTTCACAAGGGTACAATATATCCTTCCAAGAGCTAGCTGACAAATTTACACTGCACAGACTTTACACAGACTTCTGAACTGAAAAAGTCTGATTTGGCCTTACCTCCAGAATCCAGCTCTATCAGTGCAAACCACTAAAACTGATTCTCTACAATGTAGAACACTCCACAATGTCCTTCCTCTGTTCAATATTGTCCTCCACGTACATACAGGAATGCATGTTTGCAATTCTAGTTACGCGCTATCTACAGACCTTCTGGTTGGAGATAATCTTGTCCTTTGGGTGGCTGGCTTTATTCTCTCTTTAGCCTGCTCCTATGCATACTCAGCCTATTGAGGCTGTGCAAGAAGAAAACTAATGTACCTGTCTGTCCATCCACCCAAATAAAGGAGCCTAAACTCATATCAATTCAATGAATATGCATCTACTTATGGTATCTAACTCAATGTATGAACTCTGTTACATCAAGAATGGAGAACAATGTAAATTGTTGGTCAGGCTCCTGAAGCAATTTTGGAGTTCAAGAAGTCTCTGGCACTAAATTAAGAAAGAAAGCCCAAATATCAAGAAGTAATTTGGGTTTCTTTCTTAATTTAAGAAAAGCAGACCTGTGATTTATTTTTCTCCTGTCATATTAGCTGGCTCAAACCCTCACTGCAATTTCTTTCCCTATTTATCTTGACTACTGCGAGGATGAAATAAATTGAGGTTTTTGGTTTTCTTGTACTGCAGGTAAGAGCCAACTAGTCCATGCACAGCAGGGATGGTATCAAGAGGAAGGAAGAAATAGGTAGCAGGCAATTTTTTCTCCATAACTGTTTGGCTTTGCAAATTCTCCATGGTATAAGCTATGTTTAAACAGCCAGAAGGTAGAAGCAAACATAATATCCTTTTTCCAATATTAAGGTGTCACATTAGTCTTAGTTGCAGGAAATAATGCTCCAAAAGGTAGAAAAAATTGTGTCAGAATAGTGAATAGTGAAGTCTCTACAGTAATAGGGAGTTTTTTTCCTCGAAAAGGACTTTATGAATCAAGATACAATTTGTGTACAATAAACAAATGATACAATGAATATCTGTACAGCTTCACTGAATAATAGAGATAATAAGAAGGGTGAATGCTCTGGAGTTTTTGATTGGCTATCTTTGGAGTTCAGAGTACAGGTATATAATATCTCCCCAACACAGTATAGAGTTGGATATGGTTTGTATTGAATGTGGAAAGTGTGTTAATAGGCTGAATGGCCTTCTCTTGTTAGAGGCTTTGATTCTACAAATGTACGGAAATACTTCACTTTTTTTGAAAATAGACATTTAAGGTACTGTCTGGATAATACTGTAAAAACGGACACGCTTTATAATATATCATTCTTGCATTTGATATAGCGCTTTTCAAGTCACCGAGATGTCTCAAAGCACTTCACAAGGTTTTACTGTGCACTGATTATGTATTTAGAGGGAAATATGGCAGCCAATTTGCGCAGAGTAATGTCTCACAGGGTGTTCTTAAGATAGAGTGTTTTTAATATACAGAGTGTGGTTTTAATGTAGTGTTTTGTGTTTTTTTCCGTTTTGAATACTACATTTATATATTTTTAAAAAAGTCCATTTAAAATGATAATACAGTAATTTGCTTGATAGGTTTGCTATTTCATGATTTTGCTAAATTTCTTTTTTTCTTAAAAAATTACAACAGCAGTGCAGTGGCTCTGCATATTGGGGGTTCCAATTTGATTAGTGTAGAATGGCAGGATGCAGACTTCATCTCCTACTGTGCACACAAAACACACTACACATGTAGAGGTGACAAAAAGCAGAAGGTTACAATTACAAGCTGCTTCATGAACCCCTCGTGGTTGGCTTCACCGCCTGATACATCAAAGGAGTCACTGGAACACTGATCATTACCAGAAGAGAGCATTTCATGGAATATAAAACGCCCCTTCCTTGCTGCATATTCATCCATTTTCTTTACCCTCCACGCTGATCTGTGCATTGGTACAGCAATTTTTATTTTTTTTGCCTGTATACGTCAGTATAGTTCTCTTCAACTTGGTTACCATCTTCTAAACATGCACTGTTCTGACCACCTTAGTTTGAATTGAAGTACATATCATTGCTTTGTGAGGGGGGTGGGGGGGTTGCGGGGAACAGATAAAGACAACTGATTAATACGAGTCTAAAAAGTACAGACAACATATAACTATAGAAAAGGACAAACAGCTGCAGCAATACATGGCACAATTTATTACATGATATAGAAAGACTGCAAAACACTCTGATAGCTATTTTAAATTTTGTAAGAATAATACAAAAAATAAAATAGTAAAAGAATAAAACGATTTGGAAAATATAATTTTGGAAATCATTGTACCTGATCAACAGCAGGTTTGGACAGTTCTTGTGCTTGGTATTGCCTGAGTGCGGAATTCAACCGCTGAACTATTGGAGGAAAAAACAGATAGTCAACAGTCATGTTTAAACATCCTCATTATTATGTTGCCCTCTAGAGATCTCCTTCCACTGTAACCTGCCCTAAAAGACAAACCGGGTTTCTTTGAAAACATAGTAATTTAACACCCATGTTGACATTGTGCCCACTTGAGTTAATCTAATTTCAAAGCATTGTTTCCTTTTAAAAATTAGGGTAATGTAATCAAGTACTTAGGTCTTCTATGAAGCTTGTACTGTATTCCTAAACAAAGAAAAATAGTCAAAAAAGAAACTTCCACCGTTTTACTGATTCTTTGTGGAAAAACTTTTGAGCAATGACCTGTAAAATCCCACCCGACTAGCCCTACAATCGGTGGCCGGGCTTTCAGCCTCTCTGCCCCCACACTCTGGAACTCCATCCCACGGTCCCTTCGCATCGCTTCCTCCCTTGCCTCCTTCAAGGACGGTCTCAAGACCCTCCTCTTCGATCATGCCTCTCGTCACCCTCCCCTACCTCTCCCCCATGCTCAACGTCCCAACCCCTGACTGTCCAGTGCCTTGGGACGTCCTCCTGATGTGAAAGGCGGTCTATAAATGTAATTTTGTTGTTGTTGCTGTAAAATAGCTTGAAACCCAAACCATTTTTAAGTTAATACTTGTGAAAGCTAAAAATCAATTTATTTGGACTAATGTATACAAGTACCAAATTAATCTGTCGCAAATCTTAATCTGTCCCTGCACGAGTAATATAACATCACTTCAGATAGCAATAGCCGTGCTGAGGTTCTTGTCAACCCTTATTCCTTTTTGCCCACTGTTCGACAATTTGGAGTGTATCACACAAAATTCTTCAAGTGTTCTTAAATATCTCCATTCTTGACCACTTCCAGTGACCCCTACTGGAAGGTGTAGATCTGTGGACATGCACACAGCCTGGCCTCATAATCTGGCTCATACGTGAAAAACAGCTACTTCAGTAATATCAAAAACCTGTGAGTCCCACAGATATCCCCCATCTTAATATAGGACACTTAGAAAGGAGAGAATGTGCACTATGAAAAATAAAATAAATAGGAATTTATTTCCAAGTTGTTTTATGTTTGAGGATTTAACATAACATCATAAGTTACTTGAACAGTGCTCTCATTTGTGCAGACATTTAAAATATTTAAGATTCAAAATTAAGACTGTGAAGTGCAGCTGACTGTGTATTTTGCGATTGAACATGACAGCGAATTTGCACACAGCAATGTCACACAAACAGCCATGGAGTGTTTGTGGGATTCTTATCCAGTCCCGGGAGAAACTCCCTCTCTTTTCTAATAGTGTCATGGGATCTTTAACATCCACCTGAACAGGCAGATGGGACCTTGGTTTATATTCTCATCCAAAGGTCGGCACCTCCAACAATGCAGCACAGCCCCAGCACTGTATTGGGGTGCTTGCTAGATAATACGAGTTCCAAGTCTCGATGTGTGGCTTGAACCCAAAACCTTCTGGCTCAAAAGTGAGGGTGCTACCAACTGAGCCAGGTGGAGCAGGTGAAAGGTTTCTAAAAAAGGAATTTCACAAGCTTGTTCCAAATGTGGCAAATGGAAAATTTACCTTGATTGGTCAAAAATTCTACTTCAGTAGTTTCCATGCTCTTAATGTTGCGAGTCTCTTAGAAACTCAGTCCGTAGGTACCAGAAGAGGTCTTTACAAGATGGCAGGAGTAAAGACTGAAAAGAAACAGTACAAATTAGCTCTGAGTCAAGTTCATGTGAAACATATTCCATTGATTTCTTGATTTTTGTTTGCTTCGAATCACTTTTTTCAGAAGCCCAAGGCTTTCAAAGATTAATGTTAACTTTTCATGCATCAGTTTATTAATTTTGTTAATTTGCATAATATTTGTTTTTAAAAAAAATGGCTATGTTCACATGCACGTACTGCATACTTTATGTTCTTGTCACACCAGCCTGATCCAAGTATTACACTCACTGTGGCGGAAGCGATAACAAAGCTGCATCTAATCGAAGGTTTAGATGATGTCAAACCACAAGATGCTCAGGGGCTTATGAATATCATCTGAGCCCTGAGCTAAATTACAATCTGGCAATCACTCTTTACCATCATTTGTTCATGATGCAGATATTTGATTATATTATCACATTTCTGAGGGTTAAAGCTGCCATTCAATATTGTTTCATGTCAGCTATATCTTTTTGAGCATGTTTCTCCCTGATGGATTAGGNTTTTTTTTTATCAACAACATGATAAAATGAGACTTGTGAGCTGTTAACAGCTGTTGTTTTGCAGTTACCTTTATATCACGGTCTTCTCTGATAAACTGACAGTTCATAACCATGCTGTATAAAATTCCCCAAGCGTATCAAAGCCAATTGTGAGGTCAGTACTGCAAGTTAAAAGGTATGTATATAACAGAGATCAACTGATCAAGGTTTGTAACATCCTCTAGGTTCAGGTCAAAGGGGTAACTGATTTATGTCATAAATCAATGAAGAAAAACTTCGAAACATACCGCTGATCGAATACACCAGCCCGGCACTGGCACCGGCCTCCTGCTCGTCCCTCGCACCCTCCACCCCACCGCTGGAGATCGACCTTTCAGCCACTACACCCCAAAAATCTGGAACGCTCTCCCTCAGTCCATCCGCCTTGCCACTTCTCTCCCCTTTTTCAAGTCCTGCCTGAAAACCTTCCTCTTCGACCGTGCTTACGGCCACCTCCCCCTCCCCGCCCCCAGATTGGAGTCAGGCTCCGCCACTGTTAAGCGCTCTGAGACGCTACACTGCGTGACGGGCGTTATAGGTGGAGTCCTATCGCTCAGTGGTTAGAACACTTGCCTCACAAGCGAGAGACCTGGGTTGTACTGCCGGCAGGGCGAAATGTTGGGCAAGTTTCCCTATTCCACACGCCTCTGTTTACCCAGCAGTAAGTAGAAACCTGGTTATTAGTCAATTGGCAGATCGCTTTTCTGGGCATAATAATTCCTTCAAAAAAAACAATAATAATTTGGTCACTTCAATCTACACTGTTTGTGGGACACTGCCGTGTGCAATTGGCTGTCACGTTTCGCCCACAAATATAGATTCAATTCACTCTACAGTATATTCTGTGAAGTGCTTTGAGACATCTAGAAGACATGAAAAGTGCTATATCTAATACAAGGATTATTAATATTATATAAGTGCAAATTGTTGTATACACTTACCTAGATTAGTGTGAATAATAATCCTTGTCTCACAAGCGAGAGACCTGGGCTCTACTGCAATTGATAAAGCGCTTTATCCCATCTTCAGATGTCTCAAGAACTTTTTAGAATATACACAATATAGAAATCCACCTGTATGCGGATGACACCCAACTCTCCCTCTCTGCCTCCACCATTGACTCCTGGACCGCTGCTGTGCTGACAGAATGTCTGTCAGACATCAAGTCCTGGATGAGAACTAACTTTCTTCAGTTGAACGTCAACAAGACCGAGGCTCTCCTGATCGGCTCCTGTCAGCACCTCAACACCTCAGGCACTGACAGCATCACCATCCATGGTTGCACACTCCACCTTACTAAGCCAGTCCGGGACCTTGGGGTCTTGTTTGACCCTCAATTATCCTTTCTAACCCACATCTGTGCCATGACCTGCTCTGCCTTCCCCCACCTCCGCAATGTCGCCCGGCTCAGACATTGTCTCACACCGCAGGCCACCGAAACCCTCATACAATGCCTTCATTACATCGTGGCTCAACTATGCAAACTCACTGCTTGTCGGCCTCCCCAACTCCTCCCTCCACAGACTGCAGATCATCCAGAACTCTGCAGCCCGTGTCCTCTACCGCACTAGGCTCCGCGACAATCACCCCCATTCTCGCCCAACTCTAATATAATAATATCCACACGCCTAATACTAATCCCTCCAAAACAAAAAAATAATAAATTGGTCATTTTCAATCCACGACTGTGTGTGGGACACTGCTGCGCGCAATTGGTTGCTGCGTTTCGCCCACAAATATACGGTCAATTCACTTTACAGTATATTCTGTGAAGCGCTTTGAGACGTCTAGAAGAAGTGAAAAGCGCTATATCAAATGCAAAGATTATTATTATTATAACTCCACTGGCTTCCCATCACACAGAAGATACAGTTCAAGATCCTGGTCTTCACCTTCAAAGCCCTCCATGGCAGATGTGGAAGGCGCTATACAAATGTAATTTTGTTGTTGTTGTATACTGTAATATGAATTGTCTGTATATTTTGTGGCTGAAACCCAGCAGCCAATTGCACACAGCAGTATCCTACAAACAGTTGTGGATTTAGTCACTTATTAAGGGATTATGATTGTTAAGGGATCCACCAATTGACTAACAACCGGGTTCGTACTTACTTCTAGGTATACAGAGGCACGTGGAATAAGGAAACTTGCCCAACGTTTCGCCCTGCCGGGAATCAAACCCAGGTCCTCCCACTTGCGAGGTGAGTGCTCTAATCACTAAGCTACAGGGGAATGGGAAAACTTCTTGACAGCCCTCCAGACTGTAGTTTGCTCTAATCTATTTGTTTCTGAATTTTTTTTGTCCTAAGCTTTCCGTTACAATTCTGCCACTGAATTTCATAATTGTTAGTAATAACTGCCAAACTCCCACCTAGCCGATCACCTCCATCCTCGCCCGGCTTCACTGGCTCCCCATTCACCAGAGGATCGAGTTTAAAATCCTTGTCCTCACCTTTAAAGCCCTCCAAGGTCTTGCTCCACCCTACCTCTGTGACTTCCTAAAACCCTACCAACCTGTCCGCTCCCTCTCCTCGCACGGAACTCACCTACCTCATGTCCCCTGCCCTTCCTGCTCCACCATCGGAGGTCAGGCCTTCAGCCTTTCTGCACCCACCCTCAGGAACAGGCCCTCTGCATTGCCCCCTCCCTTGCCTCCTTCCAGGCCCATCTCAAGACTTTCCCCTTCAACTGCACCTTTGGTCCCCTTGCCACCACTACCCACCTTGACTCCAGTCGCAGCTCGGGTGCAAACCCTTCACTGCCCAGTACCTTGGGACTTCCTCCTGACATGCAAGGCATTATATAATTGCAATTTGTTGTTGTTGTTTTTGCCTAGTGTTAGATGATGAGTGGTAGTGGTGAAGGGGGGTAAGCGTTCAGAATGTTACAGGATATTTTCTAGCAAATACGATCCATACCATTTTCACATCCCAAAAGGAATATTTTCCTGAGGCTCACTCTCACCGTGTTATAATGATTTCTAGTTTAATAGGGAAAAGTGTATGTCTGGGAGCTATAATAAGGTACTAATACCATAGAGAAACTGAAATTGCAACACAACCATGTGCGAGGGCTAAAGCGGTTTACAATAGTCATATGGGTCCTGCAATGGAATTACTGGCTTAGAATCACTCCAGAAGTAGTTCTTATTTTCCAAACTACACTGAAGATCATGAGACAGTTTTCTTCACTTTTACGTCCTTTTGTACCTACAAACAGCTGCAACATAAAGAAACATGCATTTTTATAGAGCCTGAGAATGTTAAAACATCTTGAAGAATTTCACAAGCAATTATGAATAATTGTAGAGACCTTTTTTTTTCACAGATGCTGACAACTGGGACACTGTCCACATCACTTCATAATAATAATTCTTGCATTTGGTATAGTGCCTTATCACGTCTTCGAGACGTCTCAAAATGCTTCAAAGAATATACTGTAATGTTAATGACTGCATATTTTGTGGGTGAAATGTGGCAGTGAATTGCGCACAGCAGTGTTCCACAAACAGTCGAGGATTGATTGACCAATTTATTAGCATCATTTTTTTTTGAAGGAATTATTCCCCCTGGAAAAGTGATCCGCCAATCGACAAACAGCCGGGTTCCAACTTACTCCTAGGTAAACAGAGGCTTGTGGAATAAGAAAACTTGTTCAACGTTTCACCCTGCTGGGGATCGAACCCAGGTTTCTCGCTTGTGCGCTCTAATCACTGAGCTACGGGACTCCATAAGATAATGATAATGACCATCATTAAAATTGTACAATCATGACAAAACATTATTGAGCAAAAATTAATAGAATAAGGGACGGGAAGTAAATTATAAACTCTTAACCTAATCCAACTAATTATGAACAGAGCTTCCCCTTAAGTATTTAGATTTTTCCTACCCAAATCCTGAAATGTCAAGCAAATCTGTTTCTAAGCCACTATATCTCAAAATATTTTAGCTCACTTCATAAGAAATTTGTCTCAGTTGGACCACGATAAGAATTTATAATATAGAGCATCACCCTAAGGGAGTATTTGTTGCAGAAATCTGCAACCTAATTGTACCAGACTGGACAACAGCTCAATAAGAGTGTAGTCTTGAGACAGTGAAATAGCTGAGGAATTATTGTTGGTACACTACGGTAGAAAGGCACCCACCTACTACCTCTGATACTGAGAGAATTATATAGGTCATTACAGCACAGAAATAGGCCATTTGGCCCAACCAGCTTGTGACTGTCTTTAGGGTCCACATGAGCCTCCACTCCTCCTAATCCCCTGTTACAGTGGTTACAGCACTTGCCTCACGTGCGAGAGGACTTGGGTTAGATTCCTGTGCAGGGTGAAATGGTAGGCAAGTTTCCTCACTCCACACACCTCTGTTCACCTAGCACTAAGTTAATCGATTGGCAGATCGCTTTTTTAGGGGTAATAATAAGGTAATAATCCCTTCAAAAATAAATGAAAATAATAATAATAATAATCCTTGCATTTGATTTAGCGCTTTTCACGTCGGGAGGACGTCCCAAAGCGCTTCACAGAACACACTGTAAAGTGAATTGACTGTATATTTGTGGGCGAACGCGGCAGCCAATTGCGCACAGCAATGTCCCACAAACAGTCGTAGATTGAAAATGACCAATTTATTATTGTTTTTAGTTTTGGAGGGATTATTATTAGGCTCTGTGGAGTAAGGAAACTTGCCCAAGGTTTCGCCCTCTGCCTGGAATTGAACTCAGGTCTCTCACTTGCAAAGCGAGCGCTCTAACCACTGAGCTACAGGACTCCACAAATTTGGTAACTCAATCCATGGCTGTTTGTGGGACACTGCAGTGCACAATTGGCTGCTGTGTTTCACCTACAAAATATACAGTATATTCTGTGCTTTGAGACATCTCGAAGACATGATAAGGTGCTTTATCAAATGCAAGGATTATTATTATATGCATGAATTTGCTCATTTTAAAAAAAGCTCAACGTGATCACTACCGCCATGCAAGAAGATTGCCGCTGAATTGTGAAACCACTGAGGTTTGCGAGGATTAGCAACCCGAATGCAAAACCACAATTGAAAGCTCAATGTTAGTTGGATCAGAGTTTTCAGTTGCTTTTCCAGCACCAGCATCAGCTGCCAGCGGGAGGAATGCAGATTGTCACTGATCTCATTGGCAACCAGGCCAAGAAGTCATGGGTTACATCATAAATTGCACTGGGCCCATTGAGTTTCCAGCTAAAATTAACTAACTCAGAAAAGATGGTGAATTCAGCCTGGGATCTGCAGCTTCCCATGTTGCCTTCAATTAGTAAAACCACTCTCCAATGAGAAACTCCACCACTCAGACATGGAAGGGCTTGGATTCAATTCTGTTTTGGCAGTCAGGCCACTGTAGGAATGCTACAGTTGGCCTCAAAATTGCTAACAGATTGTAAAATCAGTCAAGGTTTCTAGTTTCCTGATCACCGTATAGTGACCTCTGCTGGAATGTGTGAATGTTGGAGAAATTAAGGATTGTCTTTATGCTGGGTTGTCTTCATGATCAAATAGCTTGGAAACGTATGCAAGTACTTATGTAAAATGTGCTGTGGAAACCATGTGTGCAGACGGAGTTACATGTTATAGGATATAATTAAGACAATAAAAAGTGATCGGTTGATGTTTACAATAATTAATAAAGCCCTTTTATTTGCCTGTTAATTCTCAACAACAAAATGACATTTGTAATTATACAAGTCTGGGTTCCCGTATTTCCTCCTGCACATACAGCACAAAAACTATACATTAACACATGGCACCATAAAAGTCGCATTAAAAATGGCCACTTGGTAAAGTATTGTATCCAAGGAACAGGATCCAATTATGAGTCAACTCTTTCTAAGGAGGACTAGAGCAGAAGACTGGTAACAAATGTGTTCTGCATCGGACAGTAAAACCTCATTCAATTCAATCACACACTGAGGCATAAGGGAGAAAACTCTGTTCCATGGATATATATTCTGTCTCAATCATAAAATGACAGCTCTTTTAAGATACATGCCAGCCATTTGGTAATTATCTCATTTTAAAAACAACTCCACTTTGTCCTGTGCTGCTTTTGTGCGGTATTATTATCCATTCTGAAGCACACACTGTTTTTGGCAGTGACAGCAGTGTGTTTCGAACACCTTTCTTTGACTCCAAACTTCCAAAGATGGGCACGGACATTTGCATTGTGATGGTGTACAAACGTTTGAGTCATTTATCTTCCCAAATTCCACTCCCAAAATAAGGGTAACTGAAATAGGTATTCAGGCGTATCACCCAGTCTCTGCTGCTCACTGGCTACTTGAGATTGCAAAAATAAACTTCTGAAGTGACTGACTGGAGAATGTACAACTGATGGACAGTGAATGATGGATAGTGTACACATTGACTGGACAGTGTACACAGTGAGTGATGGTCAGTGAGTGATGGACAGAGTACGCATTGACTGGACAGTGTACCCAGTGAGGGGTGACCAGTGAGCAACTGAAGGACAGTGTACACAGTGAGTGATGGACAGTGACTGGTGGACAGTGACTGGTGGACAGTGTCCACAGTGAGTGACGGACAGTAACTGGTGGACAGTGTACACAGTGACTGGTGGACAGTGTACATAGTGACTGGTGGACAGTGTACACAGTGATTGGTGGACAGTGTACACAGTGACTGGTGGACAGTGTACACAGTGACTGGTGGACAGTGTACACAGTGACTGGTGGACAGTGTACACAGTGACTGGTGGACAGTGTACACAGTGACTGGTGGACAGTGTACACAGTGAGTGGTGGACAGTGTACACAGTGACTGGTGGACAGTGTACACAGTGACTGGTGGACAGTGTACACAGTGAGTGGTGGACAGTGTACACAGTGAGTGGTGGACAGTGAGTGACAGTTGCTGCCGTTGCCCTGGAGACGGGGTCGCGTTCTGTTGCCGCCGGTGCTGAGCTCGAGCTCACGTTTGATGTGTTTCTCTCAGCCCTCCCCCTCTCTTATGTGTATGAGGTGTATTTGAGGTGTGTGTGTGTGTATGGTGTGTGTGTATGCGGTGTGTATGGTGTGTGTGTGGTGTGTGTGTATAAGGTGTGTATGGTGTGTGTGAGGTGTATATGGTGTGTCTATGAGGTGTGTGTATGAGGTGTGTGTGTGAGGTGCGTGTATATGGTGTGTGTGTGAGGTGCGTGTATATGGTGTGTGTGTGAGGTGTGTGTGAGAGGTGTGTGTGTGTGTGAGGTCTGTATGGTGTGTGTATGAGGTGTGTATATGGTGTGTGTATGAGGTGTGTATATGGTGTGTGTATGAGGTGTATGAGGTGTGTGTGAGGTGTATATGGTGTGTGTGAGGTGTGTATATGGTGTGTGTGTGAGGTGTATATGGTGTGTGTATGAGGTGTATATGAGGTGTATATGGTGTGTGTGTGAGGTGTGTATATGGTGTGTGTGTGAGGTGTATATGGTGTGTGTGTGAGGTGTGTATATGGTGTGTGTATGAGGTGTATATGAGGTGTATATGGTGTGTGTGTGAGGTGTATATGGTGTGTGTGTGAGGTGTGTATATGGTGTGTGTGTGAGGTGTGTATATGGTGTGTGTGTGAGGTGTATATGGTGTGTGTGAGGTGTGTATATGGTGTGTGTGTGAGGTGTATATGGTGTGTGTGTGAGGTGTATATGGTGTGTGTGTGAGGTGTGTATATGGTGTGTGTGTGTGTGAGGTGTGTATATTGTGTGTGTGTGAGGTGTATATGGTGTGTGTGTGAGGTGTGTATATGGTGTGTGTATATGGTGTGTGTGGGTGTATATGGTGTGTGTGTGTGTGGGTAGGTGTATATGGTGTGTGTGGGTGTATATGGTGTGTGTGTGAGGTGTATATGGTGTGTGTGTGAGGTGTGTATATGGTGTGTGTGTGAGGTGTGTATATGGTGTGTGTGTGAGGTGTATGAGGTGTATATGGTGTGTGTATATGGTGTGTGTGTGAGGTGTATATGGTGTGTGTGTGAGGTGTGTATATGGTGTGTGTGTGAGGTGTGTATATGGTGTGTGTGTGAGGTGTATATGGTGTGTGTGAGGTGTGTATATGGTGTGTGTGTGAGGTGTGTATATGGTGTGTGTGTACGGTGTGTGTGAGGTGTATGAGGTGTATATGGTGTGTGTATGAGGTGTATATGGTGTGTGTATGAGGTGTATATGGTGTGTGTATGAGGTGTATATGGTGTGTGTATGAGGTGTATATGGTGTGTTACTCACTGCTCTCCGCCGCCCTCGTCGGTTTCTTCCTCCTTTTTAAAAACCGTCCTATGACCAGAGCGAGGCCGTCCCGCCCGGGAAACCCGCCCCCGGGAGCGCACAGTGCCCGCACTCCGGTTCCCCCCCACCACAGCCCCACAGCAACCCCTTCCCTTTCTCTTTCTCTCACACATGTTCGCCTCCCAACAGTGAAGCAATAAAAACGGACTCAGAAACGGTGGCGACCCGCAAGGCCCCCGTCCATCTGATCCGAAACTGCTGGTATTGATTTGATTGAGTGAGTGAGTGAGTGAGTGAGTGATTGAGTGATTGATTGAGTGATTGAGTGAGTGATTGAGTGATTGAGTGAGTGATTGAGTGATTGAGTGAGTGATTGAGTGATTGATTGAGTGATTGAGTGATTGAGTGATTGAGTGGGTGAGTGAGTGAGTGATTGATTGAGTGATTGAGTGAGTAATTGAGTGATTGAGTGGGTGAGTGGGTGAGTGATTGAGTGATTGATTGAGTGAGTGACTGAGTGAGTGAGTGAGTGAGTGATTTATTGATGAGGGGGAGAGGCTTTTTTTTAAAAAAAAGCTTTTAGGAGGTGAGGAGATTGTGGTGCAGGGGGTGGGGGGTTGTTTTGAGGGCCGGACCGGAAGTGTGTGAGCGGCTGGGCTGGGGGCGGGGCTGGGGGCTGGGGGATGGGGGCTGGGCTGGGGATGGGGGCTGGGGCTGGGGGGCTGGGCAGGGCTGGGGCTGAGGGCGGGGGCTGGGGGTAGGGGGCTGGGCTGGGCTGGGGCGGGGCTGGGGCTGGCTGGGGGCTGGGGGGGGGGGGGCTGGGGCGGGCTGGGGGCCGGGCTGGGGTGAGGGGGCTGAGGGCGGGGCTGGGCTGGGGTGGGCTGGGGTAGGGGGCTGGGCTGGGGCTGGGGGCTGGGCGGGGGCTGGGCTGGGGGTTGGGGTTGTCCGCCGCCCTGTGTCTGTGTTTATGTGTTAAGTACAAAGTGGTTTACAGTTGCCCGAGCGCCGTTCTCCGCATTTGACAGGACACACCGTAGAGTGGATTTACCTGTGTAGACCGTGTAGGTGGGGGGGAGGGGTGGTAGAGGTGGTGGGGCATGTAGGGGAGGTAGAGGTGGTGGGAGAGGTAGAGGTAGGGGAGGTAGAGGTGGTGGAGGAGGTAGGGGAGGTAGAGGTGGTAGGGGAGGTAGAGGTGGTGGGGCAGGTAGGGGAGGTAGAGGTGGTGGGGCAGGTAGAGGTGGTGGGGCAGGTAGGGGAGGTAGAGGTGGTGGGGGAGGTAGAGGTGGTGGAGGAGGTAGGGGAGGTAGGAGTGGTGGGGCAGGTAAGGGTGGTGGGGCAGGTAGGGGAGGTAGAGGTGGTGGGGGAGGTAGGAGTGGTAGAGGTGGTGGGGCAGGTCACTGGACGGGACTTCATCACCCCACGGTGGGCAGTAGGAAAGAAGAGAGTTTAGTCCCAGGCCACCATCCTCTGGGTGAATTGGTGGTTGTCTTGTGGTTGTCTGCGACAGCAACGTTTACTTTGTTTCATAAGTAGAGTATTTTAATAAATCTCAGTGCAACAGCAACAACACAACAAAATTACAATTATAGAGGGCCTTTCACGTCGGGAGGACGTCCCAAAGCGCTGAACAGTCAGCGGTCGGGGCCCGAGCATTGGGGGAGGGATGGTGCAGGGGTGAGGGAAGGCAGAGAGGTGGGAGGGAGACCAAAGGAACAGTCGAAGAGAAAGGTCTTGAGATTGACGTTGAAGGAGGCAAGGGAGCAAGCGAGGCGAAGGGACCGTGGGATGGAGTTCCAGAGTGACAATAGCAAATGGGAATACGGTCTCTCCCGTTGTCCTGGTCAACAACCCTGATAGAATTGCTCATTTGCTTTATGGCTATTTGCGGATAATGGTTGTTGAACTGTCCATGTGTGCAAATTTGCTGCCAAGTGCTTTGAGGCCAGGACTATTTTGTTGACCTGCGTTGTTGGATATGTTCTTTTCATGTATTTTCTGTGACGCTTGCTGAGGTTTTTCCCAGAATATGGTACTCATTTTTGGTGAAAATCTGACATTGCTGTTGCCTAGTCTGCTTTTTAACTTTGCTGTTTAAATCTGCACCTTTTGGCAATTCGTTGCCAGATCATTAACTGGAATATCTCAAACATCCAATATCTTAAACATAATTGATGTGTCGATTTATATTATCTCCAACAAATTGCATTTATATAACGTCTCTCATATCGGGAAGACACCCATAGCACTGGAATTATTATACTGCATTCTCTTATAAAATGTTGCAGCTAATCACAGCAACTTTTTAATTAATTTCCTGCATTGATCTTTTTGAAAGTACGGAAATAAAAGCACAGATTCAATTTTTTTACTGATTTATTTAATAACAATAATAATAATCCTTGCATTTGATAGAGAGCCTTATCAGCGCCTTGGGACGTCCTCCCGACGTGATGGGCGCTATAAAAATGTAATCTTGTTGTTATCACATTGTTGAGGCTTCTCAAAGCGCTTCACAGAATATACTGAAAAGTGAATTGACTATAATTTGTAGGCGAAACGCGAGAGCCAATTGCACACAACAATATCCCACAAACAGTCGTGGATTGAGTGTTCAAATTATTTTTTTGAAGCAATTATTATCCCCGGAAAGCAATCTGCTAATCGACGAACAACTGGGTTCCAACTTAATGCTAGGTAAACAGAGGCGTGTGGAGTAAGGAAACTTGCCTAAGATTTCGCCACACTTGGGAAAATAATGTAAAATATTGTTCTCCAGATGGAGTTTAAAATTACAAACACATGGGACAGTTCACCAGTGTGCCATGAGGGTATATCGCTGTCACTTAAACCAGGCGATGAAGGAATTCTGTTCGAGGTAAATGGTCCTTTCTTCAATGATCCTCTAGCTCCACCTGGTGAAAAGGGAAAACCTTTCAATCAGCTTTGGGATTATGAAGGTAAGCACCAACTTCACTAAAATAAGAGTTTCGAAACCTAACTAAACTTTTGATGGTTCGGTATCATTGATTCAAATTTTTTTTTCCTTGGGGGAGGCTGGGTTAAAATGGGGAGTTTTTTTTCAGGAGAAGGGGTAACTGTTGCCATTTTTACACTCTTTACAAAGTTCAAGCTGCTTTCTTTCCATCATAATAAAGTGTGGGTCACAGTATTGGATTGTTTAAGTGGTGGATCTGGCTGAGGATCCATAAATGTAATGGTGTCTTTCAACTCATATTTGCCGAAGTAGCACTGAAATGCAGGGATCTGTGAGGCAACGGGTTCATAGGCATCAATAGCTGCGTCAAAGTCTGCAGCAACCAGCTTTGGGTGAAACAATTTGAACAAAATTTACTAACTGCGCAATTTGGGGACTTTGTTCATCTCCTCTTAAAACCCTCTATTTGGTTCTTGAACAAAATGACTTTTCTCTACCACCATAATAACACTCACTTCCATCCTAACATCACCCTCAATACAACCCAAACTGTTTTATTTCCCCCAGACTTGACTTTTCAAGTGCACTGCTTGCTGGTCAACATAGTTCAACCCACTATAAACTCCAGCTCATCCAGAACTTTGGAGAGTGAATCCTCTCACGCTCTGTGTCTCCATCATGTACCAACCTCACCAGGCTCGTAACCCCACCAGATAAACTTCAAAATCCTTTTCCTGACCTTAAAATGCTCCATACTCTCTCTCCAATCTATCTCTGCAATCTTCTCCAGCCCCACTTTCCCATCCACTACCTCCTCTGCAAACTTGGCCTCAACTGCCTCCTCTCTACTACCATGAGCCACTTTGTCCCAACTCCGGCGGTGGTTTGATTTCAATGTAGCAACACAATAATACACGGCAATCCAGTTCAGTGTAACCTTGGTGCAGTTTTTCTTAAGAAACATCTCTCCCTTTTTTGTAACTTAATATTTTTTTGCTTTAAATCTGACAGTTGCAGAAGCTTTTTTCTTGAATAGCATCTCAAACCAGTACCTGGAAGTGGAACTCTGCCCGTAAGTACCAGGATATTCTCCTTCATTCTAGTCACATTTGCCCCCCAAAATACACACTACTTTACAGTATATCCTGTGAAGTGCTTTGAGACGTCTTGACTTGTCTTGATACTGTATGTTTACATATACAAAAAGGTGCGTTTTGAGATTGCTTCAGAAATTCCTTTCTTCATATGGAGATTTGCTGTACCTGCATTCAGTGTCTCCTCCCCAGACACCATGGCTGAGGTATATTAAATTGTGAAGAGGTGTATAAAATTGCGAAAGGGGTTGACAGGCTGAATGGTGAGCAACTGTTTCCTCTGGCGGGAGAACTGAGGACCAGAAGACATACAACAACAACAACAACAAAATTACATTTGTATAGCGCCTTTCATGTCGGGAGGATGTCCCATAGTCTTTAACTTGAGGCCAATCCATTTCAAAGTGAAATAAAGAAATCATTTTGGCACAGTGGGTGGTGGGAGTGTGGCATTCGCTCCCCCAGAGGACTGCGAAGGCAGAGTCAATTGAGGAATTTAAGAGGCAAATAGGTAAATACTTGATGGACTGGCGTATCAGGGGATATGGAGAGAGGGTGGGGAAGTGGTATTGAGTTGCAAATGGGACATGATCTTGGAAAGTGATGGGACAGGCTCGATGGGCTGAATAGCTTACTCCTTTTCCTATGTACTGATAATTTCGGCATGTTATCATGAAAGTATTCAACAACAACAAAATTACATTTATATAGCGTCTTTCACGTTGGGAAGACGTCCCAAGGCGCTGAACAATTTTGTGTTTCAGACCCAAGTTGGGGATCGGGGAGAGTGGGGGCAACAACAACAACAAGATTACATTTGTATAGCACCTTTCATGTCGGGAGGACGTCCCAAGGCGCTGGACAGTGTACACGGGGCAGGGCGTGGAAGGAGGGTGACTGAAGGCATGGTCGAAGAGGAGCGTCTTGAGACTGGTCTTGAAGGAGGCAAGGGAGGGGATGAGGTGGTGGGACTGCAGGATGGAGTTCCAGAGGGTAGGGGCAGGGTGGGACGGGCGAGGCGGGGGATGTGAAGCAGGCCGGAGCCCCCTGAACGGAGGCAGCAGGCAGGATGATGGGGTTTAGGAGGTCGCAGAGGTAGGGGGAAGATAATCATCTTAGTATTCTCCCATTACAACAACAATCTGCTTTTTAAATGATTACCTCGCCCTGGCTCAGTGTCGAGCGCCGCCACTGTTAAGCACTCTGAGACACTACCCTACATGAAGGGCACTTTATAAATGCAAGTTGTTGTTGTTATTGTTGAGTCCAGTGTCCGAGCCTCAACCACTCTTCCTGGTAATGTGTTTAATCGTTAATCACCCTCGGTGTGTGTATTTATATAAAAAAATTATACTTTCTGGTGTCTCTCTTAAAATTGACCTTCCCAGCCCTGAACCTCTGACCTCTCGTTCTGCTGCCCAGGCAGGGGTGAAAGTAATGTTCTGGGTATCCATTCCCATTTAAAATTATTTCTGAAGTAATGTTCTTGTTTTGTTTTATTTGTGTTTAGACATGGACAACATTTAGTGCTGTTACTTTCTGGTAGAAGAAAAGTATGGCAGGTGAGTGATTACACAAGGTAAGATGGTGATCAGTAACCTGGTCGTAATACTTGTTCGCCAATATATTTGAGGTTACTTTTGTTGCAAAGCTTGCGGAAGCAAATCAAAATTGCTATTTTTGGTGGGTGAATTTTTGCACTCGTTGAGGTGAAGGAGATGATGGGCTTTTTCGTGATTTTCATTAAATGTCACTGGACTCTCAGTGCCAGAGACTCAGAAGAAATCACCAGCTTCATTACTATGTGATTTTCTTTTCCCACACAACCTGTTGCTTTTGCTTCTCTGAGTAAGATAGATACTGTATTGTGGTCAATGTTGTGTGTTGTGATCTCCAACCAATAGGAACTAGTGGGTATATTCTGCCTTTCTCCCTAGTTGCAGCACATAATTTCATATCCTTTCTGTATAAATATATCCTCTACGTCAGTGGTTGCCAACCTTTATGGGTGGTCAACAAAATAAATGTTCTTGATTGAATAGTTCTTGATTTATGCCATAAGGAAGAGAGAAGCCAGGTTTGATTCCTGGGCAGGGCGAAACCTCAAGCAAGTTTCCTTATTCCGTGTGCCTCTGTTTATGTTGCAGTAAGTAGGAACCAGGTTGTTAGTCGATTGGTGGATCGCTTTCTGGGGGTAACAATCCTTTTATTAAAAAAAGATAATTTGGTCACTCAATCCATGGCTGTTTGTGGGACACTGCTGTGCAAAATTGGTTGCTGTGTTTCACCCAAAAAATATACAGTCAATTCACTTTACTGTATATTCTATGACATGATAAGGTGCTATACCAAATGCAAGGATTATATAATTATTTATTGAACAAAGACTATTCCTCCTCTGCTGAGTAAGTCAAACTTCCACACTGGCATTTATGGCTTGCAAACCTGTGGGTGCAGTGTGATCAATTTAATGGATTTTACAGTACAGTTACATAACACTGCTGGTGAATTTACTGTCATTGGCCTCATGCAACATCCTAAAACCTGTTTGTTCCACATAACAAATCTGTCATGCAGATATGGCAATTTTCTTTCCTGAGCTAAGGTTTGAAGGCATAGTCCCACCATTTACATTGATGAGAATTTAATAAGCAACTGTCAAATCAGACTGTCAGTCACTGCAGTGATTTAGAGTGGTGAGCACCGCAGCACTGCTATTAATGCAATGTTGTGAATAATCATTTTGAATGGTTTATGCACATTTCTGTCCCTTAACTTTGTCTATATTTTTTGATAGATGTTTGCCTATTTGTTTCTTGTGAACGGGTTTTCATCCGTTTTTGTAAATGAAACATAAATTAAACTGTTTGTCCACAAAATACACAGGCACTCCACTTTACAGTATATCCTGAAGTGTTTTTATATGGCCCCCTGACATTAAACCTGCTAGATCAAATGTAAGGATTATTATTATATGATTAATTGAACTGATGGTGTTTTTCTCTTCGCTCCAGCATGAGCTCAGTTTAACATACGAGTCTTCAACTAATGGGCAAAAATGGGAAGGCAGAGCACTTATTCCTTGGAGTTATTTTCCTCCTGCAGTGAACAATTTTAATGCCTATGCAATTCATGGATCAGGTGCTGCAAGAGTTTACGAGGCCCTTTATCCTGTACCTAAACACGAAGTGATGGAGGGACAGGAGCCTGATTTGTAAGTACTGTACAAGCATTTCCCATTCGTCCCTCTAATCAGTGTTCGAGCTACAATAAATATTTGAAAAGGGAAATAGTTATGCTTGGAAACACTTTGATTTACAAGTTGCCACAGACTAACTGTTTAACCTTTACAAGCATCTGATATATGGAAGCTGCATTGAAATGCCTTTTCATAATGTGGTCAAATTCGTCTCTGCTACATAATAAACCAAAGAAACACCTCAGTGATGTGCCTTTCCCTGCTGTGTGTTAGAAAGGGATACATGTAGCCTTTTCAGCAAGTTGTATTAGCTCCACATAACGTGTTGTGTTTTAATTTACGGTAGTCTAGTTGTTTGTGTAAACTTACCCAATTACCACTTTGGAAGATAGAATTTCAGTCTTGCTATTTGTCTCGTACATATTTTTAAATCGCTTTTCAGTCTGTGATATTTTTCAAGGCAAGACATCATCAGGCGTGCAAAACCCCAGTCTTCTAAAGTTTGTTCAAACATCGATATTACAGATACTCAAACTACTGGAATCAGCTTTGCTCCTTTGTTTCTCTTAATTTTTTCCGCTTGGTCACTGGATAAATGTGCTGAGCAGAGCCCAGGGGTTAACGCTTGGGGAAGGTCAGTCACCCTGCGCAACCTTCACACAAACTGCTTATAACCATTTGAGGGACCTGACATTATTTCTGGCTCTGGTCATTGAATCAACACCAACATAAACAATTTCACATTTATTCAGAGCTTTTCACAGCCACAACAATAATAACAACATGCATTTATATAGCGCCCCTCATGCAATGAAGCAACCCAGAGTAATTAATTTCGGGAGATTGTCTCAAAGTGCCTCACATTGCTGAGCCTGAGCTTGAAGTGGGGGAATCTGAGAAAGGTAGTGGGGGGTGAAGGTGAAGTGCAAAAATGTGGATTAAAAGAAAGCTCTTAAAGTGGGCTTTATAATTGGGGAGGGAGAGGTGAGGTAGAGAAGTTCTGTGATGGAGTACTAGAGAGCAGGGGGCAGAATGGCTGAAAACTCGTCTGCTGATGGTGGGGCAGGTTAAGTGAGGGAGATGAAGCAGGCTGGTGTTAGCTGAGTGGAGGAAGCAGCCTGGATGGTAGGTATGAGAGGGTTGCAGAGGTGAATGTGGGGGTGAGGACTTTTAATTCGATCTGCTGGGGGTTAGTGGTGCTGAATGAGTGATGATGGAGGTGATAGGCTCACAGAGCCTGGTGCAGGAGAGAACAGGAGATGTAGAATTATGGATTATCAGCAGATTGTGTAGAAAGGAGCTGGAGAGTCCAACAAGCAACAACAACAACAAAATTACATTTGTATAGTGCCTTACAAGTTGGGAGGATGTCCCAAAGCATTGAACAATCAGTATTTCGGACCCGAGCTAGGGGTCGGAATCGGGGAGGGTGAGAGCAGGGGGGGGAAGGAGGGTGACCAAAGGCACAGTTGAAGAGGAGGGACTTGAGACGGGTCTTGAAGGAGGCAAGGGAGGGGGCAAGGCAGAGGGACTATGGGATGGAGTTCCAGAGGGTGTGGGCAAAGTGGCAGAAGGCCCGCCTGCCATAGATGGGGCGGGCGAGACGGGGAATGTGAAGCAGACCACTGAGCAGAGGGAGTGTGCAGGTTGATAGGAGGTTAGAAGGTCGCAGAGGAAGGAGCAAGGCCATGGAGGGCTTTGGAGGTGAGTTCCAGGACCTTAAACTGTATCTTCTGTGTGGTGGGAAGCCAGTGGAGTCAGGCGAGGATGGGGTGATAAGGTCGTGGAGCCTGGTGCGGCAGAGGACATAAGTTGCAGAGTTCTGGACAATTGGCAGCCGGGGGAGGAGTTGGAGAAGCCAACAGGTGGGGAGTTTGTGTAGTCGAGAGCTGGACGTCATGAATGAGTGTGTGAGAGTCTCGGCGGCCTGCGATGTGAGACAGTGGTGGAGCTGGGCGATGTTGCGGAGGTGGGGAAAGGCAGAGCGTGACATGGCACGGATGTGGGGTAGAAAGGATAGTTGAGGGTCAAACAAGACCCCAAGGTTCTGGACTGGTTTAGTAAGGTGGAGTGTGCATCCTTGGATGGTGATGCTGTCAGCACCTGAGGCGTGGCATTCGTATAGTCCAGCCCTGCTTCTCCAGATACCAGGTTAATTTTAAGATAGTATCTGGTGAAGGAGGGTTGAATTACAGCTGGGAGTAATGGCAGGTCTCCCAAGCTACTCACACTGCAAAAAAATTCAGCGGTATTAAATCTACAGCAGGGCTGGGTGGAAGCATTATCCCAAGTGAAAGCAGTGGAGGGAGTTTTTTTTACACACTGGAGAAGAGAAAGTTGAAGGACGATCTGATTACGATCTTTAATATTCTGAAGGGAATAGATAATGTGGACCATGATTAGCTGTTTTATCTTGTATTGAACAGTAGAACCAGAGGTCACGGCCTGCAATTGAAGAGGGGTAAATTGAGAACACATCTGGGGAAACACTACTTCAGTGAGCGAGTAGTAAACTTATGGATCAGGCTCCCTAGGGAGACTGTTGGAACAGAAAATGTCATTTGTTTCCAGAACACATGTTTCTGTTAAAAAAAATAATATCTCAAGATATAGCATATAGTGTGGGACACGACATGTCAAGTGACTGTCAGGATGGTGGAAGGTGAACTACATGGTGGAAGGTGAACTTGGTCNTTTTTTGCCTAGTAAATTCTTATGTTCTTATGTCTCAACGACGGGGAAACTGCGCTATATCAAATGTGAGGATTATTATTATTAACTCCAGATTTTAAGGACACATTTCCTCGAGTCTTTGTGATAATTATCATGGCACTTCTCCCACCCCTGCCCCATTATTATTTAAATTGTCAGGTCTTGAAATCTGTAATATTTTTGTTTGAACAAAGGCACAGGCTCTGTGTTTCGCAAACAGGTAAATGATTTTAATGCTGTCTTTAATTGAGGGAGTGCCTTTGCTGATCCTAAGTCTAAATGTAAGCTTACAGTAGCTAAATATTTTCATATCCTAACTGGGTTTTCATGAAATACCTATATTTGGAGAATCAGGTTCAACTTTTTGGATCAAGGGTACCAATTAATTCAAAAGAAGTATTGTAATTTAATACAATAATTTGAGCAAATTTAATTAAACTGAATTGCTGAAGTTGCTAAGTATTAAGTAGGTTTCAATTTTTCTTGCTTTGGTCAGGTAGCAAGTGGCAGCTTGGCTCAACAGTGTCAGTTTGACTCAGTTGGTAGCACTCTAGCCTCTGGTTCAGAGAGGTGCAGGTTCAAGTCCCTTGACTGGACTTTGAGCTCAGATACTCTACGCAGATACTCTGGTGCAGTGTTGGGGGATCTGCATTGTCAAAAGTGCTACCTTTTGTTAAAGTTGCTAAACCTCTCTTTAGGCGAATGTTAAAGTTTTTTTTGGTCAGTCGGGTGTCTTGACACATGCGGAAACCCAGTATCCAGACTAAGCTGAGATTTTCATGCATCCCACCAACATATGGAAATTCCAGAGAAAGATTGTTGGAAAGGAATGTGCACTCTCTCCCTGGAGGGATGCTTCCTGCTTACCTAATTCCGGAAAGTATTAGGTGCAGGTTGGCAAGAACCAAGGCTTGAGAACCACAGAGTTTGCCTTTGGGTTGAACTAGCTGAAACCACTTAGCTTGCGATTTAAAGATCCCTTAACACTATTCAAAAGGAGTTTCGTTCTGTATTATGGTCAACAACCTGTGGGTGATATTGAGACCCAGCTGTGCACAAAACCAATTGTTGCATTTGCCTTCAAGAAAAAAAGACACTCTAGGTGATAGCAATTCCCTGTGAAGCTCTTTAAGATATTTCAACATTTTAGGTACTTTATCAAATGCAACGATTATTTATTGGTACCGCTATAATCACTCCAATTTACAAGAAACAGTTTTTATTCATTCCAACCTCTTATAACAACATTTATCCATCATAAATCCTTACATTTAATATTGCATCGGATCTTTCATGTCTCAAAGTGCTTCACATGATTTACCGTAAAGTGCAGTGACTTTTTGTATTTTGATGCAGTAAAATGCTCAGATCATTAAGGTTTCAGAAACGGGACCATATCTATGCAATTTGTTCTTTTAATGTTATTAAGGAGTCTATCACACTCCCGAGACACCTCAATAAAAACATAAAAAATAATTCTCGCATTTGATCTAGGAACCTTGGTTACTCAAAGCCCTCCTCTTTGACAGCACCTTTCCACCCCCCCCTCCCCCAGTTCGGATGCAAAACCCGGCTGCCCAAGCTCCTGGGACAACCTCCGACTTAAATTTGTTGTTATTATCACATTGTTGAAATGTCTCAAGGATTGTCGATCAGGACACCGGGCAAAATTCTATTCTCTACTGTAATAGTGCCATGAGATTGTTAACATCCACCTGAACAGGCTGGCGGGACCTGTTTAATGTCTCATCTGAAGGATGGCACCTCCAATGATGCAGAGAAATGCACTCCCAACACTCATCGGAGTGTGAGTTTAAAGTGTTGATGCAAGACATTAGCCTTGAATCCGCAACTTTCTGGTGCAACTGAGCCAGACTAACACCTAATAATGTTAAAACACCCAGATCTTTGGTGCAAAATAATGGATTGGTTTGTCTCCTCAGACACAGCTGGTGTAATTTTACAGAGGGAAATATACAACAACAACAGAATTACATTTGTAAAGCGCCTTTCACATCGGGAGGACGTCCCAATATAAATCCTGATCCTAAAAAATGACATTAATAAACTTCCAAAACATATTGGTATATATATATATATATGGACCAAACTCCGGAAACTCGCGTACTTACCCGGAGCACACTCTGTTCCCACATCTCACCAGTTCTGGCCAGGCTCTACTGGCTCCCCATCACCAAACGGATTGACTTCAAGATCCTCACTTTGGTATTCAAATCCCTTCACTCTCTGACACCTTCCTACCTCTCCGAACTCCTCAATCCACCAACTGGCGCCTCCGCTCAACTGGCACCGGCCTCCTGCTCTACCCTCACATCCTCTGCCCCACCATTGGAGGTCGGGCTTTCAGCCACTACGCCCCCAAAACTGGAGCACTCTCCCTCAATACCTCTGCCTTGTCCCCTTTTCCAAGTCCCACCTGGAAACTTTCCTCTTTGACCGTGCTTACAGCCACCTCCTCCCACCTGGCTCGGAGTCAGCCTCTGCCCCTGCTAAGCGCTCTGAGACGCTATTCTGCGTGGAGGGTGCTATATAAGTACAAGTTGTTGTATATGCAGTAATTTGAATGTTTTCCTGGCCTCTGTTTGCACATATTAAATGACTTCACAATATTGGTATGCTTGATATCCCTTAGTCATCGCTTGGAATATTTCAAGGATTTCAACTTAAAGTCCACGATGAAAGAAGATTGGGAGCAACCTAATTCTGATCTGTGGGAGTCAGCAAGTGGAATCAGGAGCTGAAAGACTGATGTACTGCAACCTCAGCAATCATGCAAAGATACATATAGAGATCTAAATTACGTAGTTTGCCAAAAATAGCAATCTTTATCGCTATGTCTTTATGATGGGATTTCAATCTTCAATGTGACCAGATCTTTATTACTGCCAATAGAGTAAAGAAAATATATTTAGTTATGTCACATTATAAAAATGACTGACTGTCCATTATAAAAAGAGAGTATAAACCCTATGGCTGCTTTTCAAAGAATCATGTAATATAATAGCACAGAAGAGGCCATTCAGGTCATCGTGCCTGCTGGCTCTTTGGAAGAGCTACACAATCAGTCCCACTCCCACACTTTTTCCCCATATCCTTGCAAATGTTTCCTCTTCAACTACCCACTTTGAGCGCTGCTAACCTTTTAAGTACCTCCTCTATCTAGTTTTATTTTATCCAATTTCTCTACCACCCCCTCCTCCTTTACTGTGACATTGACAGCATCCTCTTTTGTGAAGACAGATGCAAAGTACTTATTCAGTACCTCAGCCATGCACTCTGCCTCCACAAGAAGTTTTCCTTTTTGGTCCCTAATCGGCCCCACCCTTCCTTTGACCATCCTTTTTCTCTTTATGTGTTTATAGAAGATCACCCTGACCATTTCCCCCCTGCTCGGGTCATGACCCAATTGTGCAGCGCCTTGGGACGTCCTCCTGACGTGAAAGGCGCTTTATAAATGGAATCTTGTTGTTGTTGTTGTTTAGTGTTCCCCTTTATGTTACCTGCTAATCTTTTCTCATACACTCTCTTTGTCCCACTTGTTTCCTTTTTCAGTTCAGTTCTCTGCACTTTCTGTATTCTGATTGATTCTCCAATGTATTTTGAACCTGACATATATCATAAACCGCCTTTTTCTGTTTCATTTTAATACAAATTTCCTTAGCCATCCAGGGAGCTTTGGATACATTTCAAATAATAATATTAATAGCGATTATATTTGATATGGTGTCTTTGACGTCAGGAGGATGTCTCAGAGTGCTTCGTTGGATATATTATAAAGTGAGTGACTGTATTTTATGGGCATTATGGATGCCCACAAAACAGTACCGGTGATTCTCCCCAACACCCCCAACATTGCTGTTTATGCACAAGAATGGATCAGATTGTCAATAGAAGGCAAAATAGTAAGAAAAAGTGAGTTTGGGAAATCTGAAATCAAAACTGAAAATGCTGGAAATCCAAAGCTAATCAGTCTGCAGCTGAAAGTCAAACATTAAAATTTCGAATGGAGCTCTGCACGAAGTTCTGATTAATGGTCACAACTTAAACCTTGTTTTCCTTTTAAATGGTGGTTGACCTGCTGCAGACTTCCAGCAATTCCTATATCCTTATCAGATTGATAAACAAATATACAGCCAATTCATTTTACAGTCTATTCTGTGAAGCGCTTTGAGACATCTAGAAGACGTGAAAAGCGCTATATCAAATGCAAGGATTATTATTATAATGAAGGTATCAGGAGTGACACTGAGAAACTTGGTGTAGAATAATCCTTGTTGCATTCATTAGGTTAGGACTATGAACTGTACAATAAAATGAGTCCAGAGAGAAAATAAAAGAACCATTTATAGAGGAAATCTGAGTGTAGCACACAATGCAAGTGATTTCATTGAATATTGTTAGCAAACCCTGAGTGGTTGTTGTGAACAGTGCCAGTACTTGTAAACTGTACATACATTTATGAGAATAGGAAGACTCAAAAAAGATGTTTTTGAGATCGAAGATTGAAGCATTCTTTGTCAACTGAATTTTCTCAAGTCAACTGAAAAACATTCTTCAGGATTTTTTTTAATTCTTGGCTATCTTCAACTTAGATCTGCGTTCAAATCATTGTAAACTTCGTCCACAAAATACACAGTCAACCCACTTTACAATATATTCTGTGAAATGCTTCCAGATGTTTCAACAACGTGATGGGGCTCTATATCAAATGCAAGGATTATTATTAACTTCTTTCAAAATTCTATACTTCTCAGCACTTTAGAAACATTTTTCAACCTTTAGTACAGGAATGGAGCAGGTCTTTCATGAGCCCCTTGTTGTGGGCCAATGGCAGAAAAGTAGTTTTCAACCCGTTCATCAGAAACACATTTGATCATATTTATGTTTCAGGTTTAACTGAATACTGCTAAGAATGAAATGTAACAACACTGTTCATCATCATTATTTGCTAACCTTCCCCAATGAGGCAGCATAGGGATTAACATTAGCAGATTATTTATGTAATAATGGGATGGCATGGTAATTTATTCATCAACACAAACTCATTTTAGCAAGAATCTAATTAGTAGCAAATTAGGTTCAAAAATCAAATTAGAAATAAAGAAAAATTATTTGTCCCATTGTTGAGAATTATTTCCCAGTTGCACTGTTTTCCACCCAATGTTGTGTTTCAGAAGCCTAGTATTGCTGTTTCCGAGGTTACTCTTAAGTGATAGTACCTCTCACAGCTAATACAAATTACATAAACTCCCAAATGATAATTTAGTTTTATTCTTTGAAATATGAGAATTGCATGATTTAATGAATAAACAGAAGTATTTACTACCATTGATTTTATTTCCTCTCACTGTTAATGCAAAAAATATCCAATTGAAGGCTTACATTTCATTCTTGATATGTCTATCAAAATCCAGAAATAGTGAGATCAGTGATTGTTGCAGGCTAAAATATAGAAAATATTTCTAATGACTGCAAGCTTGATGGATGTAATATTCACAATGGACTATGGATAGATCTGATTTGTAACATGGAGGCTTCAGCAACTGTTAAAGCAATTAATGACTCACACAGTTTTCTGCAGATGAAAAATCAATTAAGGAATTTCCCAGGAGAGGATAAAATGATCTACAAGTTGAACCAATGGCACTCACTGAAACCTGCAGTGAAGGTGACCTAATAGTGCAAGCTGTTAAGTGCTTATTTCCCCATCAAAGGCTCACAAGTTTGAATCACAGAGGTTCCCCGCCACTCAGATTCCTGCAACTCAGTGGGGACGAATTTCAATAGATCTCAATTAAGCTGTGAGGTGTGTGTGTGGGCGGAGAGGAGAATGGAACAAGTAATGATGCATTGCAATTATCCGTTAAATTGTGTTTCTTGTTGAGTAGTATATTGGCAACAATGGCATTGGAAAGAATTGTGATTCAGAGTCATCGACTTCCAACTGGGGGCCTGAGGGGAGACGAGGAAACTTTCATAAGTCGAACTTCTGAAAACCTGTGTCAAAGGGAAAATTTTAAAAATATGTAACTCTCCGGAGCTCTACAGGGGACATTTTCTCAAGTGCATGTCTGTAATATTTGAGGCTAGCACTACAAAGGAAGTTTAGAAAGCTCTCACAAACTGGGTATTACAAACATCATAAAAACAAATTATCTGATCACCTGAAGTTATGAGTTTGTTTTAATATCTACAAACTGTTTGCTAAGCTCTCTTCCATCCATTGTCTGTAACCTCTATAAACACACAAATCTGGACATCAACTGCTATTCCCAAACGTGCAAGGAATTGTAATACTTGCATTTGATACAGCGCCATATCATATCGTTAAAATATCTCAAAGTGCTTCACACAATACACTGTAAATTGGTGTTATTTTGTGGGCGAAAACAACAGACAATTTGCGCATACCCGTGTCCCACAAACAGTCATGGAGTGAGTGACCAATTTTATTTGGGGGATTGTTGGCCAGGACACCGGGATAAAGTCACTTTCCTTTTCGAACGGTGCCATGGGATCTTTAATGCCCACTCACACAGGTAGGCGGGACCTCGGTATAACGTCTCATCTGAAGGACAGCACCTCCAACAATACAACACACTTACAGCACTACATTGGAGGTTCAGCTTAGACTATGTGGGTTCCAAGATCTGATGTGGGGTTTGAACCCACAACCTTCTGACTCCGAGGCAAGAGTGCTACCAACTCAGCCTGGCTGACACGCAATATATACAACATATCTCCCTCCCTAGCCTCCCTCATACCTGTTTAAGCACACGCTTGTATTCAGGAGGGCTGCTTTCCGCAGAGGCTCTCAAAGACACAACCTGAAACAGAAACAAGAGGAACAAGTTGAAGATATACCTTGCTATTATTGACTTGAAAGTTTAGGTAGCCAAGTAGAAGCGTTACACTAGGTAAGCATTTGCATCCAGAACTTCCACACACCTTGACCGATTAATGGGGAAAAGTGTCAAAGATGTGGAAAAGATTTGCTCTTGTCACCATCCCACCCACCGACTTCTGCTGCCTGTGACACCTGTGTTAAATGCAAGAAAAGGAGCGAGGAGCCTCGGCAGACAAATTCAATGTCATTTGAACAATTTACTGCTTCCTCTATTTCATCAGAGCCAGGTAAATAATCTCTGGATCAAACCATAACTCAGGAGAGTAATAACCAGATATTTTAGAACAAGTCTGAAAGTGTAACTGGGATGAGGTGATTGACCTGACCCAGGAAGCCGATGATATGTGAAAGGAAAAAGCAGAAGTTTTGCTCCACCACTATAACTTGGACTTTAGCCTCTTCCACCAAACATTTATTCCTGTCATTAGGAGAGATTTGGAGTACCAGGTGTCATGATAATGAATAATCTTTAATTCAATATAGTGCCTTTCATGTCAGGAGGATGTCCCAAAGCGATTCACAGGATACACAGTGAAGTGCAGAGACTTTGTGTTTTGTGGGTGAATATAATGGGCAAAAGCAGAAATGTTTACACAACTTAACTGTTGCGAAGTGGTATGTTGGAAGATAGCCAATACATCTAATCACTTGAGTCCTCTATATTGTAGCTGTAAGGGGTTTGTTTAATTGTTAAGTCATAGCCTTGGTTCTGAGTGATGTTCCAGTTGGTAGTGAATGTAATGCTGTATTGTACTGAGCCACGTGGTGTGATCTATGATTAAGTGCCTTTCTCGCTTAGTAAGTCATTATTTAGCTTTTGCCAGCATTATTTTGCACACATCCATTGTTTATTTCATTCGAACGTGTTGATGTCCAACTTCTCATGATGGGCAAATTCAATTTGATGTCCAGAAGGAGTGGATTACGTGTGAGTAAATAGGATGCACAATAGGTTTTCTGCTAAGTTTTCACATTGAGAAATGGTTGCACAATAAATGCTTGTTCATTTTTCCTCACTTTATTTTGCCTTCTTCATTGTGAGGTTGTGGAGGGGGCGGGAGAGATATTGAATACAATCTGTTGCATGATCAAAAAGATTTATACATTATGCTAGAATAATTCATGTTATATAAAATACTGTAAGCATAAG